GTCGGCGACTGCCCCGAGTGGGGCTGCACGTCGTCGACGTGTGCTGCCTGCGAAGGCACGGCTGCAGCCTCGCTGCTCGTCGCCAAAATGTCTAAGGCGGAAGGCGAATGTACCCGAGCGGCATCCCCGTCGCTCGCTTGTTGATTGCCTACCGTGTTCTCTCTGTCGCCGTCGTCCGCCGCCGAAGGCGATTGAGCGGAGGGTGGCTGCGCGGGGTTGGATTGCGCATCGCGCATCGAGATTTCATCCCGCGGACAGTCACTCCGCTCCATCGTCTGTTGCTCCCTTGATCGGTCCGTGGGGGCTGTGCCCGGCCCGTGCGTAGGCGCATTTGCCGGCGCCTTGTCCGCCGCAGGCGTAGCGCCGCGGACATCTATCGCCGAAGGCGACATGGCCGGGGGCCGCACGCCCGATGTTCCTTGGCCTATAGGCCCTACCGCCGAAGGCGCATCTATCGGCGGACTTCCCGCCGATGGTGCGGCCTCCGCACGCTCTCTGCTCGTATCTCCTCGGCTCGAAGGCCCTGGCGCCGAAGGCGCAAATTGCGGCGCGTGGTGCGCCGGAGGGTCTGGCCCCGAGGGCCGGTGTCTCGTAGGCGGTTCTTCCGCCGGCTCCTTCCCCTTCCTACGTTGGAACGGGGGTGATTCTTGCCTGTGCACAGGCGGCACGTGTGGAGGTGTCCGGTGCACAGGCGAGCGCCTGTGCACAGGCGGACTGCTCCTTCCCACGCGTAAGCGTAGATCCACGTCCACTTGTGTTCGCCGGTCCGCGGAGGCTCGTCCGTCCGCGGAGGTTCGCCTGTGCGCAAACGGAACATCTGTCCGCATCGCACGTGGTAACTCCGGAGGCCCCTGGCCCGTAGGCGGCCTCTCTCCCGACGAGGTTGCAGCGTGGCCCGTCGCTCCTGCGGTCGTCCGCGCTTCCTCTCGCCTCTCTGGCGACGCACTTCCTATCTCCGTCGCAATCGTCGCCGTGTCCGCACTGTCAGCTGGTAACACCAGTCTGCGTGCCTTCTGCTTCGGCCGGCTGTATGGCTCGCACAGCGGCCGCGGTCGAATGGGAGCAGAGGGTTCTTGATGCTGCTCCTCTTCAGACTCTTCCCTCCATCGCCGCTTCCGCGGCACTCGCGCTGCAGGGGTGTGTCTCCCTTCGTCCCTCCGTCTTGATGGGGTAGAAGTCGGTGACTCCTCTGCATCCGTGTCGACCTCGTTCTCCCGCACATACTTCCCGGGATGGTCGATGGACAATGGCGGAAAATGTTCAAGCTCCGCCGCTGTCAAACAATTCCGCTGTCGATAAAAATTGATGAGGAAAGGAGAAAGATGGTTTAGAGTTCCCCCCTTCTCCTCAAACGCGTGCTGTCGCATCACCCTGTGCAGGATGCTCGCCCAGTGAATTGGAGTTCCCTCGATGACGCACTCCACAAAAGAGACCTGCCACAATGTGATGTAGCAGGCGCGGTGCGGCTGCAGTAATTGCATCAGCGCCGCGGACAAAGTCCGGCGAAATCGATCCTTGTAATCACGGGTCCTGTACCCATTCTTGGTAGACCTCCCGGTCTTGAACAGCTCCACAAATTGCGCCTCTTCTTGTTTGGTCACCTTGATGCTCTCACTGTCGAAAAGGAGATGCCCTGGCATGCCAGCACATCTTCCCAACGCCTGCGCCCAATCTTGGACTGTCCACCGATCAACATGCGGACGCAATCCGCGCGAGGGTGGTCCCTGTGGCTCTAGCCACTCGCGCACCATATTCGCACAGATGTAATTCCATCCCCATAGCAAGAAATCGAGCTTTCTTGCTATTAAGCGCTCTTCGAAAGCGCGCAGCCCGTTCTGCGGCAGGCGAAGTGGCACCATCCGCAATCTGCTCGGTCTCGTCATTGCGTTCCTGGGGTTCGCTCGCCCGCTCATTCTACTTCCGCACTGCCCGCGTTTCTTTCTCTCTCGGCAAACTCTAATCGCTCTCAATTCCAAATCACGCGCACTCACTTCTCCCTCAATCAACAAGAAATCTCCTGTGCGACGACGTCGAGAATGTTCCGCAGCCAGCAGATGGATGCGCGCAGCGCGCACAAGAGATTGGAATCGCGAATTCAAGAATGGGACGCTCTCCGCCGCCCGGTCGAAGGTCATGGTCGGCTCTTGGTCGTGAAGAACGTCTCACTTGATGGCCGCGCCGGCTGTACGCTGGAACGGTCTTCGCTCTCACGCGCGGCTTCACGCTCCGCCGTCGTCGATTAAACTCTCACGCTCGAATTGGCGGATTTGAACTCCGCGAGCGTGTCACCCTGCGGACATGGGGGCGTAGCGCCGAAGGCGAGTTTTCCGCCTTGCGCGGTACACTTGTTCGTACCGTCCCTCGGCCAATCTCCTTCTGCCTTGACGCGTGTGTCCGCATGTCGGACAAAAATTCAACTCCTGCCTGTGCGCAGGCAGGAGCCTCGGCGGATTCTCCGCCGGCGCGGAACTTGAACATCCTCCTGTGCACAGGCGTTCGCCTGTGCGCAGGCGAATTCCGTCCGCGGCGCTGCGCTGGCGCGGAAGGCGTTGACCGTGGTCAGCCGTCTCCGTCCAGCCTATCCGTTCCTTGTCTCTCCGTCGGCGCTTCCGCCGCCGCAACTCCGTCCGTCCAAGAGCGCATCCACCCGTGCCGTCCGCATGGTCCGTACCGATGGGATTACTCTGGCGGCTCTTCCGACGTACGCGGCGCTGCGCTGGCGCGGAAGGCGCCGTACACTTTCTACCTCACAAGGCGCACTTCTAGGGCCCAAGGCGGATTTTCCGCCGACGCCGAAGTGCCTGTGCACAGGCGAACGCCTGTGCGTAGGCGGACTTCGCGCCTTCCCTAACCCTACTTCGCCTGTGCACAGGCGAACGCCTTCGTCCGCGCATAGGACAGAACTTGATTTCCCCTTCCGCGTAGGCGGAATTCGCGCCGGTGGCGAAATCCTTCCGCCGTAGGCGACCGCCTCCGTTTCTTCCAGTAGCGATAACTCCCTAAGTCCTCGTCCGTTCCAAACGTTCTTGGGCTCGTTGGAATCAGTGCGTCGAGCTCTTTCCAACGGAATCCTAACTTGGTCAAGGCGCCCGAGGGTTGACCTAATTAGGGAGGGTTTCCCTACAGCCGCGGACGCAACCTCCGAAGGCGGGTTTTGCGCCTTGCGCCGTAGAGATCCTAACTGCAGAGCTCGCAGGGAGGGTGGTGCCTGCCCTTACTGCTGCACCCCAAATCCCAGATTCTACAAGATCCCTCGAGAATCCCCGCGATCTTCCGGATTCACTCTGTTTTGATGTACCGAAGGCCATTTACAATGCTGCCAGGGTATAGTTTTCCAAAAATGTTTTAATTTCCTCAAAATTGCCAAAAGTGGGGTATCACATTCTAGCAGTTTCAGTCAATTTTCATTTATGATGGTAAAATAAGTAACATCTGATTAGTTATTGATCAGATTCACGTTAAGACACAGTCCATTCAGGTGCGGAATAATTTTATTCTATGTCAACTTCTTGCATGTAGTATATATTTCATATACTAAAAAATTACTTAAGAAATATAACAAGTAAATGAATTTTGCAATGATACTAGTTTGAATTAGAGTTTTATTATGAGCTAGAAGAACAGTGTACATACATGGAATGCATGTAAGTAAAAATAACTACTTCTAACATACTTAGACTTAAACTGTAGAATAGAGCACATAAGCAATCTAGAGTATGTACTATGTTCAAACTATGTTCTTCTATTTTCATAAACAATTCATCATGTTTTTAATGGAATTGAACATTGTGGTACATACATACTGGTACTTACAAGTTTCAAAATACCACATTCGAGAAAACAATTCAAGATTAAAAAACACATACATGTATAAAGGTTTGGATATTCCGATATGATGGGAATCCACATCATCTTCAAGTATTTTATAAATGTTGCCCTTGTACGTGTTCTGTACTCTTGAACTGATGTATGTCTAAATCTAAACAATAATGGAATATATTTCCGTTGAAGATAAAATTCAGGATAGTGATGCGTGGGTGGAGTCCAAGAGCGTAAGTAAGACGCGCTGACACACATACATACGGAAAGGGTAGATTCTGCAAATCAGACAACAGAATGATGTGCCCAGTTTGAAACCCCATTGAAAGGACTGATCATGCATGAATTTGAAAGGTCACACGTCACGCATGGGTTTTCAAACTGTGACAAACACTGCTCAGATTCAAGCCATGGCATCGCGCTCAAGATGTACACGTTTGCCTCAAGGAAGTACAAATTACAGTTTGCGTCTTTTGGATTATAAAATTCAAACCAAAATAACAAGAAATATATTTTACATCATAAGAATACTTCTTGTCAATATATATGATTTTATGTCAGACTAACAATTATTAAATTATTACTTTGGAATGGTGAGAATCTAACTGCAACGTGTTTCTAAAAGATAGAAAAGAAATCTTTGTATCCACAAAGGTTTCGCTACAGGATGACATTCCAGTATTCATCGCATGGAATAGGACTTGAAATGAGTTTGTAAGTGATTTCAGATCGTCATTTTTGCAATCATGCCAGAGTTTTGAACTTCCCAATCAAGCAGTGAATTGTCGCCCTTATGGAAAATCCAGTACTCGTTCCGTCTCCAAAGAAACATAGGGTTCACAACGAGAAAATCAACGTTACAAATCACAAATAAATTCACTATTGGGTCCTGGAATTATTTCATGGCTCGGCAGACGATCTCCTCACACATCGCCGAAGACAAAGTTCTCAGGTCTTCGGGTTCGTTTCTCTTGCCTGGAAGCCATTGATCCCCTCATCAACGTCAACAAACATTTTGATTTATTTTGCTCGTTTTATTTTCTCATCCTTTGAATCTCGGTAAGACTCAGCAGTATATGTGGTGACAATCAACGGACACGCCCAAATGCCCGCCCCGTCTCAAATCGATTAAATGCACCGGATCAGACTCTCTCGACTGTCAAATCATATTCTTTGAGGGAGTGGAAGCATCGAATACTGATCGTGAAGACGGGAGCAGTGCAAGTGCAAGCATGGAGTCGGCAAAGAATACTACGAATCCAAGAGCAAAGGGAAGTGCGAGCGACGTGCCCGCAGCTGTGGAGCTGCAATATCCAGGCTCGTTGTATAAGATTCCAGGGTCTCTCGGTGAGCGTCATTCGATCGATTTGGAGTCTGATCAGATACCACCTCCAAAACGTCCTAGCCAGTCGGAGGAGCGTCCTGAGCACGATGAGCGAGCACAGGCTCTCCAAGGGAATGGACGAGCCTGGCGGGGCCTCGTTCCAGTATCGAATATTTTTGTGAAGCTGAAAGAGGACCTTTTTCACGAGCCTAAATAGAGATCGACCACGAGTGGATGATACAAGAGTCTTATGGGGGATTCTTAACTTTGCATGTCCGCGATATTCGTGGTAGATGCGTTGGATTAGTTTCAAGCTTGCCCCGGTTAGTCGGTCATGATCATTGGAAGCGTCTGCAGTTGCAGATTTTGAACTCTAATTTCATCCTAGTTCACAGTATGATGATGTTTTGGTGTTATTCTGTTGATCTATGACATAGTGCACACGTTGGGATAAAAAACGAAGAGAAAATCCACGCAACTTGCATAATTTGGTTTCTTTCTTCGTGAAGTGGCCTTCATCGGCTATATTTCATGACATGTCTTTTTTACTGTGGAATAGAGCTCCATGTGCTAAGTTTTCTACTTTGATCCATGCTGTATTATAGAAGTTATGAAGATGCTTACAAATGATACCATTGTTTCCAGCCGAGACTCCACCATGTTGTGTCAACCCTACATACTTATCAAGTACACATATTGTGTTCTCCTTGCCGTCAGGATCTTGAGTATTGTAGTTCCATACAAAATTGCACATGGTTCTTTTAACGTTGTCATAGTGAGCGGCAGGTTTTGGCTCTATTTGTATGGGGACATGCTATTATCAATATTGGACATCTCACGATTACTCGGTAGGTCAAGGTTATTGAAGTGTAAAACTACCCCTGTTCACGCAGTGAGGTGTTACGGCTGTGGGATGAGATTGGAGCAATGTTCCTTGATATTAGTGAGAACCTGAGAACTTCCCAAGACTTGGTTCTTTTTCCTATTCACATGTGACAGCTGAGAATGGAGAGTTGCGCACTGAGATCAGAGAAAGATTCAAGCACAGGACAAGTCTTCTTCTCTTGTCATATTGTTTTCATTCTCAAGAAGATATGGTGCCGTGCTTCGAACGAGTGAGAGGATGTGGTGAAGTTATAGAATATGCCGAACACAAACCGGTCAAATGTTCTTCTGTCGTCAATCGAGGCACAATAGCATGAAGTCACTATCTCTGGACGATTCAACTGCTAGAAACTCTCGGCGATATCATGTTATTGACCCTATAGATGCCTCTTAGACTCGGAAACTCAGGCAACCATTCAATTTAATTCGCTATGTCATGCAGTAAGTGCTCAGTAGGGCTCTTCCATGAATTGGTCGGCACATTCAAATACTCTCCACCACAAATTACCATCGTGATGGCTGCACCACGACCTGTGATCTCCTAAGGAAGTTGATTCGTTAGTAAATGTAAGACTGTCGTATCCGCAGGATAGTCATTTCGGTTCAAATGTTAAGGAGCAATTTTTACAAAATTACATCTAAACAACGAGATCAAAGCAATAATTTCGAAACGGATAAGAGTTGGGACATCAGCTCTTATTGAAGTTTCAAGCTTCATCAACTTTACATTTACAGGTTTGAAAATGGGAGGGGATTAATTTTAAGAAGATGATGGGGATATGACCTGCATTTTCACTGTATTATTTCCAGCCACTTATAAGAACCCAGTTCCCTCAATTCGTATGAGATCTTCCCCATCTCACTCCCAATAAAAATTAAGCTTTGCGTCTTTTGTGTTGAACTTCCGACGTGTATGACTCTGACATATCTACTCAAACAATACACTTTGTCAACACAAATCAGATCTGCTTTACTACCATCATGGTCACACATTTAAACACTAGAAAAAAATACTAATAAATTACCATTGAACTTCGGAACGCTATTTCAATAATGACAATTTTTCATTGAGAATTCTCTCTGTTTCTGCTTTTGGAAAATTGTGTATTCGGCAGTCACGTAAACTGTCTATGTGTTAAAACGCTGATTATGTGTATGATTCTAAGGCTGAGCGTTAATCATCAAATAAGTAGCTAACGAGTTGAATTTCTACTGTGGATGTAGAAATAATAGTCCCATCACATGAAGATCTTATAGAAATATTGTTGAGAATTTATCTTAAATCCTTGACAGTTCAAAATAGATTTATGGAAATGTTTAAGAGTTTTGAATTGGATAAGTCCTGAATATATTCTCTACTGACTCTAACGAAGAAATCCTGTGACAGATCTTTAAAGCTGTTCTTCAATTCTTCAGGTACTATTCATTTTGAATAACATCTTTTGGTGTGGATATCACATATCAATTCAAATTTAAATGAATTTCAAACAACTTTCATGAACCGTTTTTGTTCTATATCTCTACTAAATTATCAGGAAGGAAGAACTGAATATTGTAGATGAAAATCATATCATTTGAGTTTGACAAAATTCTGTATTTGGATTAACACTTAATAAATTAGAATGAAATAATGAAACAATGAAACTATAGTAAACTACAAGACAGTCAAATGTAACTGAAAATAAGCTCTTGGATAACTACTCTTAGAAATAACGCAGTTCTTAATATTCCTAAATGATTTATATATGCTTGTAAAAAGATAATATAATTAGAGCCTACTCTCAAATATTGATGTTCAGACATGGAACTATATAATTATCAGAATTTTCTATCAGATTCATTTTCTTTCACTAAGAATTATTCCTGACTTTGAAATTATAAAAAAAAAATTTAATTTTTCTTCATTATTCTGAAATCAAACTGAAACAAGAAATAAAATCGAATCCAAAAACTGAAATTATTAAAACACCGTATTTCGGCGACTAACGAAGCCAGCTCTAAATTATTAGTTTGGTTTAAGCTTTAAGTCTTTTGATTGATGAAATATTATTGAATGTCATATGAAAGAGCGCGGTGAGAATGCAGAATAGACAACACGATCGAAGATTTGTCACTGGGAGGTAGCATATCTGCGGCTCTCAAGTAACAGTGCCGGTGTGGTCGCAATGAACGACTGCGCAACATAGAACCATAAGAAGGGACATGATTCTCAGGCACTTTGCAAGTACTTCAGACTTGGACAATGAGTAAGGAGCATACTTACCTGGGCGGGATCGATCGGTGAACAAGAAGGCCGATGGTCTAGAGCAGCTCTCCTCATTGCACCACCGACGGGAGCGGCTTTAGCATTTCCTCAAGGGGAATATGCACGTCATAATTTGTGATCGATGGGGCTCGCGTTCGCGCGGCCCCTACCTTCCAAATGAAATAGGATCAATTTCTGCGCACACCGGTAGCTACAGCAGGGCATGAATTCTACGACTTCTGAGTTCAGTGTTTTTGAGAGATCTCCACGTTGTCATGAATCCGTGTCTGGAGGAGGGGGATTACATTCTGTCTCTTATCGAATCTTGAGAGGATGGAGGTTATCAAAATAGATTTGGAAATCCGAAGGGGAAGAGGGAAACAAAGGAAACAAGAAGGAGGAAGGAACAAAGAACTTTCAAAGGAACAAGAACTTTACGGGCAAAGCCCCGCACTCTACTCTTGTTCCCTTTTTTTCCTCCTTTGTTTGTTTCCGCATTTATGTTTGGCATGGATCTCTTTTGTCAACCCCTGCATTGCCCTCCGGTGTAACGATATGGGAGCTGGGTACAGAGATCTTCGCACACAAGGATTCTAGGTCCTCTCCCAGATGAGTCCAGATTGGGATTCACAGTGCAATATCTCCATTCAACTCGCTTATAGATACGAGTGGACACTAGAAAGATTCCGTGAGATACAGTAAAAGTTCCAGTGATTTACGTACTGCTCGCATCTTATCCTACGACGATCCCGACAGGATTTCACGACGTTTTTTCTTATCGTCCAAGCACAGCTGCGAGAATATAATTCCCTCTATCCAAACGTTTACCACCTTTATCACTCGATGAATTCAATTTACCTTCACTGGCTCTTACCATATGGACATGCAATCGAAGAAAGACAGTTTGTTTCATCGCTCGACCAAAAGGGAATTTATTTGTTGATGAAGCAAATCCATCCTCTTCATTCCATAAAAGTCCACCATCTGCCACGAATATCGTTGGTTATGGAGAATTCCTGTACAGGATTGCCCCGACGTCAAGCTTTAATTACGCTGAATCGATTGTGAGTTTCAGTCCTTGAAGCTAGTGAGAGTGAAGCAGAGAATTGATTCAGCTGGATGATCTACACTGAATAGACTTGTCACCACAAACTAAGATTCGTTTCATGTATCTACCAGTGTCACTTTAAATTAGTAGTCCTCTATGTACAATGGCAGAAAGTTTATTCTCCACACCTCTGAATCTCATATGATGTTCTGTAATTCTATAACAATGAGGAGTACCAACATTTGGTTCACATCTGCACTCCAGCACCCGCAAATCGGAAGACACTGCCTGATCAGCAGAAATGTTGATTGACTTCGTTGATTCAAATCTCATTGCATATAAGTCCTCATACATATCTATCCAGACTATGAAGGAACTGAATATATGAAACTGACTGCTGCAATACTGTAGGCCCAGACGAACTTCGACTATTATATTGAGATGAAATTCACGTTTAAGTGGCATCAAATATAAAGCAATTAGACCAAATTGATGCACACTTACGAAAACAGACTAAAGATTCACTATGATTTGAAGTCAACATATTAAACCTATAGTCCTGTAATACCGAAGATTCTTAGAGCTTTAAATTTATCAGAATCCATCAAATCAAAATTTGGAAGAAAATGCAAATACTCCTATTTCACTGTAACTTGATCATCTTCATAATCGTGTTAACAAACCCAAATTTCTTGAGGTTAAGAATTGGTTGACTTCTTCATACAATCAGTTGCTTGCACGATTAAATACGGTCTTAGACCTTTCTTATATATTCATAGATATTAGCTCATCTCAGGATTGTTAGCTTATGATTGGTCTATTGCTGTAAATTGATTATATATGTTTTGATATTTTTTATTCTTAAAATATTGTAATAATTGTTCTAAAAATTCCTTTCAATGTTTGATGATTATAATTAATATATTTAGGAAATGACTCAAAATTTTGATACGTATTTTTAAAAAATAAATTCAGTGATGGTATAAATTAATTCATAAATTTTAATAAAATAATTTATAATAATTTTGAATCATAATAAAAAATAAATTAAAATTTGATAATTTTATAAAATATTATTATTTCTATATGAATAATTATCAATGTATAAAAAAATTAAACTTATTGATCATGTTTAATAACAGCATTCAATGTTTTTATTTGCATGGAATTATTTCACCAAATTAATAAAAATGCTAAAGTATATTTTATTTGTATTATTAAAATTTTTTATTTATTTATGATGGGAATTACTCTCTACCCTATATTTTGATAAATTTTGATGTATAATTTTTTTAATTTACATAAAATTTTAATCAAATATTAAGAATTTTAGCTCCAACAATAGTATTTTAAATATGATAATAAATGCCACATGTGACAAAAATTAATGTTTTATGTACAAAAAATATTTTTTTATATGTGTTATTTTGCTAAATTGAATCGTTTTTTTGTGAAAAAATTATTGAAAATTTTATTTTTTTCATAGAAAGAAATTTTTTATTGTTTGACCCAAATTTCTGTGCATGAAAATTTATCTCTTATACAAAAAAAAAAGTTAAATTTCAAACTAATGAAATAAATCACGCCAAAAAGTTTTTTCATAAGTCAGTATATAAAACTCCATGTCAAACTCAATTTCAAATCAATAAGCATATTGATAATTTATATCATCTTCAAAATAATAAAAATCTTACACCAATATCACCAGTATTTAGGATCAATCCATATCATCTATGAAAGATTCAAATTTTTTGATATGCCAAATTTCATGTCACACATTTGAAAATTACTGGTTTTATGTTGTAATCATAGCATTCATTACCAAAACAATTCAAGATCAAGCATGATATAAAATGCAAAAAATGAAAATGAAAGAGAGATTGTGTGAAAAAGAGCAAAAGATTGATGAAAGACATCACTAAATAAGATCATATAAAACTATCAGATGTGGATTCCATATTACGTGCTTATTTGGTCATTTGCTATGAACATATAAGCACACATCCACCTCATACGATAGTACAACAGTTGTCAACATTAAGGCTTCTGGAATAGTCCATTTACATGCAAAAACAATTTACATGCAATTTAGGCAAGTGAGTCATCTAGTTAATTCAAGACAAAATCTTTAGATTCTAGTGACATCCCTAGTTAGTCCAGTAGTTAATGCTACAACACATTTACCGTCAAGCGCTCAAGATCACAACTTGATGCAACTTAGACGTAAGTATGTAACCACTTGGTCGTATTCATACTGATTGCAAACGTGATCTTCTTCTTTACTTCCTCTTCTGATTTTTTGCCATCATCATACTCGACTTGTTAACATGTGCAATGTAAAGTTTGCACAGATACCAGAATTCTACCAAAACAGTGCCCAGATAATTCTTTTTATATGTGTTCGTTGAGCCGAGAGAAGGTTAGCAACCCCCTTGACAAGGACGGGAATTGGCTTCGGCCATTCACACACCATGAGGTTATTAAGTGCCACAATCTGATCTGCGAGGGGTTCATTTTGACAGTCTGCTAAGAGGTAGAGGTAGAGGTAGAGTTCCTCGGCTAAGGACCTGCTAGCCTTAGGAGATGAGGAGTAACGGACGGGAATACCAACGCAATCCCAAAGCATACAGCAACGAAGCAAGTGCATGAAATTGTCAACTTTTTTCTCGGGAAGACAATTCCAAGGGACCAGAAGCGCAAAAGGAGCCGAAGCTGGAACAGCTGGAAGCTCGAAATGATCCAACATGGCATGATGGAGAAGCGCTGTACATCGAACTCACGAAGGATGGAGGGACGGATGGAGGGAAGGAAGGACGAGACGGAAGTGGGGACCTCGGCGTCGGCGGCCGAGGGACGTGGAGTGGAGCTTCCTGTCGTGAGTGAGCTCGGGGCAATGGAAAGGAAAGGAAAGGAAAGCAAGAGCGTGAAGTGGCGTGACATGTGTTCGGGGCCAAGCGGATGGAAGGAATCGAGAGGCGCACGAAAGAGACAGCTGGACAGCTCGCGGGCTCACATGGCTCCGGACGGAAGTAGCTCCGGCCATCAATGCTTCGCAACGAACGACGAACGAACGAGGCGACGAGGCCAGACGGAGCAAAGAAGCGCCGACGCGGCGGCAGCAGCAATTCGTGCGGGCGCGCATTTGGCCTTCCGCTGGTTGGCCCGAGCTCCGCTGGTGGGCGCCGAGAGGCCCGAGAGCGCGAGCGCTCATTTCGTCGCCCGTGCACCCTCCCACCGAGCCAGCACCTTAAATTGGATCGTCTCGTTCTGCTGCTCGTGGTGCGATTCGTTCTGCTCTGCGGTCTTGGTTTCGCGAAATTCCGCGTTTGCTGTCGCTTCTCACCTTCTTTCGCCTCGAATTCGCCTTCTTTTGCTGCTCGCCCGTCTTCTGCGCGTCGAGTGGTTTTGTCTCGTGGCTGGCTTTCTTATTTTACTCCCGTCCGATGGGGTGGGACGAGTGCTCGCGTCGGCCGCGCGTCGAATTTTCTGATTGTCGCATGCTCGCTCCCGGCTTCGGGCCTGGGCCTTGAAGACGAAGACGGAGGTCGACAGAAGGTACACGCGGTTTTTCACTCGACGAACTCACTGCATTTTCGAGCGCAGCACGCTTCCTTTCCTCGGTTTTGCAGCGGCTCCTGCTTCAGTTTTCCGTTGTTCGTTGAACTTGCGTGTTCTTGACGACTGTTCTTCGGATGTGCGACGGCTCTTATGTGCGAATATTCTGAAGCTTGATCATTTTGATCCACACAGAGGATTCATGGGCTCTTGTGGAGCTGCGGAGAGTGCCTGCTCATCTGAGGGGGAGACTGGTTTAGAGCATGATCATGAGGACGACATGCTAACTGTTCCCCTTTTGAACGGAAATTCCAGGAATTTGGACGAACCTGCATCTGTTCTAAAGAGTCGTGACAATCCTCCGCTTGATCGCAGTATGGATGGCCTAAATTGGAATCAAGGTGGCGGTACCAGGTCTAGAGCACAAGGTTGCACAGACGACCCCAGCAGGGATACTGATGGACAAGGCTCCAAAATTCGCACGAATTTGAAAGATTGCGAAGATGAAAAACTGAGAGCCTTAGAACGTTGCATTGCAGCTGCCACCAAAGGATTTGTTATCGGAGCAGGCTTACGTGGTGGTCTTGGTCTTTTTGCAATCCTCTCCCGTTTGAGGAGAAAGAAGACGCGGTCAAGGTAATATCACGAATCAAATATTCGAAGATCTAGAAATTTGGGCTCTGTGACCATCACTGAACCAACTGAGCAGTGTGAGTGGTCGCAATTTTGAATCAGTACTTCCCATATTACAACTACCGGAAAAGTATAAAAATCGAGGTTCCATTTACGTATATTTTATTAAGATAGTCGTGAAGTTCTACGAGGAATTGAATTTAGTAGCTGAACCACGTATTCTTGTGAACCTGAATAATTTGTAGGAGGGCATGAAGTTTAACGGATAACAGGTGAAAAAGACGGGGTAAGCTCAGCATGAATAACATATTTCTCGTGGGAATGAATCACTCGATAGTCTGACAGATCGGTTTGTTCTCCGCAGTATTCTACAAAAGTCCAACGCTGACGCAGTTGTGCTGGCTTTGAAAGAGACTCTCCGCTATGGTCTGTTCCTAGGCACGTTTGCCGGTGGTTTCTGCTCCGTCGACGAGGCTATTGCAACCCTTGGTGGTCGTGAACGGTGGGTTCTTATGACTTTATATTACCAATCAGGAGGATCGGTTTGAACAGAAATTATTTTCTGTTTCTTCCTGCTTAATAGAAGGAGCAAATAGAAAGCGTGTAGCTGGAGCTTGTATTACATCATGTTTTTGGGGACAGGGATGTCAAGCAGAAAATTTTCAAGATACTTCTTTTTCCGTTTGGTGAAAGGCAGTTGAGGTTGACTACCCCAAGCTGCTGTTCAGAAGCCTACAGAACTCGGTTTCTGCTGGATTGCTCCCCTTCCTTTGCGTCTCAAGGCTTATGATAATACCGGTTGTAATTGTCCGTCACAGGACTGCTAGATGGCGGGCATTGGTTGCCGGAGGGGTTGCTGGACCAGCCCTATTGCTTACTGGACATGAGGCAAGACACACAAGCATGGCAATCTACGTCTTGATGCGTGCAGCAGTTCTTGCAGCTCGTTGTGGACTGAAAAGCGAGCGATGGGGCTGGCTTTGTCGTCCTTTGAGTTGGAAGCATGGAGACACATTCTTAATGTGTTTATCATCAAGTCAGATTTTGTACGTCTGTCTCTTTTCTCCCACCCCTTGGTGTCTATCCTCTTCATGAGCGAAATGGAAATAGCAGCTGTATCAATCTCACAGAATTAGAAGCTCTTCTTTGTCGAGCATTTGGCCTTCAAAGTTCACTTGGTACTACCCAGTGTCAAGTTTTTCATGGATGGAGTATAGCGCAGACCTAACTAACCCTTGACTTTTCAGGACTGCGTGGATATTGAAGCCAGACAGTCTGCCTTCAACGTATATATCATTCCTCAACAAACATGGTGGAAAAGATACTTCGATTGTCCACGGCATCAGAGCCTTAGCCCAAGGGAAAGGATTAGCGGACCAATTAAAAAATGTGGAACAGTTCTATCGAGACAATGGCACCGAAGTTCAGCTGTCGCCCGATATGAAAATACCTTGCAGGGTAAGGTTTTTGGCCTATGTGCAAGATTGTTTGTGGCTTAGAATCGAAACCTTACAGTATTTCCGGTGTTCCAACAGTACTTCGCTGCGCCACATAATCTTGCAACACTTCTTTCATTTTGAGATGATACATAGTTCGATACTATGTATCGAACAATTCGAATAATATTTCTTTATTCCATCTGTTGTCATCTTCTACAGATTGTACATGGAGACCAAGGGTGCGTGCCACATTTCTTTTCATTCTTGGGAGCATCTTATCTTCGATCGCTTCCTGTCTACAGTCCTGTGTACTTTGTACCTGCGATTCTCGTCCATCGACAAGGACTTTTTGCCAGGTAAATATTTTTCTCGATAAGCGTCAAAGATGTGGACATCATTTGTAGTTTCAGGTTTTAGGCTTTGCATCGTGCTTGCACCTCACATGTTTGATAGTCTCGCTATGTATGTTACTTCTTTTCCGTCTTCTTGTTGTTCATGGTCACCCTCCTCCTCTCTCCTGTATATTTCTCTATTTAATTGTATATAAGTTTTGCTGATTCTCTTGAAAGATACTAGAGATTCTTTTGTGCATATTAAGGTATCCCATCAGCCCTTTGTGTATAGCATTCTTGTTCCTGAATTGAGAGGTATGTTACTGGAGTGAGATATGGAGCAAAACTTTTTTGTTTGCTCCAGACCCTTAAGTCCTGTATTTTTCATGAGACTTGTCGAAGGGCATATGTCATCCCGACTGGAACTCTGTGTATATACATTATAGACATAAAATACACAGAGTAATTAAATACACAGAGTTCCAGTTGGGATGACATATACATTTCGACAAGTCTCATACAGGTCTTCAAGGTCTGGAGCAAACAAAAAAGTTTGGCTCCATATCACTCAGTAACAGTCGGATTGGTTAATTTTGACCCAAGTGTCAAAATTTACCAATCCAGTAGGTATGGTGGCAAAAAAAGCGCGAGTTCTTTGAACAACATAATTCGGTACCGGGAAGTTCTGGTAAGAGGTCTACAACAACATAATCAAGTCTGTTAGTGCAACTCTGGGACTAAAAACTTGATACGAGAAGAATAATGGAGAGGAAGCGTCAATACGTGACGAAATTCATCACATATATGTGACGGCTATTGATGGACACCATGAAAGTCGTGTATGATTAGGCATGGTGTGAGCAGTTCGCACCATGCGCTTGGGTTCCGTTGAAAACCTGTTGAGAGAACGTCTAACTACATCCACTGGAGAGAGTTCTCTCGCTCTTGCATGAGAACTATCCTGGCGACTAGAGAGTTGGATAGATCCCATTGTTAGGTCGTTTTCCTTCTTGTGTCGATCTGCTGATTTCAAACAGTTTGTAGTCAACTGGCAGCTTGGCTCTCCCTCGTGCTTCACGTTACTTGTTCGATTCGTCTCAACACCAAAATTATCGTTGACTCTGGGGATGATAAATTTCTTGTTGACTCCTTACAAGTTCTTTTGATTTTCTATCAGCTGCAATGATTTTTGCTTCTTATCATTATCTAAACATGTTCATATGCGGCTTTAGCTTAGGTTGATTGACAGAGAGCTATAGTAAATGAAATTAGATAACTATCTTTGTGTTATTTGTGCTCTATAATCATGATGTGAACAAACTTGTATCATCTATCTGAAGGTTGTGTGTTGATGCAGGCCACTAACGATTTTCCGGAAAACCCTCTTGGGACTTGGCAGATCAAGTCTTTTTCTTGCAACTTACTGTGCATCAGCTTGGTACTGCTCAAAACTCTATTTCTGTGTTTCGGGTTTAGGATTAATTTTCCCTTATGATGTTCTACAGCTCTTCTTTCTTACTCTGATTAAAGTTCAGACAGGAGTTTCCGTTCTGAATCTGAAGAAGCATTGTAACGTTCTCTACTTCCGTTACAGGTTATGGACTTGTGGTGTCTTTCGACTTACGCAAACCTGCAACCCTGCCCTTGTTGCCGCTGGCACTGTAAGCACTAACTCACTTATTGCTGCCGGCACAGTAAGAACTCACTCACATGTTCTCGCTTTGCACTTTAGATTTTTGAACTTATTGAGGACGTTCCGCATAAATGTAGGATAGAAGTGGTTCTAGTGTATACTAATTGTCCTCATCTGTTGCCTTTGTTGACAGTTCCCGACAGGATTGGCTGTTTTGATAGAGAAAAAATCTCGGCGCATGGAACTGGCTCTTTACTGTATGTCGCGGGCAATTGAAAGTTTTGCAATATGTGTCGCGGACACTGGTGTTTTGAAGCGGTGGAATTTGAGTCCCCCAAAGAGGATAGACGTTGTGCTTTTCAGTATGGCAACGGCCATCATTATGCAGTGTCATGCGGAGGAACGAGACGTCTTTAGGTCAAAGTACCTGAATGTCCTTGACTGGGTTTTCGGAGTCCCTGATCCACAAAAGACGTCACTTGCACTTGATACTGTGGATGAAGACGAAGCGAAGAGAAAAGTTAGGTAAAACATTATGGAGCGGCTGCTAGCCTTCTTCGCAATCGTTCATTCCTCACACGCTTTGCTTCCTCTGGAGGATCTTCATACGTCACCTTGAAGTTCACCTCTACACCAGTTCAACTAATGCGCCATTATTGATCATCGAAACCTATCGCATCCTGGAAATTTATACAAGGCGAATTTGTCTCAGCTGGCGGCGTAGACGATTGAAGGTTGATATTAGGCATGCTTTCTGATCTGAGCAATTGCAGAGAATTTCATTCTTTCTTTGTACTATAGTCATCTATTGACAGGTTGAGTATGCGTGAAATATTTATATTCTTTACATACTGCGCGCTCACATAGAGTGCAGAGCTTGGCAGTTTAGAGATCTTAGCGGCTGGAAGAGGGATTTCGTGTTGTCCCTCTCAGATGATGTTTCCGAGATAACGATTTCGAATATGAAAAGCGCACACTCCCTAAAGAAGGGAATCTCATAGTCACGACATGTTTTGTACTCACTTGCGCTTCTATTGTCATTTGTGAATGATTCTTTACATTTCTCGCTTTTTTATTTTTTGCAAGGTGGTATGCATGATTGCTTTTGGATCCTGTATGGGAGTATCGTACGGTTAAAGAAAGAACTGGTTCGCAGAGCTTTGCACCTACTTTAATATTCACCGATTTCCTCGCTCTTTCTCCAACTCGCAGTCCATCATTCTGCAGCAGCTGCTCTAATTTTCAAATCGCACAAAACAATGGCGCAAGGGTTTCAAAAGAGCGCGGCTAAACTACGACGATGCGTCGTGGAACAACAATGCGCTGTGGAAATATTTATTGCCAAATAACATATTCACGTTGAGGCTCAAGACCGGTCTCGATTATTCGTTTATGCGTCGTTTCCATCCGTCCTATACTTTCGTTCTTCCGTCCATAAAGGTTTCAGCCTCTCACCATTCTACATTAAAGCGATCCACAATCGTGACTAACTGGGGCCAAATGGGCCACAAGTTTTCTAAGTTACAAGTACCTATTGTGGACCGGCACTTCTGGGTATGCCACCTGTGGACAACGCAGCCATCAGCTCTCTTCGACCACCATCGCAGCCACTTTCTGGCGATGCTGTTTCAATTGCTGCTTAAGGTCCTTGGAGCTTTGCAAATCAAGACCTCCCATGAAGTGCTGTTGAGAGTTGGGAGAACTTATCCCCAGTTTTATCGTCGCGAAGCAATTCGACTTTCCAGGCCCTCGGACAGCCGAAACCTTATGGGAACAAATCGATTGAGAAGATCGGATGCCCATCTGATATGTCTCGCGGTCACAGGGTCTACAGAGCACAATAAGGCTCAGTCTATGGTAAAGACTCTGCTAAGAGCTACAATTTCCCGAAAGAATGATACGGCACTAGTCAGAATTTGAAGATTCTGCTGTTAACCCCTGCTCTGAACAGTCTCAAAGACTTGGCTTCTGAAATACGCATGCCAGCCCAGCGACTGGCGTGTACTCCATTGGCAGCCTTCGAATCCACCTCTGATTTGGAAAAAAGCGTGAAGTGTGTTCCTGCTGGAAGAAAAAATATGTCTCCTCTTTGTAAGGGAGACGCATCGCCCTCAAGAAATGTGATAGATCCTCTTCCATCAAATACCAAGAAAATCGAAGGTCCGGGAATTGCAGCAAATTCCAAGGAGTCCCCTTCTGGGATGTCGAGCCGGTCTACCTCGAATTCATCAAATGGCGGTGAATAGCGCCTAGTGTATGGTGACACGATCGATCCATTCAATATGTCTGGAAGACCCTGCACAGCTCAACAGAAAATAAACACAATCTGCCTCGATCAGCTTCCGATTCCAAGCATCAAACCAGGTCCCAAAGACAATGTAGAAACTAATAAAACCTAGGACAGCGGTCCTGGCTAGTCCTTCATATCGTGTCAACCAATATGAAGGAAGCCCCATCACTACTACTCGATCAAACAATTAAAGCATGGGCTCCGATTGGAGCTTGGCACATGATACAATTGGCTGAGTTGGACTTCAGCAGATTAAAAGGGCAGTCGGAAGCACAGACATACCACTACTTAATAGATTTGGGTGTCTCACCTGCTCATAAGTCAGCATGGAGCACAGGGTTTCGGTATCTCGGAACTTGGGAGTCAAGCCGGCCCGCACAACGTTGTCAGATGTAGCCATGCATTCGATGCACTCTCCCGAAATGTAGGCATGTGGGACGTTAGCAGCCAAGTACACGGCCTCACCTGGAACCAGCTTGATGTAGTTCAGGAAGAACGACGCAAATACACCAACATCGTCTGGATATTGTCTTTCTAGAAGTAGAGCCAGCTCCTCCTTCGAAGACAGTTTCCTGACCTGATTCATAAACACCAACAAGGAACGATTGTGAACGAGAGTGGGCACTGACAGGACAGAGCTGGACAGCTGGCCACGATGCAAGTAGCAATCTTGAGATGAAGCCCAAGTCCTATGGATTCATTTACATTCCACTCTCAAGTGTGTTCTTTCTCAGAGCTGCAATTTGATACCTCCTTGTCCTCCTTCAACCGCTTAATCAATTCCCCCAGTCTTTCTGTGACAGTCTCTTTCTCGAGTGTCATGATGGTGGTGAAAGCCTGTCGTAGGGCAGAAGCTGCTGCCTCGATACTCTGTTTAGACGTTTCCACATCCAACAGCATTTCGGTCTCATTCTTCTTGAGCAACGCCTTCAGTTCGGGGACAGTCTCCAAAACTTCTTTCAATTCCTGAAAATTACGCAGATAGGATGGAAAGACAGTATCTGTCGTAAGGTTGTGCTTTTACTCGAGTTTGTAGATCCAAGCCACGATTAAAGTGCCAGTAAAAGCTGCATTTGAGGGTTCGAATAAGGTAAAGGAACCACAAACCTCCGGAGTCACAAACCCGCAGAGTGCCTCGAAGTTAGTGAGGGCTAAAGCCATCTCGGGCTTGTGGTTGGGATCCTTGTAAACATTTCCTTGATTCAGATGCAGTTGCTCCGCAAGCTTTTTGTCAGGGTGCGCCTGTATCGACAGCGCCTTTGCGATGGAGAGAACCTGAACCAAGGGCCCCATGCCAACAATACCCTACAATGAGACCTCGACATCCATAAAAGCTGTCTTGTTCCAGCAAAATGCAATTCATCTCAGCTCCTTCATAAGATTTATATCGACTCAGTTTGCCGTATGTTCAACAGATTACTCACGGCTAATATGTGTCACTCAAGGAGAAGAGACAGAACACTATGCAAGAAGACCACTGCTTATCGAGTTGAGTCCTCGAAACGAGAATCGAAAACAGCCCCAACAGACGAAACAACCCGAAAATTTCTACTTGCAAGCAACAAAAGCACACTCAAGGGCAGACCCATTCTTTCATCATCAATTTCACTGCACCATCTCCAATTGCCTTCATCCTGACAGTTCCGTTCGTAAAACGGAGCAGGATGACAAATGCTATCGCCTTGACCAGTTGAGCTCAAAAGGAATGGCGAACCAAGAGACAAGACCGGCTTCTCAGGACCTCGACAACTTTTAATGAAGTTCGAAATTTCAAGTTGGATGCACCGAGCAAGCAAAAGTGCCCTGGCGCATACCTTAAAAAGAAATGGTAATTCTCCCTGCCAGTGCTTAAAAACATCGTCACCCAAGGCTTCGTGATGCTCAAGTAGCCAGTCCTTCAAAAGCTGGGGCTCGCCACCCACAGCAGCGTCAGAGATAAACGAAGGTCCGGACGGATGCGTGCCCATCCACAATTCCGCGTAGGGAACATCATGTTGCACCTCCTTCCCAGACGAGATGCCATACAATCTGCCCACCTCGCTCTCCTCCCCGATTCGTCCCCAATCGTAATTCTGCGCTGAGACCTGCAACCTCAACATTGCAAGGCCCTTCGCTGCCCAAGGGACACTCAGCTCACAAGATCCCGCGAGAGTATTCTGCACGCAGCACTCACGGAATCACCGGATGCCGAGCTAGGGACGGAGCAGGCAAGGCGTCTAGAGGTCCTAGACGCTTCCCTCTCCTCGCTGCTCTGCTCCGCGAGCTTGCAGACCTGCGCGGATGTAAGCGAGTCTGGTCAGGCCGATGAGCAGAGCGAGCGAGGACGAGGACGAAGACGAGGACGAGACGTGGAGACGGAAAGGGGAGGCCTAGGAGAGAGACAAAAGCGGAGGGATCGACGCCAGGCGCACAGATCGGTGGGAGAAGAAACACGGAAAATCATAATATATAGATTTCCGGGGCAATGGGAATCGGAATTCCGCACAATTGGTCAATCATTCGATCAATCGAGCCACCGAACCTCGGCACACGAAAGACAAGAGCGCAGGGCTAGAGGAGCCTCGGAACTGGCCACTGTTGTTGTCCGCCATCTCGCCTCCTGCTGATGCCGCCTTGGACTTTTCGCCCTCGCTCGCCGGAGGAGCGAGCGATTGGCGCACACAGAGAAGAAGCCCGAGAGCACAAGCTGCTGCTGCTGCTGCTCGCACCAACTTCTGGACGTGCTAAATTCTTCGTCCGACGACGTCGTCCTCGACGCCAGCCTGCGTGCGGGCCATCGTCGCCACGTCGCCGCCCCCCAGGCCCGTCCCTTCTCCCTCTCCCTCTCTCCCTCTCGTCCTTCTGTTCTCCCGTCCCTTCTCCTCTCCTCTCGATCCTCCCTCGCCCGGCCAGACCTTTCGGTCCTCCCCTCCGGGCCGCCATCGTCGTCGTGCTGGGGCCCTCCCTGAGCTCGCAAAGCAGACAGAAGCCGGACGCCATGCACTCAGGCACATTTTTTAATGCTGCACCATCTTTCTCGGGCAATCATGGTCCATGGACCTCGCTCTAGCTCTAGCTCCAGCTCCTGCTCGCTCTTTCTTTCTTTCTTTCTTTCTTTCTTCTTTCTGCTGATTCTCGAGGGTCGCAGGACTCCATCCATACCAACCTCGGGGTCTAGTCCTGGGGTGCTTTCCTCCATCGCCATCGCCATCGGCGGCAGCATCAGCATCGGCATCAGAGCAGCGAGAGCAAGAGGGGGACGTTGGTGCTCTTGCAGGGTCTCGCTTTTTGCCCTTCGTCGTCGTGCCCCGAAATGGAGCGCCGAAATCATTGGATGCCCAATTTGTCGGCCTCGATTCCTCTCTCTCTCACCGCGAGCGCAACCGACGGCTGACAGTTATCAGATGTGCCCCGATCCCATACTCCGGTCAACGCTCTGGTGATATTCCTTGTACCCCTCTGTTCGTTACATGATGAGCTTGTGTCTTCGAGAGTTCGTGATTCTGCACTTGTCCTGGTTCCTTCAGCAACGCCTTCGTGAGAATCTTGCACTCTGAGTAATATGAGCTATTCTTTTCGGTGCCGAGTGATTGCAGGTAAATTTAAAACCATGTAACCTTATACAATATGCGTAATATACATTTTAATTTTATCTATATTACAGATGTATTTTATGTAGTTGAATGAGAAGCATGAACTCAATTTCAAGTGCAAGATCATTTGAAAAATTCCGAATATAGAAACGAGTGTGCAGCGTTTACTATCCGAAATACTTTTGAAATTATCCTTCAATGTTTCAGATGCAAAGACAAAATACCTTCCGTGCCTTTTGATCAGATCAATATGCCCTGGAAAGTAGCTAATGAGTACATGGGGCTAACTCTAGGTAATATTTATGAAATGCAATTCTTGGGCAAAATTGCATATACAGTGTTTCACAAGATGTCGATACTCGCCCGTTGCAATTATGTACAAACTCCTGTTGAGCAGGATCTCCCGAAATGCACTGATTGAAGACTTGGGTCATTCGGCCGTGGGTGGAGTAGCACTTCCCGAGAGTAAACTCCGTGGACTGTTCTTAACTACTTCAGATTTGGTTATATTATCATATATTGGTTCGTTTGTTCGTTCGTTCGTTATATTAATTTCATATAATTATAATGCAGTCGCATGTAGAAAGGTTTCTGTGGCAACCACAGGAGTAGAAGTTGGCGTTTACAGTCCGGGAACCGGAATGTTCTGCGTCACGCAAACTTGGTCAGTGGACTTATTGCTGAGAGATAAGGCCGGAAACGTAGTCGGATGAGCGGCATTTGTGGGCCAGTCGGACTGGAAAATGAAATACCTCCGGAAAAGAAACGCCGGACGCACGCCATTACGAAGCTGGTGCAACGACGGAGAGTCTGCTGGACGGTAGTTACGGTCGTGGGTGTCTTGGAGCGGGGCCGAGGACCAAAATTGGAAGGCTACGTGGAAAGAACACGTGGCGGGCTCAGGCCCCGCCGCCGAACCGGATACCGAACGGAGTGAGGAGTCATCCACCGGAATCTTGGTCAAGAAGAGAGCGGCGAGTGGCACATCCACCGGGGCGGGTACGTGACGACGATTGGGAGCTGACGGAGTCGGTCTCGTTGATGTGTCGTGCTTTTGACCGGCGGGTCTGCTCTTCTTGCCCCTCTCCTCCCCCTCGGCAGATGCTTTACAACTACTTCCACGAATGTACTTTTCGGTGAAGGCGAAAGAATTCTTCTTCTTTGTCTTGGTCTTGTTCTTGATCGATCGATCGAGCTGTCCGAATCCTCAATTATTAAGTCTCGGAGCTCTTTCTTTCTCCTCCTGCTCCTCCTTCTGTAGGGCCCGGTGATTGCTTGCCTGCCTGCCTGCCTCCGTCGTGCTCAAAATATCCTCATCCCTCTCACTCTTTGTCTTTGTGTTTCCCGAAGATGCTGTGCATAGTCGATTAGCGTGGGCCCGCGAGAGAGGGGAGGTAGCGTAGCTTGGGCTGTGACGCACGAGAGGGTTGTTCTGCTCAGTTTACAAAGCGCTTATTCCCTCGAGGTCCTTGTACAGGAACGGAGAAATCTGTCTTTGCATGGCGCCCTCCATTTTCCTGGACTTCCGCTCCATGCAGCATCTTGCCACCAGCCCACAACTGCTCCGCAGTCCATGAAGCTGAATATGCTGTGAGAGAGAGAGAGAGAATGAGAATATGGATTGAGAGGGAGGGAGGATCGATTGCTCAACACTGTCAGAAGGGCGAGGCGCTTTGGAAGCTGTTGAATAGAAAAAGAAATTAGAACAAAGATTTGTGAGCTCTTCAAGTATTCTAACCAGCTTTCTACTCAGAAATCAAAACCTCTTCTGACGATAGTCCCCAGATTCCAAGCATTAACAGTCGATTCTGGATACTATATTCATAGTGCACGCTGCTATATCAAGTATCGCCTTCGTTGACCAGTAAGAGGGGCAGAATGGCATTTTCATCATGAGTTTCATGATGCATTATCAGCGTCCAAGTCGAACACCCCTTTCTTGAAAGTGGGTGGACCTGCATTCAAGCGGTGCAGATTCAATTGCCCTGTACCCAGAATTCAACCTTGTGCTGCTGGGTGAAGGCGAGAACGGGACAACCATTAAAACATACAGAGAGAAGACCGTACATAGAGTACGTATCAAAGTAGAGAGAGGGGCAGAAGTAGTCTGGTGACTCAGGCTAGCTTTTTCCAATAATTGCGTGCACCATGTCAGATCATTGGGTTGGTAAGTGATCGATGCAAGCAAAGCGCAGCAGCAGTAGTAGCAGCATGAGCGTTTGGTACGTACTCCTGCACAGTTCCTGCTGCTGCACTGCAGAACTGTATTTTTTCACTCTGTCAGACTCAGTCAAGGTTATGAATCACTTGATTTACGATTGAGGGCGCCATTGTCAGGTTCACAGTCTATCAAAGAGGCCAAACACAAATTGTCCCTTGCTGCTCACGAGAGCAACTCTTTTGCAAAGTGGCGCTCCCATCAGTACATTCAGTGTTAAAGTTGGACTCCTTTACTGAGATCGGAAGAACAGGATTTGAGCGAGTAAAATACTCAGCAATGAGAGATAAATTCTTCGACGCCGTGAACTACGAAAATGAGAGCGGGGAAGATGTCATACCGGCTAAGGCCGACAACCTCCCGAATGATTAAGCTATATTCGAAACTTGGTAATCTTTCGGGTCTGCTAATTCTGACAATGGAAGGAAGTAACATGCGTTGTACATCGATGGTTGCACTGAAAGTCGACGGTTCAGTCGATGGCGGTGGCTCGGACGAGTAGCACTCTCCACTGTCAGAAAGCAGACATGGACACATTGTCCACTTCAATGATAGGACAATCATTCTTCTTTCGGACTAATTCGTCGGCATAGGGAAAGATTGCGGAATTGATGGACATCGCTCAATGTCCAATGTTTCGGTTTCTCCTAGCTCATCCGTGAATCTACCAGATTTCGAATTTCAAGTTTCGAGATCCTTGAGCAGTTGACCACATGCAGCCATGACCATCAATAGGTAATGGTACACTCCAGATGTAGCTGGGGCTAACGGAGCAAACGAGGCGTTCGATGGTTGACATAGCTTTGTTCTTTTCCCATCTTGTATAGGTATCTCATAGATGAATGATTTACACTCTCTGTTTCTCGGAAGATCTCTCACATTTGGGTAGAGGAAAATTCGCGAAGGTTCATTTCAATCTCATTGCGGTATGTGAAGCTTCGAAACGCCAAAGGAGTGAAGTACCTTTAATTAATGAGTTTGAATTATTTATCGACAGCAGCAATCGGGGCGCAATCATGTACGCCGGTCGTTACCTTCAGCCCAACAAATTGAGGACAGAACAAAAACTAGGATTTCAGCAATGATGGGCAGTGCACGTCACGTCACAGCTACTCACTTATGATTCTTTAGACTCGCACACATTCGACCTCACTCCAGTCATCTACCCACGGCCTTTTCCTTTTCATCACTACCGTCCCACATCCAGCTTTGGGACTTCGGGGTCGGGTCGAGCCTTACAAGCGGTCCATCAGATTGGATTGGGTTTCTTCAGCTTCACGGGTTTCAGGTTTAGGGCAATATCTCCTGAAGAAGGAAAGTGAGTACATCTTCCAACCAAGATTTACAGAAATTTTTAGTGACTCCGCGTCCTTGCCGAGATTCCTATCACCCACCCCCGTTCTAGGTAACAGTACTTTGAAACCGACAGCGCTTGGGCTCCACGGACCGCAACCCAAGGTTTGCGCGGTCAAGGATGTGTGAAACTCGACCTGACAAATCCATGGTTTACACACCTTGTCATCGACGCTGAACAACAAATCGTTCATGAGGAAGACCTGTGGCAAAGCTGTCTTCGTCAATGCTATGAACGAAGATGGATACCCACGCTCCTCGCGGAGACAGTTCTAATCCCACCAACACGCAATCGAACTTGAGGAAATAGATAAACACTTCACTAAAAGAGAAGCATTCTGTGCACAACTAAAAGGATACTACGCGAGTGTATCGCACAGGTTCTTAAGTTACAACGGATGGTGTGATCCTACTATGTGGTAGAGTATCTGAACCACAGAGCTCTCTGCAGAGCCCCACGGACGGTCAAGAAGAACACACGGAATCTTACCAACCACGTGAAGTGAATGCTGAACATCGTCTGTTGCATGGTGTGCTGCAGGGAGATCGGAAGCTCTTCGCAATGTCTTCTTCAAGGGGGGACTTAGTGTGGCCTCATCTTTTAAAAAGAGAAATTCTGAACCTAACACGTACAAAAAACTCGACAACCTCTGGCCCTTCAAGGTCATCGGCCGTTCCTCAAGTAGTCTTCACCTGCTCGTAGTGCCGAGATTGCAGGCAGGAAGTGGGCTTACAGGGCTTAGTCCCTGATTCTTCAAAACTAAATCCAACACCATGGCGATGCATGGGAGCCATCTGCGTCTCCTCTCGAAACCATCAGACATTGTAAGCGGGCCGACTATGCCAGAATCGGCAGAACAAAGGCCCTCCCAATATCTAAAGCATCGGCGAAAGAGGTAAAACAACAGCCATCTCGTTGGTAGTTCACAGAACGTCAAAAAAGCCATTCCGTCAAAGTTATTAGAGAGGCGGTTCACCAGATACGAAGGTTATTCAGATCCCTCCGATCACACAGAACTAGCAACCTGCGTAAGGGCGGAAAACGTGATAACAAAAGCCCATGTACTAAGCCATCCTTTCCAAGTTGTAGCACGGGATTAACTGAACACTAACCTAAAGCATTCAAGAGCGGAATAAGAAACGAACAGCATACTTAAGGATGAGAGATGGATGCCTTAGGCTTACTAACAGTGAATTACCCCTGCGGAGAACCAAAATGTTAGTGGTTGTGAGACAGGAGACTCAAACGTAGAAGACTCTAGCACCGGAAGTCGTACAAAGAATCCAAGTCGAATCGAATCGGCATTCGCATGAGAAAAGTACTCATACCGAGAGATACAAAGCTGGTAGACTCGAAGACATTGAATGTCGGTTGCATAGAAAAATTTCTTCCCAAATCCTGGAAAAATTTAACTTCGAGGAGGGCCTTGCAAATTATTTTCCTTCTGAAACTGGGACTACGATACTAACTCAATATGGGTTTAAAAGTTCAATACAGCACATCAGAGAAAAGAGTAATCCGGATGAACATACTCCATATGGTAAAGAAAATGAGGCTCTTCCGACACGCTCGTGTAATGTCAAGTGCTGAGCCGTGTTGGGGAAACTCTTTACCTCCGACCTTCATTGAGTAGCAAAGACACGGCAATATCCAAAGTAATAAAAAGCTGAAGTCGGTAAGTGCCAGAATATAACTGAATATAGCAATATGTGAATGCATGTCGTGTAAAAAGCAACGCCCTTGAACTAGTTGGCAACAAAGAGGCCGGACTGGCAGACTAGTGCCGCAGCTAGCGCTCAACTTCTTGGCCTGCTAATGCACCAGGAGAAGGAGACTGCGAAGTAGATCCTACCAGTCCCCGTAGAAAATTGGTGGAGTTCAATTTGTAATAACAGCCCAGAAATTACCTTCACTGTCTCATACAGCAAACACGATCTCTTCGATGCGAAGACCTAATTGACACAGAATATGGACACCTGGACTCCTTCCCATCATTTTTTGAAATCAGGAACCAGTAAAGCTTTACTTTATGTACTGAGACATCCACTTGATTCCATCACCGTAGCCCATCTTTCGGACAATACTGCACATGAAGACCTCAATCGGCCTCATGTGACTCTCGCCTAGGTTGACCTTGCCCTTGCCTGTCGTGTAGTTGGTAAGGCCCAAGTGTGACCGAAGCTCATCTTCCGAAGCTGCGTAAGGAATGTCAATTTTATTGCCCAATACTAGGAACGGAACTTGAGCGAGCGAATCATCCGAAAGAAGCGCATCGAGCTCCTTCTTCGACTCAGCAAACCTCTCCTTGTCAGCCGCATCCACCAAGTACACTATGCCGTCCACCTGCACATATTCAAGAACCTGATCACTACCTGTTGCCGGCATCCACTATGCAGACGCCAACCGTCCATAACACTTAGAATTTGATCGATGAGATCAGACTAGACGGCGGAAGCTACAACTTTAGATTTCCTGACTAGGATGTTTGGTCTGGTGGCCAAGGCTGCTAGACTGCAAGAACAAATGAAGGACTTTCTCTGATCATTTTGGATTTCAAAACTATCGATCACGAACCAAAAGGCACGGTCGAGCGGTAAACGTGCTGTAAGAGCAAACGGTACACGATCAGCTGTAAAAAAAACCTTAGATGTCCACACAATTCTCACAAAGATGCTACCTCCGGAAGCAATGGAGAATATTCAGGAAGGTCGTGGAAGAAATTGTTGACGAAACGACGTCAAACAAGTGTAAGAGAAACACGTAAACGAGACATCGGCAACAGCATAGTGCACAGGGGAGACATGAAAAGGAGGAATTCCCTTCACGAGCAGATAAAAAGGTGGATACAAAAGTATTCACGCCACGGAGAGGATTCCGTAAAGTGTAAAGAGCAGAATGACCGAATGACAAGGGTTTTCGAACGACTAGACAGGCCTCACGGAGGTCAGAGACTGTAAAGAGTTGTGATGAGGCAGGCGTTTCGAATCCAGGTGTGCGGGGATGTTCCAACATAAACTGGGAAAAAAGCGCACATTGGGGGCAACTCTCGGCGGGCAGAAGATCTTCTGCTAAAGAGACTGGAGGCGAAACAGTTGAAAAGGGGGTTAAAACACGAGTACCAGATGTGTGAGATCGATTGCGTATAGCGACCAGAGAAGCCTATAGACGGAGGCCGGTGAATTTACTGACAGTAGAAGGAAGCGTGCTAGAACGGAGAACGACAGAGAGCGAAATTAACGTTTGCTAAGATCCGGGAGTCAAGGTACAAGGCGTCGAACCAAGAGGCATAAATTCGGAGGCTGTCCTTGAAGATATGTCGACCATTCGGAACAAGGGCTTTCAAATGACCAGGCGAGCCACGCTGATGTAGCTAGGTGGAAGTGGCAGTAGATGCAGGATAGGTTTCTTTGGGAGAATACCGAGACTTCCAGATAGTAAAAGACAGGAAACGATCGTCGCGGACAGTAAGGTGATTGCATGACGGAAAAACTGGACGGATGGGGGCATCTCGCATCAGCGGCAGGTGTTAGCTCAGGGTACAATCTTGATGTGCCTATGCGGCGGATTTCTAATACTTCAACGAAAAGATCAGGCGGGAAAGGCGACTGATGCTATGAAGTGAAAAGCAAGCAGGGCCCCTTGCGATCGCACAACGACAAGACCTACACACGGCCAGAAAACTGCGGCATCGGTCCGACTAAAGCATGCACATCCGACGGGAGATCTTAAATCGAAGATGAGACGACGAGAAGAATGCAAAGGAGCAAGTACCTTGGCGTAGTAGTCCTTCCAAACTCGCCGTGCGATCTGGTGGCCTCCCAGGTCAAAAGCTTTGAACTTGATTTTTCCAATACTTAATTCTTCCGAGGTGGGATACTGCGTGGGCTGATGTTGAGCCAACCTCTGCAAACAGACGTATCGGCACGAAAACAAAGTCCAATCATCAAATCAACCAAAAACACAACGAACGCGCAGCAGCGAGCCCAGAATCGAATCGGAAACGAGGATGAAAAGCTTGCACCAGGCCTTGAACCGAGGGATCCATCGACACCACCACGCACCTCGTCTTTCAACATATGTAGCAAGGTCGTCTTTCCGGCGTTATCGAGACCGAGGAACAAAATTTTGGCCTCCTTCTGCCATAGCCCTAGTGTCGCAAGAACACTGTAGAACCAATCGAACAAAAACATCTCCTCCTCTTTCTCCGCCGCTCCGCTCCGCCTTTCCTCCTCCTCCTTGCTACGACTCGCTCGTCGTCGTCGTCGTCGTCGCTGATGCTGCTGCTGCTCCACTCGCTCGCTCGTCCGTTGCCGGGCCTGGCCTGGCCTTGCCGTGCTCGCACTCTAAGGCTCTCGCTCGCCCGCCCTTCTTGACAACCCCACGACAATTCCTTGCTTGCTGTGAACTCGGGCAGCAGGGCAGGCCGGGGCAGGGCAGGGCAGCGCCTCCTCCTCCTCCTCCTCCTCCTCCTCCTCGTCCGCTCGGCGTCTACACAGGCAGACAGGCAGACAGACAGACCGACAGACAGAAAGACAGACAGACGTCGTCGATCGATCTGCTCCGCTCGACTCTTCTGCTGCTGCTGCTGCTGCCGCTGCTCCGGTCGTCGATCGATCCGCGCTGCGCTCGTCTCTCTCGTCCCGTCCCGTCCCGTCTCTCTTCTGCTTCCTGCTGTTCCTCGCTCCGCTCCCTCGCCTCCCTCCCTCTCGCTCGAAAAATACCTTCCTTCCCGTCTCCCCTTCTTCTTCTCTTCCTCTTCCTCTTCCTCTTCTTCACGGCCCGTCCCCCCGTTCCCCTCCCGTGCCTGCCCTCGCCTTCGGCCTCCTTCTCTTCAGCGTCACGCTCCCTCCCCTCCCCCTGCCCCGTCCCCGTCCCCGCTGGCCCTGGGAAAGTCCCGACCCGACCCGCGCTGCCGCCGGCCCCGCCCTCCCGGCTGGCGATGGCCGTCCGACTTCGCGACGACGGAAGCCTGGGGCTGCCAGCCACGTGTTCCTGCGGAGCCGATTGGCTCAAGCCCCGGCGGTCGCCAAAGCGCGTCCGCGACGGCGGCGACCCGGTTGTTTCCCTGCATCCTGACCCTAACGGGATGGCGTCGCAGTCGCCGTCGCAGTCGCAGTTGGAGTTCGACGGAGCTGGTGTACGGTGCTTGCTGGCCGAAGGGTTTAGGGTGTATGCCTGCCGATGGGCGTGGCCGATTGCCCGTTTCGCTGCCCTCTCTCTCTCGTGGGCCTTTGACCTCTTCCTCTGCTGCGTGCGTGTCGCTTCTGTTTCGGTTCCGGTCTCGTTCTTCGCAGCCTCCGTGGGAATCGAGCGACTCTTGAATTGACATCTGCGTGAGTCGAGCTGCGAGCTGCAAGGTGCAGGGGATTTCGGGACCATGGACGTGGTCATGGCGAATCCCACCAACAACATCATCAGCGTTTTGACCGACCCCGAGGGTCGCAATTTGGGCACTACCTTCGACTTGCCTCAGGATGCTGGGCCGAAGGAGCTCCATGCGCTCGTCAACGCTGTTCTTCAAAATGTCGGTGATGAGTTTGTTTTTTTGTCTTCTCGTACATTTTTCCCCTTCCATCTGTGTAGTGTAGGTGGATGTTGTCGTCGTCGAGAGAGAGAGACTATGTGCTCTGTCCTGAAGCGAACGATTCCAAATTTGGTGGTTCTGTATGCTGCTGCGGGAACTGACTGTGCTGATGTGCGCAGGAGGAAAAACTCCCGTACGCTTTCTACATCGACGATCATGAACTTCTGGGGCCGCTTGGAGCGCATTTGCTGAAGAACAAAGGTATGCACAAAATGTAGTGGCACCACTACCTCAACGCTTCCCAATGCCGTGCTGAATTATGCAGTCCTTGAGGATTTTTTTGAGCCGTGAGTGCACCATAATGCTTACGATATGAGAATTATGCTTCGGCTGTGCGGGGGCGCGACAGTGATCTATTTCCTTATGTGCCGTCGTATCATTCTTTTCATTCACAAGATTTTCAGTCCTCGGTCGGATTTTTTTGAAACCATGCGATTTCACCTCTGGACCTTACTTTGTATGATGTTTCTCGACCGATGGAAATGCCGTGATGAATTCGATTTTCACGGAATAAGGTATCACGTGTTTATACTGACTCAAGGTCACGGTTGTCTCAGTTTCTGTGGAGCAAGTTCTACGTATCGTTTGTCAGCCGCAGGCTGTATTTCGAATTCGACCTGTCACCCGATGCTCAGCAACGATTTCTGGTTAGTGAAATGACCTTTCACTCGTCACTCGACTTTCTCTAGACTCTTCTTTAGACATCAGTTGTATCTGAGATGGTGACATAATGGTTCTCATTTCGGTCGCTTTTGACAGTTTAGGAAATCTTTTGTTGGCGGTAGCATGTTTTGGTTGTGTACTTTATCTCAAAGGAACGAGACAGTAGGATTCCGAGACGTTTTGGTGCCACCCTTTTTTCCTTCTCACAAAGGGCCTTTAGAAGTATAATGAGGTCCATGAAGACTCAGATCCAGGAGTTTGCATATGTAGTCCTTTATCCTACATGATGAATACTGCAACAGTGCAGAGACTTTCAACTTAACTTGTATAGAATGTATACCTGGAAGGAATTCTCTTGGGGGTCAGTCGTCTTTAGAATTTTAAGGTATAGTTGATGTGGACTTTTCTGAACTTGAACTGATCGGTTGTTTTAGGTCACAGTGAGGCCATATTATCCGTGGCTTTCAGCCCAGACAGCAAGCAGCTGGCAAGCGGCTCTGGTGATACCTCTGTACGCTTTTGGGATATAAATACTCAAACTCCTCTACAAACGGAATTAGGTGAGCAGCACGGACGATGTATCAGGGATTCTGTCTGAGATTATCTGGTTTTAAAAAATTGGAACATCCGCTTTGAGCTAACAGTTCATCGCATTGATTGCAGGCCATAAGAACTGGGTTCTCTGCATAGCGTGGTCCCCAGATGGTAAATACCTGGTGACCGGAAGTAAGGATGGTGAGATACGCGTATGGGATCCGTCAACAGGCAAACCTACTGGGGTAGCCTTAAACGTATGGTAACTCTGTTTTTTAGTCCTAGAGTAATTGGGAAAAGTCAATGTAGCCGAATAGCTGTGAACCCATGTAGTTTCTTGCAGCAACGCATGACTGTCGTTTCGAGCTCGTTAGAAAGTTAGCCGTCCACCTTAGCACATCAGGTTTGAAACTCTGAATTCGCGTTCTCCGTAAAGTACTGCAATGTAACTGGCAGCCTTGTTACTTGCTAACAGGGACACAAGAAATGGATCACAGCACTGGTATGGGAGCCCGCTCATTTGGAGAGTCCCTGCAGGCGATTTGCGAGTTCAAGCAAGGATGGAGACGTGCGTATTTGGGATGCAGTGCTTCGGAAGTGTGTCATTATCCTCACAGGTCATACCTTGGCAGTGACGTGTGTTAAATGGGGTGGGGATGGACTTATCTACTCTAGGTAAGTAGCTCAAATTGCAACCCACTTTTCTGTGGCACTACTTAAGAGATATATAGGGAAGATGGACAGGGCACAAGTCATGCACTGATGGTTGACTTGGAAAATAAAAACATTTTGCGTGTTTGTTAAACTCGTCTGGGGAATTCTTCTTGCTTGAGGATTTGTTTTCGGCGAAATCTATAAGCAAGTATAGTGATGTGCATCTGAAGCTCCGTAGTTCGCAGGACTGCACGATAAAGGTGTGGGAGACGACACAAGGAAAGCTTGTGCGAGAATTGAAGGTTTGTTCCAAATCTTTTTGTCAATCAATTAAGTTACAAGGAACCGAACATTTTCTGTAAGAATTTGTAAGTGAATGTCATTTCCGGGGAAGGCGGAAATCCCCCTCAAGGTGGGTGCGCTCTCAGTGAACTGATGACTTTCATTATGCGATGCATGCAGGGACATGGACACTGGGTAAATACACTTGCCCTGAGCACCGAATATGTCTTACGAACGGGTCCATTTGATCACACTGAGAAAACTTACAAGTCAGCTGATGAGATCAAGCAGGTGAGAAATCAAAAACTGGGACAGGTCCAGGTATTTTATTCAGTGGTACATATTGTACCTTTCTTTCTAGTACATTTCTGTATATTATGAATACTTCTAGTACTCAGAATATTCACAAAAGTGTCATCGATATTTTATGGTTGTGTAATATGTGAAAGCAGTTGAAACCTACGTTGTTTCAGCTTATATCCAGTATCTATGGCAGCAATAGCAGTAAAAGCAGCGATTGATTTCAATGCTGTTCCAGGTGTTGAATTTGTAAGGTTGAGTCTGTGCAGTGATTGTAATGTTGTACACTGAGCGAACACATGAATCCGTCATTAGAATGCTGTGACGTCTCAGGACTATGTCTTGATTACACAGAGTGAGTTCGTCTTCATAGTTGGGAATTCATAGCGGAATCTGGACTCTCGATCACGAAAGGAACTAAACACGTATTGTCTGCCACCATAGGCTGCGCTTGCAAGGTACAATGTGGCCAAAAAGGACTCACCCGAAAGGCTGGTCTCTGGATCAGATGACTTCACTATGATTCTGTGGGAGCCCGCTGTCAGTAAGCAAGTTAAAGCGCGCATGACCGGACATCAGCAGGTGCGGTCACTTTTCTCCACCTTTCATTTCTCGTAAGCCTATGTATGACCTGAGAAGTTATGGATAATGGCTCGATGTCAGTACTTCAGATGCCTTGAAGAAGTGTGTTTTGTGAACAACCCATGCTGATTACTTGGCTATTTGGTCAGTAAGTCCCTTTAAGTGGGGACTACTTTTTTCTTTGTAATTGATAGAATTGATATAGCTCTTCTGGAACATGGATGATCCTTGTGGTGTTCTTACTCTGCCTTGATCTTACATATTCTCTTTTCGGTCTTACCTTCTGCTCTTTATCTGCGCTCTCATGCATGATGCTTACGGTATCCTTCTTCTACACACGCTCAATGCGAAGTATCTGTGTTCTTCTTGCTGGTTATATGTTCTCTGTTTGTATCGTCAATTTGCTTCTACTGAACCCGTATGCCTCGTAGTTAAATTTCACGCAATTCAGTGCATGTCACCATCTCTATGTTTCGTTTATTTTCCCTAGAGTGAAATACCGAAAAAGAGTTCTGGGCTGGGTCTCTACAAACGGTGGTAAAAGTGTAGAAAATATATTTGTACATTAACCTGATGTCAGATCAACCAAACTCACTGCAACCTCGATTGTTTGGCCGCAGTTGGTGAATCATGTGTACTTCTCGCCTGATGGTCGATGGGTCGCTAGTGGATCCTTCGACAAATCTGTCAAACTTTGGGACGGATACACTGGGAAGTTTATTGCGACATTTAGAGGACATGTTGGACCTGTCTATCAAATAAGGTGCGAATTTTTATTATTGCTATAGTGAATTTCAAATCTGCTTCTTTGAAGTTGATCATGCAGTGAAACTTTTACGCAAGTGAGAAAGCAAAATTTTTGCATGACGTGCGTTCTTTTTGGGATTTACTCTGCAGTTGGTCTGCCGACAGTAGACTCCTCTTGAGTGGCAGCAAAGACTCAACGATGAAAGTGAGTTTGGTCACAAATCTGGAATAATATCTTTCAAAGTTTTGATTCTTACGGTCGAAATGTCCGTTGAGTTTGAATTTTGTCTTGTTTTAATTGTTGCAAGAAAGTTGGTCACACGATTTTAGGTATAATACTTATCACATTCTAGATATTATTCTACTGACCTTGTGGATGTAATTGGTCGCAATCACGAAAACAGATATGGGAAGTACGAACACTGAAGCTGAAAGAAGACCTTCCTGGACACGCAGATGAGGTAGAAATTTATGTTTCATGTAATTCCTCTAGTCAAGATTTATAGGCTCTAGAAAAGTGTTTCCTAAGCCCAAACGACTCCCCTCATGTCTAAGAAGAAAATGTCTTTTAGTCTTGAGCCTAAATCTAAGATGGAGATTTCTTATGAAATTTTGTTTGTGTCTACTGCTCACGCGTAGGTGTACACAGTCGATTGGAGTCCTGATGGAAGGAAGGTAGCCTCAGGAGGAAAGGACAGGCAGCTGAAACTGTGGATGAGCTGATGAGAAAACCTTGATTTGCGGCACAGGAAGGAGATACTTTTTTGTATCTCCCGTTATTGTTTTAACTTGTAGAGTTCTGCCCTTTGATTCTTGATCACAAGGGTAGATACTTGAGCTTCGGTCTGTGACTATCTTGTAATTACTAACCAATCATATCAGGAAATCTTCCTGTTCGAGATGCTTCAGTTTAGATTTATTGAGATTATAGCAGTAGAAAGTTTTGTTAGCAAGAGTAGTATCGTGGCTCTATAGGAACGAAATCTTTAGGGCTGGTCGTGATTGTAAAATCGTCAGACATAATTCCTTTGGCTATGATGAAGTGGATGTGAGTTGAATTCAATGAAGATGTTTTGGAATGTGTGTTCTTCCACTGTTTCTTTTTCAACATATGAAAGCGGTTCATGCTGGTGTGTATATTTGTCTTCTCTGTGTAGCATGGGCATGTCTTACAGCAACAATCCAAGTTCACATTTTCGATCCTACTAGCTACGGGAGGGAATGTATTACATAACGGTAGGTGAGTACGACAGCAGCTGCCTGCCATATAGAACCTACGTCAGGAGACCAGTCCTAAACTTGGAGTCCCTTATATCTAGGACATTAGCGAAACCACGTTAAAGTTTGGGGACAAAGGGAGGAATTGTCACTTCTGCAAGTGGAAAGGATGTGTGTATTCTACAAAATGGATCGTTTCTTGTCACGCTGGACCTGGAACCCGCCCGATAGCAAATGGAGAGCTATTTTGAGGGTGTGTAGAGGAAGGACATGTCTTGGAAACTCGAAGACAAGCTATTCGTTTGAATATTTCTCTTAACCGGAGCCACCCGAAATCACGTGTTTCTAGTACTGAAATTTGTTAAACTTTTTACAAGCGCATGGAGCAGACCTAAGCAGCAATTATCCATCTCCTTTTCTTTCTGCGGACGTTTCGTGTCACACCGCGCTGTGATGATGGCCGCCATTAGGTGTCATCGGGTCAGTCATTCAACACGAGCACGAACTCGTTTAATAAATAGTTTTGCTGATACGAAAGCAGAGAGTCTTCTGTATTTATAGACAAATTCTAACGCATCTCGGAGGAAATTATATCTAGTCCTCTCTCCATTACCTTCTACTATTGCAGGAGACGAGTCTTACTTCCACTCTCTGCTCATCACCAATTTGAACGAATACTTTTTCAAAGCGAATTGACAACGAAGAATGAAAGCAACACACCAACTGACAGCCAGACTTCAACTTCACTGGCTGAAAACCGTTTATGTTGAACACCGGAAGGAAGTGTCCGTCAAAAATCACATATTCTAGAGAGTAGCCAGTGGCTCCCAGGTACCTAACACTTACAGTTCGCAGGTTCTGAATGGGGATATTGTTGGTGACTTCTTTGAGGAATACTTTTCCTCAAATCTAAGCTCACGTAAATCGACAAGCATAATCGAAATTATGTGTCGTCGATATATCGTGAAGGATCGAAAGAAATTTCGTGTATAAGAACTGGGCACGGGAGACTTGTATGAGGTCTCAGGCTGGTGATGTGTTTTCCCCGACTTCGCATCTCAGAATGTCTTGAAAGATCGCTTCAGATCTCAGCCCTCCGTCAGTCACTCAGGCACTTCATGCATGATGACCGTGTGCTCGAGCAGGCTTTCCACCTGAATTATGAATTATGAGCTGCCGATGACGATCCGCAAGTTCTCAGACATACTCGGTCAGAAATATTTGCCTGTTGGAATTCATGATCTGCTCGACAGGCATACTTACAAATTTTCCGATAACGATTCCGAAACATCGTTAGAACTGTAGGAAAGATGAGGCCGTGATGAACTCCATCGCATGAACTTTCATTTGTTATTTGCAATTACATCTGAGATATGTGCTTCGGTCTCCCGACCTGAGACTGCATTCATGGCCACCATGAACGGCTGTTAGCGCCTACGGCCTTTCCACTAGAGTGCTGGGCTTGAGAAGGTTTGGGACTATGTCACGGGGAAATATCAAGAGATAGAATCCGCGCTACATCCACGCAGCTATTTCCTTCAAGCTCAGAGTCAGGGAAATGCGAGAGACAAATCCAATCGGTAGGAGTGGCGGGGGAGGAGCCCACTCAGATTCTCCGGCTGCTCGCTGGTGTTTGTTTGATCGACGAGTCCAAAAGCCCTGAAGCTGAGGATGGCATGGCATGGCTGGATCCCTACAGGAGTGCAAGCCAGAATCTTGTGTGTCGTACTTTTGAGAGATACTAGCCTGCGACGCCATCGCATCTCCAAGTCGCCACACTAACTCACCTCCCCAGGCTCTGCCGTCGTTCGAGGTCGACCTGATGAGCAGTACGTCCTTGCATCGTCGTCACCTGCCCGAGGGAGCATTGACAACAAGGGAGCTTTGACAGTGGCGAGACTGGCTGATCGAATTCGAAGATGAACCTGACCTAAAGGGACCCGGAGGGAGTTGGGATTGGGCGCAGTGGAGGGAGGACGATCCCAAAATGGAAATCGAGTGGTTTGCGTTCACGGTATAAAGGTCTAGCTCGGATTCTTTGCTCTTTTTCCTTCCTTAGGCTTCCCATTGATCGACGACTACCGATGCATGGATGCTTCGGATTCTGGCCATCCAAAGCTTCTGGCTCAGCCATATACAATCATTTCACCGTGAGTTTATTTCTGATCACATGTCTTCCTCGGATCGGACATTCTCTCGACCTCTTTCGACCTCTCGTTCATACAGAAATGGACCGGCTAGCTCGTTTGATCACAGCAAATGTCGCTCGTGAATCAGTAAACATTATTCAGCTGGGAGGAATACTAGGAAGAAGGTGTCCGTCTGTCTGTCTAAGCCCAGCCATCTCACGACAGGAAGAATATGTCCCGACGCCTGGAAAGGGGAGGATGTCATTTTCATTCCTGATCCATTCCTGTGCTGCTTTTCAATCTCAATTTCAATTTCAATTTCAATCTCCATCATTTGCCATCTGCATGCTTTTGCAGTCGAGGAGACTTTTCGTCAACGAGAAGGCTGCTTATTGATTGCTGCTGCGGCCCAATCCACCTTAACATTTAATTTGAGCATCAAATGTGAGCATTAAGACTCGCTTCAGCTACAGACTGAAGTACTTCGTTCCCGGGGCCGATATTTCACATGGACCTCGGATCTCTTTCCTGTGGCCATTTGGACCGCTCAGAGTCGGCCACAGGGCCACAACTAAAAACTGCAGTGGCAATAATCCCGAGCCTCTGAAAAAGCTGTACTGTCTTGTGAATCTCCCGTTTTCGTATGTAAATTAAAGTTTCACATCGACACAGGACGGTACGTAGATCGAAACCCGTGGAAGGTCACCATCTTCTGATTGAGGTGCTGCTGCTGCTGCTGCTGCAGCAGCAGCAGCAGCAGCAACTACTTCAAGGTGCTGCAAGTACAAGGTCCAGTGCAGGTGAACAAGCTCGAAGAATCGCTCTGTTCGAAGTCTGCTGCAGGCGACGCGTGACATCTCTGGGACTCCAGATTCTCTCAGTTACTGAAGGATGGAGAACTGTATGGAGAAGTTCGAAACCATAGACTTGACATAGCGCGATGAGAAAGTGTGGCCGGCACGAGCTGCGAAGCTTTTCTCGGCAGGCAGCTGCTTGTAGACAATTGTCAACGAGAGTTTACAACATGCGACCGGGCTCAGTTGACACAAAAAAGCCATCCTTCTCCCCATCCCCATCCCCCCAGGCTCCACCAGATCAGATGCGTTTAGACAGCAGCGACAAAGGTTGGGAACCACAATCGAACCAGCTAAAGATGGTTGAATAGTTCGGGAATCCTGGAAGGAATCCCATCGAAGTTCAGGACGCCAGCTGCTACTGGAGATGCATCTGAGCTGGGCTTCAAGCCAGATCTGGAGTTCTCGCGTAGCAGTGGATTGGATTGGTTGGTCAAGATCTACTGCCGTGTACTAGACGAGTACTGCACTGTACTAGACAGCATTCATCTGTTGACATCAGATTCTTCGGTGGACCACACAGACTTTCCCGCAGCATGCGACGTGCATGCGGTTCTGGTGGATTGATCCACGACGAGCAGAACTTGCCTTTTTTACCGCGAACCCAAAAGCGGAACTTGGCTATAGCAGCATGAACTGAATCTGCCGGCCCAGAGGTCATGCTAGATCTTAGTATGGTTGCAATTCTCGGAGCCACCGACGTATTTCACAGCCGGCCTCTTCTTTCGAACTCACTATATCTCTGCCTGCAAGGATTCCTCGTAATGTACACATGATTCTCAGTCTCCAGAACCATTGCCGTAAGGAGATTCAGAACCTCTACGCTCATTTTCCTTCCCAACCTCACACATCCCTCTTACGTGGGGAGGTGAAACTCATCTATTTCTAGAAATGTGCCACCAACATCCACATCCGATGTCATTGGTGCACTTGGTTGCCGGTAACCGATATATTCTAGCTAGAAAACAAAGTGTAAATATATGTAGAAAATATGGCATAGATTTTAAAACATATATTTAGTCTCTAAGAACATGCCCTATGGTTATATTTTATTCGTGATAAATATATGTTTGCATCAAAACGAATTTAGGTCTGGAAGACTGAATAGTTTTATCATACTATTTATCCATTCGGATGTTTCTTCTTTACATAATGCTTTAAGCAAATCTTCAGATTTTTTTTTCTCCTTTTTTATTCAATATTTCCAAATCTCACTCCATATTTGACTTTTGTCATACATCTGAACTTCTAGTTTTTGTCGTGATACAACCTTTGCTTTTCATCCAATTCATGCACAGACTTAGCATCACAATATTTTGATCTAGCATATTTGATCTTCGTTACAATACTCGAATAGAATTCAAACCTCAGTTTTCCTCATGCATAACATAAGAAACATACATTCCAGAATACAGTAGAATATCATCGATTTACTTGTTGGATATCAATGGCAAATCGAACGTATATATTTAACCCGAAAACAGAATCACAATGGGCATGGCGACGGACGCGGGTATACGGGAAAAGGAAATTTTTTATGGGCATAGTGAAATCTATTCTTGTCAAAAACTTGCCTGAACGCAATTTTGAACTGTCAAGTGAATCCACCTCTTGAGGCTCTTGAGCCTCTTGTGGTTCGTCGACGAGAAGCAGTCTCTCCTATTCTCCCTCCTAAGTTGGAGATCCAATCATTTCATTCCGTACTGGCCAGCTCTACGGGCTGTCAGTGTGTCTGCGAAGCTAAACATGAACTTATGAACTCCCCCGTCCCCGATCACGAAGACAGTACTCGCCCTGCAGAAGAGCTTGAAAGGCTCGGAACTCGGCCATAACCAGGACCTGAACTGCGTTGCAAGACGTGTCAGAGGACCTTGCAGCAGCCCTGTCGTGACAGCATGGCCGACCGCCGGGAGCTAAACACGAGGAACTAATTCCCGGGCTTTGGGAACACGAGGGAGTGCCCGAATTACGAACCCCTCGGATGCAAGGGAGTCCAGTTACAGCGCAGAGCAGAGAGCAGAGTGAAGAGTGAAAGTGAGTCCCAGTTAGTCTTCATCTCCCGGACAGGACAAAATTACTGTACATGTCACTTCGTACCCAGACGTACATGTGACGTACTTCTCATTCGTACAGTTATCAATGGCTTTATGATAACTAGCGAGCGGCACCGTACGGAGCCCCCTCTGGGACTGCTTTGACTCCCATTGACAATCAGATTGCAGCCCCCGCTAGCTTCCACCTTTTGCTTGACTTCAAGTTCGCACTGATCTACGCTCCGTTTCGTTGCCACTGACTTTTAATATTTTCCTGAATACCTTTTACTGGATATTGAATGTACACGAAAAACGTTTAATATAACCCAATGGATGGTAAGAAGTTGTTTGAGTTGTGTAGTGATTAAACGAATGGAGTAGGATGGGCTTCACTCACTATACATTGTGATGTAATGTGATGCTGTTGTGACCAACAGCATCAGCATGTATAGTGAGTGAGTTGTAATTATTTTATAATAACATCAATAGAGATAAACTATGATTCACGAAAAAACATACTCGGAAGATTGGATTTCTCTGAATTATTAGCCAAACAAGTCCGAAATCTTACTTGAGGGAACACAGACTATTGACACGTGATATGCTACCGTATCCATGCGTGAATACTAACTTGATTTGGTTTCGAAACAGTACAACACATGGGAAAGGGGCATGGATAGGTACAGAAGACACTTCGAAGCACGTTAATTTTGATTCAGAGCACGCAGAGATGATGACAATGTGGCTCTGTTTATATCCAAATCAACACATTGTCTCTCGAACGTAGGAAAGGTTGATGGTTCCCCTGGTAGCTCTATTAAGCATAGGCACGTTAGAAACATCTGAGGACCCAAATGGCTGTACCGCCGATTCAGAACTTATTCCAAGAACAACTGTGACAATCTGTAAGACCTTCGATCGTTGTGTTCTTTCAGAGGGATGAATGTCCAAAAGGGGGTAGTTCTTTTCGTCGGGGATCGTTCTCAGCTGCTGCTTGACTCGTTTACTGAAAAGTGTTCCACTATTGCGTGTTTCTTTGCAGCTTGTGTAAACACTTTGCTCCGCGCTGTTTACAGCTTGCAACCGTCAGTTTCCTCGAAGACAAGACTTGTTGATTGGGTCCAAACAAGGCAGTGCACCATCTCGACAAGGTCATGAAAATAATTCTTCTCAAGTGAGTTACTTTTGGAGGGGATGTAGAAGCAATCATCCCTGTTGAGTGTGGGTGGGAAATATGCCTAATCAGGTACCTACAAATCTTAAAAGTATTCGTCTTTCTGGGATACGACATGTGGAGTTTAGACCGTCTACATGTGCGAAAAATACGATATACGATGACAATCTGTTGAGATGCAGGCCTCTCCCATCATGAAGCTGACCAGGGAAAATTCCCTGCACCCGAGCACGAATTGCTCTGATCTACAACTCCATCCTCGTCCATTGCGATCCGAGACTTCAATCGAGAGCGTTTGTATGGGGTCGAAAACAATGATACGCATGGAAAGGGGGGAAGACGACGGCCCATATTTGAAGACTGGAATGCATTGTGCGGCAGTGTGACGTGACACGGATCACGTTCATCGTGATACCTTCGTAAATAACTTTTCAGACAGCACACTAACACACAAATTTTAGAAACAAAAAATAATAACATGATTCTCACAGCACTTGATGATCGATCATTTGATTCATTCGATAATCACTAGATCTTAGGGATCTTGAGCATTTTGTAGTAAGGGAGCAGTCCTCAATGTAGAGATTAATCATGAAGGTGATTTTATTCTCGTGCGTCCAGGCGAGTCTTCGCTTGGCTTGGCTTTCTGGCGATTTTTCTCGGTCCCGGTAGCGCAGTCAAGGAGACCGGGATTGACCGGGAGGGACTGACTGACTGACCCACAGGCCACGCACACCTCGCATCCTTACACGGGACTTTAGTACAGCACAGGGCGCACAGAGCGGTTCTTTACACTGGGACGGTCTCAGAGCCAGCGTGGCCAGCCAGCCAGCCAGCCACGGAGACGGAAGGTGTTCTTCTAACGCGAACCGAAAGGGCCCGACGACTCCGTGCGAGAGAGAGTGGGGCGTGCGTCTGATCCGGCGGGTCGGCTCTCGAACCACACCACTGTTACCACGCTGCGCTGTACTGCGCTGCCCTGCCACGGTGGCCGATGCAAGCTCGACGCAACGAAACGTCGCGGTCCAGGTGGAGGCTGCCGTCGCACGCTGGAGCTCCATCACACGTCCGACTCGGCCCGCCGACCACGTCCCCCGCCCGCCGAAAGGCGAACGAATGAGTCCCCGGGACGAACGAAGATGTCAGTGGACGGATGTCCGTCGTGGAGAGGGGAGGGACGGATGCTCTTACCAACCAGGTCCCCACGGAGGAACTCGGAGGAAGGAAAGGAGATCTTCTTGTCATAAAAAATGAATCCCCAAGCAGGACAGGCCCAGAGGCCCCAGACGGCCATGTTGCTGACTCCTGAGTAAGGCGGTGGGTCCCACCAACTCATTCATCTCCCTACTTCCCATCATCCTCCCTCCGGCCCGCCGGGGTCCGTGCCCCAATATATCTTCCCGGATGGCGACCGGAGACCGGAGAGGAGACCGGAGACTTGGTCCCCTCCCTCCGACTTTACCTCGGAGTAAAAGACATTCCTCTGGGCAGGCGGACTCGCGAGGAGATTGACAGCAGTGGCCGAGCGAAAGCCACAGAAGACAGAGAACTGGGCCTTCCTGCCCGTTTCGTCTCGCGCTCCCACCGTCGTCCTCGCCGTCCTGGGCGAGCGACGACGGCGACGGGCGACTAGCGGGGGAACGAACGAAGGGAGCGGAGCGAGAGGAGCGAGAGAGTGGGGCATTTCGTGGAGTGATGCGGGGGGGAGCTGAAAGCCGCTGCTCGCGCCTCGACGCACGGCCCTGGCCCTGCTCCTGCTCCTGCTGCTGCTCATGGTCGCTGCTGCTGTTTCCATTTCCCTCTCGTGCGCGCCACTGTCCCCTTTTCCTCGCTATAGATCGAGAGCGCAGGCGCTTCCTGTCCTCTGCCATCGCCCCCTGAGATGAGCTTCTTCGTCGTCGCGCACCATTCCTCCTCCACTCCAAGACCCTGGCGGGCAGAAATCGGCCCTCTCGCTTCTGCTGCTGCTGCTGCCGTCGTCGTCCTGCTGCTCCTCGTGGCGCCCGCTTAGTCGCATGGTAGATCCATAGCAGCGGACAGGACTTTACAGGACACCTCGCCTCGTCGGCCTAGGTCTTGCGGGGGAGAGAGGTTGTGCAGGGCCGGAGCTCGAATGAATGGCGGACTGATTGTGGGCCGATTTGTGTGTTGATGGAGGGCAGGAATTGGGCCTACGAGGCAAGACTGGCAGCAGCATTGTTGTAAGGCCTCGGGACTGACCGAGTGCGAGGTGCTGAGTGAAGGGTTTAGGAATCGGAGGTCGATGATGAGGTCGCTTCTCAGGGCATCGCCCTTGGCGCTGCTGCTCCTTCTGATTTTGTACGTGGCCCCAGCTTCAGCTCAGACGGTGTGCCCTGTGATGCTCACCAGCTTGAATGGCACGGTGAAGACGTACGCCATGTGCACGGACCTGCAGAATCAGGGGTGCACCTTGTCCTGGAGCTTCTTGCCCACTGGCGCTCTCCAGGGCGGAGGTATTCTAGATGTGGCATTCCGCACCACGCTCACTGGCGCCCGGGGCTGGGCCGCCTGGGGCATCAACCTCGAGCTGGCCAGAAGCATGGTGGGCACCAATGCCTTGATCGCTTTCAACGCCACCAATGGCACCAATGTCCTGCCTTACAAGCTGCCCTCCAATCTGCGCAATCCCTCGCCCCCTCTGCTGGCTGCCTCGCCAATTGACCTCGAGGTTCTCTCCAGCCACGCCGACATCGTGCCCACCACTCTCGAGACCACCATTTACGCCAGCATCCGGCTCCCTGCCAACCTCACGACATTGAATCAGGTGTGGAACCGAGGCCCCGCGGTGGCCGGATTCTCTCCACTCATCCACGACCAGACTGCCGCCACTCTCTCGGCTTATGGAACCCTCGATGTCTCCACAGGTGCCGTCACTGCGGGCACGGTGGCCAACGAGGACCTGAAGAATGTGAGTGCCTCTCTCGCGCCGTGTGCCTGTTTTGCTGTCTCTCGTCCGAATGTCGTCGCTCCTGTCCTCGAATTGCTCTGATTTGCGCCTGAATTGTGGAATTTTCAGAACCACGGAATCGTGAATGTCGTCGCCTGGGGAATTCTATTCCCCGTCGGCATCATGTCCACTCGATACATCCGGCCCTTCACCGAGAGCATATGGTTCTACATGCACGTGAGCTGTCAAGTTCTGGGCTACGTTCTGGGAGTAATTGGCTTCGGCATGGGAATTAAGCTGCAACAAGATTCCGGTGCGATCCGATACAAGCATCGGAACCTCGGAGTCGTCATGTTCGCTCTTGCCACTCTGCAGGTGAGCTGCCATCCTCGTGGCCCATGTTCCTCCTCGTACTTGGGAAGCATCTCGTGAAAGATTCTATTGTTTTTAAGGCTTTCAAGGTTTTTAAGGTTTACGTGCCAAGCGGGATTGTGAGAGCTTATGGGAATCCTTGCACATTGTCTGCGTCTGTCGGTCGACTCACTGCTCAGCATTTTGGTCATAGGAACGCATTTCGGAACATAGACGGATGGATATAAATGCCAGTGCAATTGCATCCAGAAGTCCCTCGTGCTGAACAATTAATTCTTCATAGATGTAGTTCGTGTCATTGGATTAACGCCATGGGATTGCTGTGATGCAGGTCCTGGCCTTGGTTCTGAGACCTAAGCCAGAGCACAAGCTACGCAAGCCATGGAACGTGTACCATCACAGCGTGGGCTACACGGTGCTCATCCTGAGCATCATCAACATTTTCGAGGGCTTCGACATCTTGATGCCCGATAAGAAGTACAAGCACGCATACGTGGGAGTCATAATTGCGCTGGGCGCCATCGCTGTGGTGATGGAGATCATAACTTGGGCCGTCTGGATCCGAAACCGATCGAGAAGCCCTCCTGAGAGACTGGATGCCGGCAAAACCCCCAATGGGCAATCAACAGACGACCTGAAAGGGCCCACTTACGATGGCCAATTGTAAACTGCCTCGACCTCAGCCCACCAGCACTTCCGGAGCCGGGAGAGCTCCATTCTTTCATGACCTTGAGAGGTCAGTTTCAGATTCTCGACCTTCAGTTCAGTGTACATTACTCTCTCTCGATGAGTACACACCCCACCACACATACACACACATATGTATTGTTACGAGGTCATGCGGGAGGGAGGCCAGGGAGTCCAGGGAGGGCCATTTTACCTCGTCTTCGTCTCTCTTACCTGAACCTTACCTTACCTTACCGTCGGTATATAGATTAATCTGGGCCCCTGGCCCCTCCCGATGGCAAGAACCTCACCATTCCCTCCTAGCTGCAGGCAGATAGGCAGGCAGGCAGGCAGGCTGGCTGGCCTTATTGACTAGCATCGAGCTGATGAGGCTTCGCTGTTATTTGTCTCAGTTGGAAATTCAATCTCTGTAGAGCTTTCACTGTGCACTCAACTTGCTGCTGGATGGATGGATGAATGAATAATTGGTCGGTCTTGGGTTGATCTGATGTCTATCGAGAAGTGATTGATGAGAGTCGGACCTCACTGCCGCACCATGTGCTTTTTATGTTTCATATGAATCACATTTGAGGCAGAGTGTGCCAGCTTCGATGATGGCTCGAGGAATGAATTGCCGTCCATGGCCGAGTCTTGAGGCCGAGGGGTGACGGTCGTGCGCGCCGCCCTGCAGGAAATTGAGCAGGGTTCTTCGGAAGCTTCTCGTTCCGAGAATCGCGGAGAGATTTGAGGGCTCGAGCCGTGCACGCAGGAGCACGCATCGTGAAAAATGTCTCGGTCAATCCAGTGCTCCGAGCATGACTGTCAGTCAGAGTCGGGCGCATCGATCGAATCCACCGCGGGCACCCACAAGTGAGTGACACGACGGCCTCTGCGCGATCGATCGAGCTCGACGAAGAGAATGTAGCCCGTGATTCCTTCGGATCCTCATCGCGAACACGATCGCGACCGGCGACAGTGTCCCGCCGTGAATAGAGGAACATGTTCTTCTCTCGAAGCGGTGCCGAAGTCTCCGATCGACGGCATGTCGTCGCGCATCCGACGGCCGTGATTCGTCGATTCCGGGTCACCTGAAGATTCATTTGAGCCTTCGTGGTCCATCTCAATATACTCTGATCGACAATGTCCTGAGCTTCAGCCACGACCTCCAACATCTCGCCACCTTCCTCTCATTGACACTTGTTTAATATGTGTTACTGCATGTAAATGTACCCTGATGTTGCCAATTTCGACCTTAAAACCGATTAAAAAAACTGGTTCTTAATAACACTCTCATTTACTGTCTTAGTATGTTCAACGAGTTGTATTTATAACATACTGAGAGTTTTTACTGTATCCCGCTTACTTTTCAATCTTAAATTGTAGATTTTTTATCTATGTAACTTCAATTTGTGGAAATTCAAGTGTTGAAGTTTAGAAAATTATTTCACTTTGGATTTGTGGGAAAAATAACAAGATGTAAATAAATGCAGTATATTGCATTCATTTTAGATACATCTTCTATATTGTTTGTATTGATTCTTCAACAGATTCTAGAATTACGTTAGATGCTGTTACCTACTGAAGTATAGAAATGAATAGTGACACAACGAAGAAATATACTACAACATTCATCATAATTATAAATGAATGAATTCAACAAACAATATCAAAGCAAGACTAAATAACATCACACTATACAAAAGACAACTGCATTATAAGTATTTATAATCCAAAAGATTTTCAAACAATATCAAAATCAAAATAACACATAATGAGATTGCTTTATTATAAACAACAAAAGTTGTTAGATCAATAAATGCATGTTGTGTAACAGATATTACATAATAAACTAAATCAGTGGATACTTCATGTCATCTAGTGTGGATTCTTCTCACACTTCTTTTACTCAAGAAGTAAAAGATGATGTTTATAGATCATACATTATTCAGTCTTAACTAAGATGACTTCTCAGCGTTTTTACTCAATAACTTATTCTGTACAAATGTATGTGTGGGTTTAAGCATTGAAGTTGATTTCAAAGTTAGTATTTAGCACTAAAATTTCCATCAAAACGAACATCATTGTTTGCAGAAGTGAAATTGTTCACCGAAATGGTTGAGAAAGAAGTATCTTCGCACTCTCGACAAATAACATTATATTAAATAGTTTGAAATAGAAGCAAGGAGGATTATATTCTTTTCTAACCAAGGCGTGGATAACCTGACTTTGATAAAGAATATTAGGTGTAAGAATTGTAAATCTTTGAACACAAAGTGGATTTCATTTGACTAAATTATTCTTGATTATTAACGCATTATTCTTGTGAAAGTTTCGAGACCATAAGAGAAGTGTGATTCACATGTGTGGTGTCTGATACTATGATATCTAATATGACGCCGAAGTACGGTGAATGATGTAAGATTCTGTGTACAAGACACAAGATCTTAGTTCAAAATCCTTTCCACATCCATATTAAAACGATTATCATATATCATTTAATCAAGTATACCCAAGTGGGTTGTCCATGTAGAGCATGTTAAAAAGACCCAAGCTTGCTGGCTGTGAAAATGGCATGGAGGAAATGTTAATTAATCATCCCCATTGTCCATACTTGACGGACGATTCGCGTGCATGATAAAATATCATGGTAATAGTCGAGGTGAACGATGTAAGATCATGTGTACAAGACACAAGATCTTAGTTCATAAATCTTTTCCACATCCATAGTGAAATGATTTCATATCTCTGTCACATTTTCGTTGCTCTCCGAAATCAATTATGGGTTTATCCTAACCAATTACATTGCAAGTCATGCAAGGAATCAAACATCACATCTCTCAACTCATCATATGTAGCTATAATCTATGTTTTGAATGGATAATGAATCATATGAAATCTAAGCGATTCACTTATTGGTGTTTAATTCGAAATCCATATAGCAGCAAGTCAAGATGTAACTCCAATGTTGTAGAAAAGGTAACTAATGCAAGTTGAAAAATCAGGATGCATGCAACAACTAAGATCCAAAATCATGCATCCTTGATTTGACAAAAGCTTATGTGAGCTTTAGGAATATGACATATAAAAAATCCAGAAAATTACGTAAAATTGTTGAATTCATTTATTGATGAAGATAGATTGTAGGTCTTTGTAGCCAATGTGTGTGGCAAAACGAACAGAACCCTCATATTTTTAAATATCACATATAAAGAATATATACCCATTCTCCCGTTTTAAATTCTCTTCTTTCATGTCATAATATACATCTTGAAAAGATTGATCTTCTATCAATCACAAATGTACCAATGATGCACAGGGTTACAGTAATCCAATATCACTATTTCTTCCTCTTTCTGTGGATATATTGATTATAGCCTTATACACAATAAATCTACTACGATGGTTACATTTGTCTCAAATCTCATGTCATCCACTCATGAACCTAAACCCTAAACCTTGATGATGTATCTGATGACACTCAACGAAGACCGTAAACGGCAATTGAGCATTGTATGAATGTATGTGAAGTCTGAACTGTGAGTAGTGTATCAACGGGCATACGAGTAATACTACAGTATAATATATTAAGATCACTTGTAGATCCCTTTGTGAAAGAAGACGTACAAAGACAAATTCTTGGAAAGTCATCAATGGATCTACGAGGCAATACAACAATAGAGTATATCTAATATGTATCAAACTTGCAGATCCCTCTGGAAGGAAGATGGACATGAATCAATTCTTGGCGATTGAGATAAACACTCATCTCACTTCGAACTGCTGCATTTCAACAGGTTGACTCCTCGGCCTATGTACATGCTCTTGCCGACAACAAAGGTCTAAATGGCAGTTCGAATCAAATCATCATCCGCTTCATGATCAATATATTATGACATTGACACTCTGATGAGAGCATGTAGGCGGTTTCCGTCAGAGGCCACCAACCTCTCTGTCCACGGCTGGTGACGACGATTAGGAGAAAAGCTGTGAGGAATCCAGTGATCAAGATATGACAAGACTCGAACATCTACACCACGGATGCTCAAGAAACTCCACTCGGGGACGTATTTATTGCTGACTTGTGAGCTACAATATGTTCGTGTGGAGCCATCTATTCGTGATGTAACGAAGGTGAGTGTACCTGTACAGCCTGAAATCGTAAAGTGTAAACTAGGCCAAAACCGAAAATTATTTAGCCTACGCCACTGCGTCTTCACTACTCTTATAATGGAGATCACCAGCATATATGCTACAATACAATCTGGTCCTCTATGTCTTCGATAAATCGAAAAAATTGTGTCCTTTTGATATCTAAAGACTACCAACCCAATCGAGGAAGCCTTTACTTGTACCTTCCTACCTAAATAATTGCGTAAATTTGAGTTACAAGAGAGGCTTCAGAAGCCCCTGCCTCTACAGAATCAAAAACTTGTAATGCTTCCACCGACGAAGGCTGCTGACCATTTGTCAATAGCTTTTGCTTTTGTACAATAGCAGCAAGGGAGAGATATACATGCAGCCACTGAAGGCTTTCGTGCGAACCTGGTTGAATCAGCTCCTTAATTTGCTGCTAGGAGTTCTAGTGAATGGATGACTAGATCCATGTGGGGATTGGGTTTCCTGCTCCGCATTTTTTTGTCCTGGGCTAGATGGACGTCCTCTTAAGAGAGTGGATAGACTCGGTGTTGGACTAGAAATGTTGGGAGATGTGTCCAAAAGAGATTGGGATTTTCTAGAGTCAAAGCAGTCCCTACAAACAGGTACAGGGTAAAAATATCCTAGGTCCTCTAGAAAGATTTTATGGCTACAACAATTTCTACATGAAAGCTGTCCGCAGTTGCGGCAGTAACCCTTCTCGTCCTCTTCCGCAAAAATTCTCATGCACGACGAGCATGACTCCAACTGCATGTGACAGCCAGCTATCAGGAACTCGTAATAACTCAAATACCGTGCCGACAGACACGGTTAAGAAGCAAGAACCGCCAAAACAGGACGATCGAACGGAAATAAACGAGGAAGGAACCAGTGAAGGCCAAACAAGAAAGCAGTCTATGAAGGCGGCAACAAGTGATATGAAGCAAGAATTGCAACCTGACGTACCGGGCTTTGTGACGATGAAGCTTGCTTGATGCCCTCTTCGGGTAAGTTCCATGCGATCACATGTCCTGCACCGTCTCCACTAATGAGCTGCTTCAGATCATTGGATAAGCAAATGGCTGTCACAGGCTCATTGTGCCATGACAACAGCTTGTACAAAACAAGCTGATATTCCGGTGTCATTCCGCCTGTGAAACACCCTCGTCGACCGTCTCCATGACCAGAAGACATTCGCTCGTACCTGGGCCACCCTCCATATGTAGTAATTGGCCGCGAAGTGGGTACAAACTCACCCTCCCCCTCCACCAAATGAGAGTATCTCATACGCCACAGCTTTATGGACCCATTTTGATGTCCAGTGACATACCAACTGACTTCCATCCAGTCTGAAAGGTGAGGGCTGGCGATGGAAAGTATGGAATCCGAGGGCACCTGAGAAGTGTTGACAGCAGCCAAACAATCCCCATTGATACTCCAAACGGCTAGAGTGGTTCCAGCAGCTGTAACCACTTCCCCTGTCATGTCATTCGCATACACTGCAGAAGCTGGGGCAGGCAATTCGGGCAGCTGCCGCACAAACTCCAAGCTGGTGAGGTCCCAGAATATGACAGTTCTGTCTAAAGATCCCGTCACGACTAAGCTATAGGGTTGACACACGGATATGCAAGACACACTCTTTGTGTGTGCACAAAGAGCACGCTGAAGGTGAAGTCTCCTGGAGCCACGCATGCCATCCTTTCGCAATCGCCACACAGCGACAACTCCGTCCTCTCCACCTGTGACCAGCACGCGACCATCCCGACCAATCCCAGCACATCGTATTGGACCACAGTCATGTAGCCCTTCGTGGGTGGAAAGAAGTTTGTCCTGATCATAGGAGAGGAATCGCAAGGTGCGATCTTGATAACCCCACGCCAGGTATTTGGAGTACGAAGGAGGCTTCAGTACTTGATTGCTACCCACAACATAAATTTTGTCATGGAACATGACAATCTGAGAAACACTGGATTCAAGAGTTCGAATCTCTTGCGGGATCAGAAGATGATACATGCGCAGGCTCTGTGTAAGAAGCGTCTGAGGCTGCCATTTCCGTTTGGGGTGGGGCTTCACGAACAGTTGTCGAGGTGTTTGACCAAAGTGGTTGATTTGTGCCAAAATAGAAGCTTTCATCGATGGATCAGATATTGAATCGATATCTACGGCACCTTCGTACGTGAGATAGAAGAAAACGTTGGTAGCATCTACCGCCGGCTGCACATGGACATTTGATATAGTTGCTTTTATGTACCGAATAACTACGGAGCTGATGGTCAAATGGAAATAAGACCAAAAAACTAATCCTCAAACCGCAGCTACAGAACTTTTTCGCTTCTGCCTTTTAAACGAAGTTAAAGGGTGAATAAACTTCCCCGACAATTGGCCAAACTTTTCAAATGCATCTAGGTAAATCTTAAAGTTGTTACTTAGCTCTTAACGTTGGTTGATTTGGGTGGAAACTCACCTTCCCACGTTGTCGATACCCAAAGATCAAATCGATCCAGTGATGCAAGTTTTCAGAGACATACTGAGATTCGAGTGCTTCGCGATGTCTGCACACGAACTCCCGCGTACTTCCTTTTGCCCAAGGAGGCAAAATAACGTCATCAACCTAGGAAGTAAAGAAAGAAATGCAACATGTAATTAGCTAGAGGTATGACTGACTAAAGACAAAACAATAACACAAGATGAAGTAAACAAGTTTTGGCATCTTCTTAACGTTGGTCAAACAAAATATATTGCGTAGTGAAATGATCCAGCCGATATAACTGCCACACTCAAGAGGTGTTAACAGACTTCACAGTGAAATGTATTCAAACACTCTACCTATGCTTCTATATTCTCTGCTAAACCCACTGGCTCGGTACAAGCAAATTCCACAAACGAAAGTAGGAGGTGATCACAATACAACATCTTGGAACCAAATCACGAAGCAAGAGAAGATCCTGGAAGCCTGAGAGAGACAACGATCCCAGCGTGTTGGACAACAAAGGGGTATCTTCAGTGCAGGTATCAACATGCACTTGTCCAGGAAACGAGAGACGGGAACAGTTTGAACTTTTCAGGGATAGTTATCTAGACGCAAGCACAACGACTTCCCTCTATAAACCGGAACGAGTTTCTGGCATAAAAAAGAGTGGAAAAGCAACGTTCTTTATTTCTGATTGTCCACACGAAAGAATCCACCGTTTCGAGAAAGGCAAAGACACACAAGATCATCTGCGAAAGAAAGCAAAGAACATCTCAAGGTGAACTACACGGCATGAGAACAAACCTTTTCTCCAGACTGCTTCACGCCAAAATCAAACTTGAAGCGATTCTCCAAAAATTCCGGCAGATAAAAGAACTCGGGGATCAATTCCTTCACATCGGCAGTGTTTCCCTGACTTGCACTTAGCCAAGTGTCACGCAAGCTATTGAACAAACGATCCGCGTGATCAAACTGACCCCCTTGCAATTGACGATTCTCCATACTGAAAGGAGGAAGCCTAATCAGATAGAAGAGAACACTTCCCGCACTTGAATAGTGCGACCCGTAATGGAATCTTGGAATTTCAGAGTCCTCCCAACTTTCGTACCTGGAGTTCAGAAAAAGAAAGAAAAATACACGCCAACCTCTTGTTAGAAGATAAAACTATGAGCGTGTGGCGCAATCTACAGGCAGCAGAAGAAAGAAGAACCTCAAATGACATCAGCCAAGACACTGACGGGTCAGCAGAGTGCCAACTACCAGCATAACCACATGGATAAAGGGTTAACATAAGCATGAAGAAAGATCTCTCTGCAAAACGTACACATTACTGATAGTTACAGGCTGAAAACCATAGTACGCTTTGCAGGAAGTAAACTTGGAACACACATTCAATTAAGGAAAATGAATATAATTCTTCAAAAGAAATCCCAGGCATACTCTCTTGTCCGCATACTCAGCGCTAGACTAATCTGCAAAGTTTGAAAGCAGAAAGTAGAACACATGGCATGGTCGTTGTTTCTGCTGGAAACCACATGATAACTACATTGAAACTGGTAAACAGCGAACCAACCACTTCTTAGTCCAATCCGATGGGCGTAGAGCATATAGCTAGGCTTCACAACAGACGGACGCAGGTTGCAAGCCATACCTCTTCCTGAATTCTTCTTCTCTGTCTCGTGACAGAGCTCCCATCGGTTTGTCCAACCGTCGGAAAGTGGCTGGATTACTCAAATCCAACTCTGAGCTTTCATAGTCTGCCAGAATCCACGGAAATACTGGATACTGCGTCAAGTCATTATAACCACGCCCTGCTAAGGTATTGAGATGCATCAGATACTGAAAGTTGCTGATTTCACCATTCTGCCATCTTTTACTGAATGATTTCGCCATCATCTTGAAAAGCCTTCCTCCTTCACTACCTTCCTGCTTCGATAGACCTGAGATTGTTGTATCTAACCTGTAAAAGGAACAAACATATGAGTCTAAAAGACAGTGGCAATGGCGTCTTATGATGTTCAATATATGAGTGATTTCTGAAGTGGAGAAATGCGAACAGTATTGGAAGTAAAATCGAATAAACATGAAACCTGCTTGGACAGACAACTCTTTACGAAAACCTGCAATTTTTTTCTAGGAATCATGGTTAGTCTAACTTTAGGCTCCACAATTACTTGTAAGAATGAGAAATGCTGACTGATAACTAAAGATAGAGCTTCAGGTGGAAATCTTACAAGCTGTTGCGTGGTAGATTCATAGCAAGAAGATTCTTGAACACCTCGTCTCGCTCAGCTTTGTGGAAAACCAGGAGCTCGTTGCATCCATCCATGCTGAAAAGCTCAATGGCAACGGGCCGAAGCTGGTATCGACGCTTTAAGAGCTCGTGTACACTCTCGAGCTTCCACATCCTCCAAGTATGGGACATCTGCTTCCCAGCTTTAGCTGTCTCCTTACCCCAAGCCCCACCACTGTAAGCCCAAGCTCTGCCTCCAGGCCATGCCTCACCAGACCGCTCATTCATGCTGTTTGCCCTCTCAGGCTCATGGAGACTGGCGGCTCCGGCAGAATTAATCTTCACTCCCAATGCCCTGTCAATTACCGAGAGTTCACCCTCCCAGGTTTTCTCGTTGATACGGCCATCAGCATCTATGAAGTAGTGTTCTATGACGTACAGGCACAGTTCGCCAATCAGAAATATCCCGTCATGCTTGTCCAGGCCCACAACGCGTTCACAATTATAGCGGAACCTAATCTTCTCGCCGGGTACGAGGTGAGGTCGAATCAAGTACTCTCCATCGTCAGTGATGACTTTGTCAAGCTTTTTCTCCTCATTCCTTTGGAGATCCTCAGCAGCATCCGGTGAGGAAGGCCTTGACGAATCAACTCCTTGGGTCCCAGTTCGGCAGCTTCCATCAATAGAGACTGCACTCTTGTTACCATTGACGGAGTTTACAGATGTATTCATATCAGCAAGGACAGTGCTCTTTTGCTCATCACTGATAGTAAGCTTTATAGAAGTTGACGCTCCATCGTCTTCTATGGCATCCTCGTACTCCCCTCCTTCGATAGGACTATTTTGAACAAGGTCACCTTGATTCACAGAGAAAAGATGGAAGAATGAACCATATTCCTGATTGTCCAATTCACCGGGAAAAATATTCTGCTCTGCGAACTCCTCGAACTGATTTCCTCCATAACTGGAAGCACGAGTCATAGGGTCCAACTTTATTCTGCATCTTTCAAGCTTTTTCCTCATGCGGTAAGGTCCCTCTGTTGCACAAAGCTGCCACTCAGGATCCTGGCGTAATGGCCGATTCATCCTAGGCCAAATTCCCCTCTCATGAACCAGTTCCTGAAAATGACCAGACCATTCACTCTCTGCATGAAGAACCCAACCATACTTGTCCTGCCTCATCACGCGTAATTCTGCAGCCATTGCCTCCCTCACTACATCCAAAGCGACTCTTCTCTCGACCATTTGCTCCCAATGCCTAGTATGAGACTTTGACATCTCCCTTAACCTTCGGCCCATCTCCCTCTTTCTTCGTGTCTCTAGAGCCTTAATTTTGACCGCAGGGAACCGCCCAGCAGCAGCAACATACTCTTTCCACGTCGGCTTGGCACGTTGTTCAAGAGTCCTTCTGATCAGATCCTGTGCATCTTCGACCCAGACGCGGAAGTCTCTCTCACTTACGGACAGTTTGTTGAAGCCTCCGTGTACGACATCCAGATGCTCCCCTTGACCTCCCTTAACTACGAGCACTTCTTCCACGGACGGTCCGCGGTACAACAGCAAGGCCCTCCATACTTCTACTGCAAGATTCTGAACAGGCGGCCTCTTGTCCCACAACAGAGTAGCCGCGTGTACAACAAGGCATGAAGTGAAGTCTGCATCCATATTGCTGGGACACAGGATGAGCTTCGAATTAGCTAAGATCAGCTTCAAAGCCATCAGAGTGTCGAGCCGACTTACCCCTAATCCTAGATCACCGGAGCTTCCGATTGGAGCTTCTTGAAACTGTCGGGTTGAGTCACTCATGCAAAAGGCGTACATGAGCATGCGATTGGTGTTCTTGAGCAAAGCTTGGACGTAAGGTTCTACTTGACGATAGCCACCCCGAGTTAGCGATAACAAGCTTTTCCCTGTTGGCAAAGCTTCCTCTACTCGCTTATCCTTATTGGCCATCTGCAGCATCTCAAGCAAGAATTCCAAAACTGTGAGAGTACCACTAGGATCAGCAAATGCTCCAGCGTAAACCCGATCGACGAGCATAGTACTGAGCACTTCCAGGTTTGGAGCCCATCGTGTTTTGTCGAGCTTCTTTACTTCCTCTTCGTCGTCTCTCATAAGTCTGCGCTCTAGAATATTGATGATCCGACTTAAACACAAGCCCTGGAAAACCAAAACAGCGTCTGAATCTACATATAATGGGGCAGCTTCTAACGCAGTCTCCATCATGACAGCTCCTTTGGGAAATTCGGTCAAGACTTCTCCGAATATCTCCGCAAGCAAGTCCAAGACTGCCGACGCACCTGTAGAGCAAGGGCCTCCAGCTGTACCCGCGGACTCTAGTCTCATAAGAAGCTGTGGCTTCACTGGGTAAAAAGAGGTCTCTCTAGCAACATTGACCCCAACAGAATGCACATCCTGAACCTCGAAGTCACTTCTCGGTGTAGAAGAGGCCCCTAAAGAAGACGCTGCCCTCAGTCTAGAGCTCAGGTCACTACCACAGAAACCCCCGAACCAGGGCGCACCCAGAACCTTTGGGGATGAAGTCTCTGTATCAGGGGCTTTGGACGCTGAGTTTCCAGTAGTCGCGCCTGAAAGTTCCGATGCAGCGGGAGACCCATTGCCTCCCCAGTTTTCAACCTTGAATACGGCACCCTCCACCCCAACTGACAACGGCGACTTTCCGTTTGTCTGCGGCTGGATCCCTTGTCCATCTTTAACACTGAGAGAATCTTCCATGTTGAAAACCTTCGAAAACTTCTCTTGATCCTCAGACGAGTAGTCCGCAAGTGAATCAACGAAAATCTCTTCGGAACAGTCCTTTTCCATTCCTAGTCCATTGCCGTCCCCACTGGTTACTGTTTTACTTCCTTCCAAGCTTGAATCTTGTTCCGGATTTCCAGCCCAGCTCTGCAGGTTTTGAGATTCCTTCTGTAGTTCCCGTGCCTGATTCGATGCCAGCTGAGCTGCCTGTATCGCAGACGCGGCACTGCCGACCATCCCAACCAAGATACTCAGAAATCAAAGGAGATCATTACAAAAACTCTACTTCACATATACAAAGAAACATAAGTGCAACAATTCTGGAATATTGTATTGGACTTCATACTATTCGTTGCTAAGTAAGCTACGAAGATCGAAAGCTTAAGAAATAATAAACACTAGTGATTAGGCGGACGACAGATTCAAGATGAAACAGAAGCTGGTATGACTTCCCACCAAAAAAATGGGTCTAACGTTTTTTAAGAAACTAGCTTCTTCTTATGATGAAAGTTTTACTATATGGTCTGAAGAGTTCAAAAACTGAATACAACTATCCAATTTTCCAAGATACTCGAGACACATCAGCTACAGCGTATGTATAAGATAAATAGGATACAAAGACCTCCCTTCCCATCTCGAAGTTTAGTTTACAAGCTCTTCCCTTATAACTTTTTCTTCTGTAGGTGCGAGTCTTACATAAATTCACGTCTTACAGTACAAATAGTTGCTCTAACTACTTTACACATAGGGTAGAACAGGGAGCAACAAGCTACGCTCAACACAGCTTGCATCCTTATCGCGCAGCACGACCGCTAAACATTAACCAAAAGAACACAGGAAATTGGAATTCACCTGGCACAGGAGAAGTACAAATCAACACAACACTCGAGGAAGTCTGCACGCCGACATGCGACGGAGAAAGAATGGCACATTTTCGTAAGATCCACCATAAACCGCAAAAGAGATGTCACCATTCCCGGAGCTGCGGCGTCGCCACTCATCAACCTTGCGGCGTATGTCTTGTGCAGAAGAGCTTCACCTTGCAAAGTCTCTGCTGTATCATCCATGGTATCACAAAAACTACCTGCCACGAGTCCGTTGAATTGTGTGAAATCCCCAGACTCCTGAGCCTTCTGAGAGATTATGCTCATACGATCAAAAACAGCTTTAGCCATTGCGATGATTGATTCCAGAAGATCTGTAAAAAACAGCTCTCCAGAGCCACTTCCATCATTTGGCATAAGCGCATGGAAATCGAGCATTCGCACTTCTGGCACTCGTGGGTACACAGGTTTCCCGAATAAAAGACAAAATAGAGCATAATACACTTCGGGAGAATCATAGAAGCTGGGCAGAACATGCACCAGCGCCTGATAGCCACCACTGCTTCGAAACTTGGCTGAAAACATGGGAGATGATGATAAACACACGCCAAGCAGAGTCATCACCCATCGCATGCTGGTGGGGTGAACTGCCTCGTCCAAGAGAAAAGTGATAAGCTTGGACGATACTATCTTATGCCATGAATCCAAGACATCTTCTCCTATTATCGTCATCTGCAGATCGATGAGCATCTCAAGAAGCATGTTCCTTACAATCACCTGGACACCCATATGCTCTCGAGTTACGTTCACCGCACCGGCCACAGGATCAGGAGGATCGAAGGTCATTACAACGAAGTCAGCAACATACTTAAGCTCCGCCGCAAGAAATCCATCCTCTAGTAAAATTCCCAATAGAATAACCAGCTTTTCCAAAATCGGAATCTCCACGTCACCCCTCTGCAAGGTCACCAGCAGATGCTGCACGATATTTATGCGTCGCAGAATCGTAAGATTGTGAACCCGGTAGCAGTGCATAGCGACCAAACGCTCAATGAAACCCAACAAAGAGACCTGGATCGGAACCGGGGCAGTTACCCACAAAGTCCAGTCCAGAAGCACGTGCTCCATCATCTCCGGATTGCTAAGAACGATACTGTTACCTTGACCGTGCTCTGATGCATCGCCTGTTCCGGCTTCAGATATAGCAGTCAAAACTTCATCATGGGCAAAATAATCTGACTGATCAAAAGAACCGAGAGAGGAGGTCTGGTCGTCACTGTTTATTCTCAAAGGAGTATAGTCCACAGTCGCAAGATCTGCCTGCACGGAACCAGGGGTGCCTGCCTCACGTAAACTACCAGTTGCAGGCTCTGCAGCCTTTGAAGAAGGTAGAAAGGGAGAGGCTTCACAGGCAGCTATTTGAAAGAGAAGATCAAGATCTTGCATTCGGAACAAAGACATCCGACGATGAAGGAAGAGGGCAAGTAAATGATAACCTCTGCATGATAGCATATCACGTAGATTTCTGGGATTCGAATGTAGAACGCAAACAAGTAAAGAAAGTGCACAACGAAGCATTTCCCTGCTCTCGGCTGCTTCTATAAGAGCCAGGACCGCAGCAACACCGCCCACAGAACGTATGTTATCACCAATACTGCACGGTGAGCAAATATAAACATCTCCATGCAGCCGGGCTAATCGGGGTAGACCTGAATCACAACATGCAAGAAAATAGGAGCCTTTAGCTTCACTCTGATCCTTTAATGAAAATGGATTCAAATCTCGCATCTAGACAATCTCAGCGTTCAAACAGAGTAGTGAAAATAAGGCACTCTGATCTGTGGAATTGAATTAAATTATTGAATTATCACCTAGGTTCATTGAGGTAATTCACTCCAGTACTTACTCCAGGAGACTGGTCCAAAGACCCATCCTCGAAAAACTTTCTACTTTCGATATCTTTGTATCAGCAGATTTTAAGGTAGACTTTTCAGTGCCGTTATAATGCTATCAGCCGAAAGACATAGCAAAATCAAGCAGACCTCTGCAGCACTTACCTCCGCTAGGAGAAGCCGCAGCTGATACGGGATCGACCAGATTATACATGGAAGATACAGATGATTTCACAGTTGTGTAAGGATGAGTCCCATCGAATGCAAATATCAATTTCCTCGGAGAAAGCTGTTGCCAAAAACCAGCTAACCTCTCCAGGTCCCAGACAATGCCACTATTGTTCGACTTGCCTGCACCTCTCCCTCCATCCCCTTTTTGAGCGTTGTTGTTTGTGGTCATCTCTGTTTCAAGGGCCTCCAAAATTGCTAAATTTCCACCTCCACAAGCTTCATAGGGGACAAAGCGAAGCAAATCTGTATCTTGGAAAATGCCACGGTATCCTCTACCGAGAGAAAAGAGAAAGAAGATGGCAGGCGCAGATAGAATTTCCTCAAAAAGGTAGCATGGCCCAAGCCTCCACGTCAGAGGACAAACTTCAGAAACAGCTGCGGCAGTGCCAATTGTAATTTGTAAAGGTTTGCCTGCAGCTGAAGCTGTATACCCTAACTTCCCGGTGTGCCTCAAGCTACCGTTGACGTAGAGATAAGCCACACTTGACTGGAAAAGGCCAGCTAAGGCATTCGGTTTACTGTGTACGACCACCAAATGATACCAAACGCCTTCCTCCAATCTAACTCCCTTGAACGACAGGTACGAAGTAGGACTTGTGGCAAGAGTCAGAACTCCTGACTCACTCATGTAAAGTTCCGCACACGTCATGGACTTCTCTTCTACAGTGCCTACTGTCAAGAGACGCAGATAGTATGTCCCCGAACCACTTGCCAATTTGTTAAAACTGGCCTTCGATAAAGATCCTGGTGCTGTTGAACCTTTCCTCTCAAGGTTTTTATACCTGATCCAGCAAGCAAACGAATACCCCACGCCTGGCGGCCAGCTTCTTTCGCCCAATGAAATGCGCATAGAAGCATGACCACTTCGAATCATGCTGAACTCTACAAACGGGGACAGTGATACACTTTCATGAGACGCTCCATCCAAGCGACTCATTCGTTCTAGAACCTCCAGAAATTTTCGTCCAACGACACTCAACGCAGTTTCTCTGCTCTGCCAAACATATCTCCCTAGAAGTCGGAACTCAGACGATGACAGCCTGCACATATACAGGAACTCGATATCAAACTCGTCCTGATCTTCAGAATTTCTGAACGCCTCCGAGGAGGCATTGAAAAAGACATTCATGCATGGAACCCCTCAATCCGAGTTACTGAACAAAAGAAGGCCGACAAGAAACAAAGCTGGACTTCCTAACCGTTCCTGCTAATAGTTGAAGCTTAATAGTTCAGCCACCTCTTCCACTGTAATGTAATGTGTAGATTTCTTCAAAAAGAATAGTCATTAATGAAGATTGTGGACTTTGCGGATACAGCGGGTTTGAAGTCTGGAGGCTCCAAGTAGAAGCAGGATTGGTTGAATCAATATGCAAACCTCTTCCTGAATAACTGATTTAGACGTGCAGATGTTCTAGATCAGACAATAAAAAAACCTTCAAATCACGTGAAGAACGTTTTACCTGTAGACTCCCAACACTTCTATAATTTGGAGCACAGACGTCATAAGAGGGGATGAACTACCCAGAAATGGACGAACTGTCTCTAGTAGGAGTCCAACGCAACCTGCACGCGAGCCGATAACTGACTCAGAATCGTCACACATAAAGCGACAACACAGAAGCCTTTCCGGACAGATTTACTCTTGACTAAATATGCGAGACAAACCACACGCTCACGGAAGGCGTAGGTTTGCAGTTGCACGAAATTACATCAACAAGAGGCTGTCAAACTGAAAGACAAGTTAAATTATGCTGGGCAGAATATACACAAGAACGAGATTCAAGGCCTAGTGACCAAAAAGATTATCGGATTGAAGATTACATAATGGCACGTACGGTATCAAAGGTAGGACCTGTTGGTTAGTCTCGTAAGCTTACCGACAGACGTGAGACTATCTTGGTTTCGCGTTCCAGCCTGAGCAAGCTTCTCCAACCTCGAGAGCAACTTCAACTGCAGCTTTGGCGTGATATACGGAAGGGTGTGTATTAGCACCTCTATTGCCCCAGGATTGAAGACCTCCTCAAGAATTTCATACCCTTCGTCAACTGGCAAGGGCACATCAGTGACATTGTTGTTTGGAAGTACAAGCAACGGAAGGATCCCAACGTTGTCAGTGGTTCTCGAAGGGTTCTGAGCTCTCTCCAGAGCTACATCAAACAGGGCATCTACTAGCAACTCCTCATAAAGGGGACAGAGAAGACCGGAAGACGAGAGTAAATGCTTAAATGTCTGTGATGAGATACTTTCGTGCAGTCGAATTCGATTGATCGCACTAGAAGATATTCCCGAAATCATCGTGTGCATAAGTGCATCCACTAATTCCCAGGCGCTTTGAGATACAGTCGCGTCCTGCACTCTCAAGTCCCTCTCAAAGTTCCCTTCCACCTTGAGACTTTGGAACACGGTGATGAGAAGGGTGAAACCCTTAGCTTCACCAAAAACATTCCTGGTTGCCACACTTGTGCTAAGAATACGCCAGACAGTCCACATAATATCTGTTTTCGCGGCAGTGCCAACAATCCACTGTCTCCCAGAAATGCTAGTCGCAACCCCAGTTTTCAAAATCCTAACAAGTCTCCCCAGTTCTTCAGGATGGGCCTGCACATCAGCGGACAGATACAACCACATTACTGGAACACAAGTCTACACCAAATTCATGATTCCAGCATGGCGCAAGTGGAGCAAATGTCCGTAAAAAGTTTTGATCCTTCAATGCAACCCTGCCTCCAAGGTTCCAATGCCCTATCCAGGAGCGCAGTGGAAAATTTAAAAAATGTTTGTACTGATCCAACGCCGTTGAGGACGTGCATTATTTCCAACAAGAAAACCTTTACAGGCGACAACACTAACTGTTGAAAAGGTCTTACCTGGCTGGCGTCTTCAAGGATAAGAGTGGAGAGGACTCGTAGTGCCCCCGGTCGATGCTCATCAGAAACCAACAACGGAAGAATGACACCAATACCACCAGTCTTTCGGAAAACTGCTTGATTTCCTTCACACTTTTTTAAAAGCGAGTGAAGGCATTCCCAAGCTCCACCTATGGTTACCGTATCTCCATAAATGTGAAGACTCGGGGGAGCCTGCCCTGCAGAGGACGCGACAGTCAGAGAGCGTTCTTTGACTGGCGGACCTCCACTGGGCCTAAGCGTGCTGATTGATCCGTAACTCCCTGTAAAAGAGTCTAAGTCTTGACTCGAGGCCTGTTGGAGGGCATCCGAGATGGGTAGCTCGCACAGCCTCAAATCATCCAGAAGCAGGTCGAGCAAACCAACTTCTCGAAACACCTTCTTGTACTGTCGATCGAATGAAAGCAACTTCACAAAAAATGAAAGAACTTTAGCCCTCATCGTTGAGTCCAACGGCTGCTGTAGAAGATAGCACAGCGACAGAAGCTCTTGTTCGGGAATACAATTCACAACTGTTACAGCGTACTCCAAGACTTTCAAAAGACGTTCTTGAAGAATGGCTGGAAAAGATGCCATGTTTTGAACAAAGACAGGTATTGTACGGAGCTCCTGGACCAGAGCATAGTTCTCTGGATGACTCGAAAACAGTCTGAGTAGACGATCCAGCACCTCGAGTTGCAAGCCAAGGTTACCAGACTTGAGAAACAGATCCTGTAAGACTTGGAGAGCATCGGGATCACGAATCTTTCCATCAACATCCCTCTCCCGGTTTTCTAGACTAGGAGCTCCAGGAGCATCAAAGAGAGGGAGGCAATGCGCAGCTTTCACGGGAGCCTTTGCTGAGCCCGTAGATTTTCCACCTTTACCACTGGCTCCTTCGTACTCTCCCACTTGCGAAAGTTCCACAAGAAAGTCAAATAATCGCAATAAAGATGGTGGAACGTGTAAACTGGTACCATCCCCGGCTGGACCTGACCTCGGCGACGTCCCTTCTGAGGAGGCCTGACCACCATCCTTTCTTCCAGGTGTGGTTGGGGAAGACGGATACTTCCCATCTTTGCTTGACCCAGCGAGCTTGAACGCCAGTTGCACAAACAGTTGATAACCACCAGCTTTCTTGAGGTCGTCTCGCAATTTCACCCCACCTGCCTCTGCAGAGACAGAAATGATAGCAAAAAATGCTAAGTGTTGATACGACCTTTTGAGCAAGGAAACAATGAGTAAAAACGTTCGTTAATGGGTGTGGACATCGTTCCGGCCGACCAAACCGTAATAAATTGGCACGTCGACCTCCAGGAAGGACAATAGAACGTTCCTGCCTTGGAACTCTGATAGAAGCAGCAATAATACGAGACTTTCTAAAATCTAAGTAGACAAATCACATCCGGCAAGGCATCGCGTTTGAACCTGGTCGGCAAGATAGTTGAAGGCAGTCGAGAAGCAACGTAACAACCCCCATGGTGTACGTTGGATCCCCTGTTTCACTGTCGAAGTCCTTTACCACCTTCAAAAGTGTCTTCTCAATCTAAAGCACAAAATGAGAGTCAATTACTATGAGTCGCAGTACTTAGGTGCTCAGGCAATCAAGGAAGAATCTGATACAAACTGTACTCGTTGGTATTTGCAATGGGCCCTCTCACCGTTGAATTGCAGAATAGATGTACACGAGGTAAATGGAGAAGAAGTGGATAGACAGTAGCCAGTAACTACAGACGCAGATGATGCAAGATCGCTGGGAAGCTGAAGGTATGATGTATTGGGAGCCATCTAATGTTTAGGTCACCGACGTCTAAACCTTGAATTTGTTGAGAACCGGGGAGACTGTAATTTTTTTACCTTGTGTACATCTATTCTGCAATACAACCGTCCTCACGGATGTTGACGCAATATGATTCTGCCAAGCGCTCTGGATGTCAAAGTGAAGAAACCTCGTCCCAAAGAAACAATAGAACCTCATACAATCAGCATATACCCAATACTTGGATAATTAAACGGAACCTCAAACTGAAGGACTGGAGCGCACCAGCTTATGAGTATGAATGTACTTCGCTGAACTGCCATTGTCACTAAGCAGCAAAAGAGCTAGTATCTGCACGAAACACACATATGGATAAGAAAACATCAGATACAAAATACAGAAAACTGTCACAGACACGAAAGGAACAGAATAGAACAACGGATTGAAAATGAGTGACTGGACATGTTACAGGTGGATTAGGAAATTGAGACTTAGATTCTAATACATACTAAGTAAACTCACTGTTAAACACAGTACGTCCCGACATCTGCTTGATTACCTGTAGAGAATGACGATGGAGTTGAGCAAGATGCACGGGAGGGTTCGGGTTATCGTTGAACTTAGGGATTGGTGACGAGGCAGAGCCCATTACAACCATCTCAAAAACAAGGTGAAGCATGTCATCCTCTGCAAGGTGTTGGGCAGCTCCTGGATGACGTGCCAAAGCCTTCATGATATGGACCACACTGCCTTCAACCTAAAAGCACAGGACACACCATGGTACACAGATAGACTTAGACATTCGATCCACATGGCAATAGAAGAACAGGCATGGACTGCATATTGCACAAAGTAACCACCAAATTAGAAGTTTCATCGACATTACGTATTGCGTGCATGAACTCAGTAACACTGATAGGTGGAGCCTCCAGGGCAGATACACCGGCCGTAAATGCTTTGAGTAATCCAGAAAAGAATCAAGTAGAAAGACTCAGAAGCTTTTGGAAGTTGATGAAACGGACAAAATTGATGGAAGGAAGAAATACCATTAGTCTATGTTTCAACTCCGAGTTGTCATCGACAGTACTTGGAGTAACTTTATGCTCCTCTGCGATATTTGCTTCAGATTCAGTGAATGCATCTCCTCCAGACCGACTAGCTCCTTTGCTTGGAGAGCTAGGTGTTTTCTTGGAAAGTAGTCTTTGAAGGATTGCAGATCCTGGACTACTACTCCTATGCTCGTCTGTACTGACAGCATCAGTCCCAACAACTGCTTCTGATCCTCCAATTTCGACGGCAATCTTGGTGGGCATGGTTGGCTTTCTCGTGAGAAGTCTATAGAGGATAGAAACAAGGCAGGACAGAAGGCCTGCATCTAACAATGGCTGCACATCCAGCGGCTGCAACCAAAGTTGAAAAGTCAGAAATAAAATGTGGCTGAAAATCCATTAGTTCTGATATCTTCAATTTGTGAAACACACTAGCACTATCATGCAAAATAAGGATTCATGCCTTGGAAGCCAAAACCAAACTGAACTAGGAAGCTCGGTGTGGACGACTCAACACTTGTCAAATTTCACTCAGTAACTTAAATTTCAAATCTCAATTTGTGAAATTAAATTGACCTATTGGAGATGCCCCGTAAAGGCTATCAACAACTTTCCAGAAGAATCCAGCAGAAAATAATTCAGGCACCAAGAGATGAGCATAGCAGAAGGTTTGTGATAGAAGTGGTTTAACAGGATATTCCAGCATAGTCAAATTAAGCATCCACTTGTGAAGAATGACAAGCCTATACAGTTGACATGACTCTGTTTCGATACTGGTGGTTTTCCAGAATGATGATAGTTTCAAAAACCTGAAACTCTTGGAGCACTTTTCATTGATGTGCAGGGTCAACAACTTACCGGAGACACGAGACCCTCGAGTGCAAAAAGCATGTTCATGCCAACGCTTGGCTCATCCTACACATCACAAGAAAGCAAGTATATTTTTTAGCAGAAATCATTCATGGCGAAACGTATTTGGGCATGACATAACCTCATGGGAGATAATGCACAATACCTTATCAATTGTAGTCGTAACCTATAATGAAAACCTTTTCAACGTAGATTTGTTTACAGCGCACATTGTGGTGCAGCATCACCATGCGATACAGATGTTCAGATAGATGGAAACTTGTGAAAAGCAGAAGAAAAAACTCTCCAGGGGCATTATTTCTTCATACCTTGTGCCCTTCAGCAAAGAAGAGCAATATATCTTCGCCTTTCAGTTTCTCAATGTCGGTTACCAGTGCCCTGGCCACCACAAACGAGAAAAGCCTCGCATCTACCAGCCTAAACCACGGGCAATTTGAATGTCAGGAAACAGCCTCATGCAAGAGAGGAACCATAATCCTAAAATAACGGAGAAGAATACATCTGCAAACCCGTATGAAAGCTGGACATCTAAGATGAAACAAATCATCTACAAGAAGGAGACGCATCATTGCACGAGTTCAATAAAACAACTCGACTCCCAAGACCTCAAGGAACCCACTTAACGAAAGGAATTAGTAAATTACTTGACTAAAATGGTGTTCAGAAGAAATCAAGATACTGCTCATGGCTTACATGGAAGCTAGCTGAGGAGCGTTGCCGTTCTTCTTGAACAACTTGCAGAAGACCTCGAGCGCCATCTCCAACGCTTCCTCCTTCTCCTGCATAGATCAAGATACGTATGAAACGGCATGAAACTACCTGCTGGAGACCAAATTTGGTTCTCAAGCTGACTCAAACATACCAGTTGATTAGATACACTTCACAGATGTGCATAGATAAAACATGTCGTCAGCACGTTTCAAACCTCACCTTTTCAGAGTTTGAAGAACGAAACTCATCCCAGAATCTTTTGAAGTCCTGCTCGGTCTCAGGTCTGCAAATTGATGTAAAAATGTTAAAAATTATTATGCACTTGACTTAAAATAGAATGCGTAACATTTGGCCGAAATTTACCCTGGAGCCTATTACTTCGTCTATTTAGTTTCTGTGCTTTTATCAAGTTGAGAAAACTTGGCTTGCATGTTTTTTCCACAAATTTTCCAAGTTACCAAAATAAGTAAAAAGGGAGGGCATTGTCTATTCATCACGAGATGAACAGAAAAGCAACTTGCAGATCTAGGTTACATTAAGACTTGTGAAATTGCAAGGAGTTTCAATATACAGGAAAGCATGAAAACCAAAATTTTGCCTTATGGTGGATCTGAAAAACAAAAGAAGTTCTTCGAAGCTAAAACCCACAATCTCGGTATAAGATCATCATCGGAACATTCAACCGCAATTGGACAAATACATAAATTGCACTTGACAGGTTCAAACACCAAACTGCCTAACTTGCCGACTCGAGTAACAATGGCTTTGTCAACTAACGCTAGTCATGTTTAGGGCAATTCACATCACAAGCGTTCTTTATATGTCCTAAAACCCCATTGTGTACTTTTCGTTCTTAAGTTATAACAACCCGTCTAATGCTTCCAGGCGATAAACGCTTTAAAACAATGCACCGTCCGGATCATTTCCTTCACATGTCCAGCTCGAGCAGTTGTTGTGGATAAAGCAAGCCTCGTGAACAAAGACAAGCTCCTGGATTCAAGGACGTAAGGCCGGCAACAATATGAAGTCCTTGAGATGTAAAGATGTACCTGGCCCTGGTCGTTCCATCTTCGGATAAGTGATGGCGGGCAGGTGAAGGCGATGCAAATGGTGAAGTAACTCGGTCCTTAAAACGCGCGACCCATTTCATTGTTGCTCAGCCGACTGATCGAACCACATTGACATGTGTGTCCACTCCAACATTACCACTCTATCTCTATCTCTCTTTCCCAACAGAATTTCCCGCTACAATGACAGCTGACAAACGGAAGCGTGCGACCTGACTGCTCGGATTCGTTCCAATTGTTTGTCCCCACTCTGCCTTCTCCATACACTCTTCGTAAAACTCTACTCACAACTTCCACTCCAGCTTTCAAGCTTTCCACGAAAAACCTCAACACAAATCGTCCCGGATCTGGTGGAGGCCAAGAATGGCCACAGAAACGAACTTCGGTAGAATTTGATCAGCTCCAGCATCCCCTCCAGCTTTTTTGAGAAGAATGCTGAATCATGGCTTCGCAAGGACGGTTGTCGTCAAGATACTTCTACAGAGGTCTAAAGAAAGCCAGACCTTGCTCGTCAGCACTGGATCTGCCTGATCTAACTAGAGTCAAAAAATGGCCTCAATTTCTAATCTGAACATCATCGCCCGACGATTCTGGATCAGTTTGTGCCCACATTCTCCACCAGTACTGATGCTATAGCGGATGCATCCCCCTAGCGCTCCGTTACCTGCAAGGGTGTCCGAGATCACATATTGTCAGAGAGCTCTGCAACGTTCCCGCTCAGCAGCCCCTCTTCTCCTCCTTGTCAGACATCCAAAACCGTATCGGTCATAAAAACAGAACACCAGGAGACACAATTCCTCCTCCCCTCGTCACAAATTACACGCAGCCAACACCTTGCCAACCTCTTATCACCATGACACGCAAACACAAGGACCGAGGCATTCGAGCATTCCAACCTGAACACTCTTCGCGTTGACCATCTCAATTTCGATCAGCTCAAGCTACTCCACAATTTACACACCTCCTACTTCGGCACGACTGCCCGCCTGCCTGCCTCGACCTCGTCAACATCCGAATCAATCCCTCTCTTGCTCTCGTTCCCTCTCCCTCCTATGGCTCGCTCGCGCCCTCCATCCCTCTCACACAGACACAGCCCAGCCAGCCAGCCAGCCAAACCAAGCCAGAAGAAGCACGCTGGCTCTGTTCTCCTTCATTTCACCATCTCCTCCAGCGCCACCGCCACATCACATCACCTCAACATCAAATCGCCCTCACCGGGACGTCTCATCAACACTAGAATAATCTCCCCCCTTCTCCCGTCGTCGACGAGCCAGCCAGCCCGGTCTTGCTGCTCGAGCTGCTCCGTTTCCTCCTCCTCCGTCTCCTGCTGCTTCTCCACCAAATGCAACCAGCAGCGCTGCGCTCTCGCCCACTATCTTGCCAGTCCGGCCCGCCTGAATCCTGCTTTAGCCGAGCCCGGCGACGTGCCGCTAATGAGAAGGCGACCCGGCCACCCCTAGATTCATTCGCTCCACCGCTAAGCCCGCACCCCCCAGCTCACCTCCCTCTCTCCCTCCTCCCTCCCTGGGCTGGGCCCGGCGGCCCCGGCGCCCTTTCTTTATGCCTGGGCCGGCCTCGGACGGCCTCCCTCGGACGGAAGAGAATACCGTGCCGCGTCTTCTTGCAACCCGACCCTCGCACAGTACAGTAAACCCTCGTCCGCCCGAATCCGCTTCTTTTCCGACCCCAGGGCGCGCATCATCGGCCGGGCACAGATTCGCGAGCCCCCGCATCTGCGCTTCCGGCATCCGGCACTCTTGTCACGCTCCGGCCTCTGGTACGAGCCGGAGCACGGTTCGAACCGGCTTTCCATCAGCCCAGCCCAGCCTATCCCGGGCGGGCCCTTAAGTTAGGACCGATATATTTGGGCCGCGACTTCCTGCGAGAATAGGATGCCATTTGGGTCCGCTCGCCTGAGAATAAGTCCGCAAACTCCAAGCCATGTGAAGACTCTGTCGAACCTTGTTGGTGGAGGCGACTTTTGCGCTCTCGGATTTCTGTATTATCTGCCTTCTTGGTCCACGGCCGATTCTGTGCCCGGCACAGTCCTTATCAGGACTCGATACAGACCCGTCCCCGATCGATTATTGATTATATTGACAAATCTGGACCTTGTTGCAATCGGTAGTTGCTCTCATTTTTCCCAGGTCAGGCGCGGCCACACCTCCATTCAAGGCGAGCCAGATAAGGAGGCGGGGATATAATCGAGGATAATAGCAACAAGTATCACCATCACGAGATTGACTGCACCACCGACCCGTAGAGGCATGCCCGGATCCGCCACAATTTCTGCAAAGGCTGCTTTATATTCATAAAGACCCTTGCCCCTTTTAACTCATCTTATAATTGACGTCGACTGGAAATTGGACGCTTTCGAAAATATTGACCTCCCCTCGAACACTACTAACGACGTAAAATTGTCCCAAAAGTCTAAGGAAACACGTTTGCACGGAGAAAAGATGTCGTGTAAACTTGTCTCTGGGTGGCGAAGTAGACTAAAATACACTTGAAAGACAAAAAGGATGGGAAGTTAGGGTAGGTCCTCTGATGTGTAATACATGAAAAGCTTTGTGATGTAGCACTGATAAACTTGTTCACTCTATCAGCATGTAACATACTATTCTGAATGTACTACCATGACTCAGATATCATAGAAAAAAAAACTCTTTAGATTTGGAAAATATACTTCAGAACTAGATTTTGTTCCTTTTTAAAATAACCACGACTATTGTCAAATCCTTTGAAAATATGAACGTCTTTTCTCATGAATCTCCTCGTTTGCGCCTAACTTGCACGAGAATACTTATCACAAATTAAGACTATATGGAAACTCTCCAACTCGTATTTCTTGCCCATGACAGATTTTTGAAAGTTAAATGTCATATTAAATAGTGTTCTTCTACATTTTGGTCACGGATATCGTAACTTGCTCTACCAATGTAACTGGCCAATGTAATAAGGAGATATGTTAGGAGAAGACGTTGAGGCCGTTGAGCTTTATTGATTACTTTGGTTACTTAGATCAAGACACAAAATACCTTTTCTTCACCAGAAGATCGTGAACTCGTCATGGATTAATCAGAAAAGACGTCAACGACAAGACCTCATGTCGTAAGAGATTCAATGCCCAGTTTCGAACTAGAGTAATTCCGTGTGGTCATCTTTCAATGTAGCCCCGACCTCAAAAAGTATAAGTTTCAAGCCATCAGAGGAGAAATATTTTCTTAAATTGAATGAAATGCGCTCGTTGATGTAAGTTGATTAAATATTAAAATTTCTTTTCTCGTGAAAATTGTTACTTTTCATGTCAAAGGGCTATGTCCAATTCTCAAACAGTATCACACATTCCTGGGATATTTAAAAGTTGCCAAATTCATTTCATGCTCATTTTCGTTTATTTAAAAACCATCTGAATGTTTCTTATTATAATATAGACTATATTTTTACGGCAGCACTCAAAGGAAAATTTTATAACGCATTTGATTGATTGATATGATCTACCAATCAAAATGTTTTAAATAATCTCTTAAATAAAGATGTAGCAAAAAATAAAAATTAATAACATATATTGACATATGTGAATCATTAGGAGGTAATGTGTTTCAAAATATGAAAAAACTTATACTTTCGAACCTACAGAAAATGGAGTTATTTGATATTATATAACTAAATTAGTTCGGCTATGTATCGAACAAATCATTTTTTATTTTAAATAATCCAAAAAAATCGGAATAATAATATTTGACCCCCCAAAATTTTCATATTTAAAAAATAAAATCTATGACTTAAAAAAATGGAAATCTAACCAAGTGATTTTGAATCAATATTCAATGAAAATTCAGTGATAGTGAAAAATTGGTAATTCAGAAAATATCTTAATATATGGATCAATTCATTTGAATGGTTAGAAATATTTTTTGCAATGAATTGATTAACATATCATAATAAATGATAAACATTCAAAACGTTAACAATTTCAGTTCATCCATCTTGAACATCGGTTCATAATTTGTTCTAATCAAACATTTTAATATGGATATGGATGAAAATTTATCAGCTCATCAAACGTCTAGTAATTTGTTTGTGATATCAACAACAAATTTTCAAATCTAAGAAAATTATATTTTGAAAATAATTTTTATCTTTAAAAAAAAATAACAAATGTATATTAAATATATTTCATAAAATTTATATCTCAGAATTTCAATCATTAGAAAATTTCAAAACTTACAAAAAACAAATACAAAAAATAAAAGCAAAAATTCATTATAATTGTGAACTATGACATTAGATACATGTTAATGAAAAGTTATAATTTGTGTCAATTAACATAAATTTTGAAAGACAATATTAAAATTATAAATTATTTGTACTCATGTATGTACTTATCCAGCTCAAAGGTAAAAAAGTAAAGATTGGTGTTGTTTTGTATCTACTAAAAGTTTTTAAAGGAATTATATTTTGTGACCATTGCAATTGTTGTGATCCCAGAAATATCATCGATCAAAATTCTGCCCGTTTGTCTAATTCATGAAGCAACTTTGCTATTAACTACTAAGACGTGTCCATTATTTCATGATATACTAGTTATTGCCAAAGCACAGCAAATTATTCTGATGCTAAAACATGGCTGTTTTGTATTACGAATTAAATGGTTCATTGAGATAAATACACATTTATCTATTTTCATTTTAGAAATCAAGTTTACGCAATCACTCATGTAAATTTTGTTACACATCATGATCTTCTAATACGATGATCAAAACAATATAACATTTTGCCTTATTGACCCGGCAATTTTTTTGTAATTGAATATCAACTTACCTAATACAAATGTAAGTTGAATTTTATTTATTTTTTATATATAAATATCCGTATTTTAAAAATTTGGAAATAAAAATTTCAAAGTATCACAAACAAAAAATACGGAAAATGCTTCTTTATATGTATATAGTGGAGAAATAATCTACACATCAAATGTGTACTCATTGAGCCAAACAAACTTTATTTGTCCCACAATATAACTATCGCGACATTGTGTTCATGTCGCACATAATTCACACATACATTTTATACTAACAGAAAAATTAATTTCAACAATGTCACTATTAAAAACTATGTCATTTCTCATTGTGTTATATTAATAATATCTATTCACATATTTGAACTAAAAGAAAAGTTGCACAAGATCTTATAAAGCAAGCTGCATGGCACATTCATCATCAATAAATTGCTTGTAATTTTATGACATGTGCTTTTGCTAAATAAGATTTTTTTAACAAGCAATCAGAACGTGAAACAAATCAAAATAACAAAAAACTAAAATGTTAGAAAACAGAAATTCCATCATATCCCATTTAATTTGTGCTTTTTTGATATCTTATACTCAAAATCATTTCATGCATGATGATGATGTTAAGCTTGCATTTACTTCTCCTATAAAACACAAATATTTAATCTAAAAATCCAAAGTATAAGAAGTTTGATTTCAAAACAATTTATTCATGAAAATATCCATTTTAAATAAAATAAAATAACTTTTTAGTCTAACTGGCTTATAAATATATTCATATATCAAAAGTTCTGAATCAATTTTGTAAATTTGTTGATTTTTTTAAAATAGAAAAGATCTTAATTTTTGGTTTAATCACTCATAAAAATAGCATTTCATAAAGTGACTATTTTTTTGATGAAATTTTGTTTGGACGTTTGCAGAAAGCAACAATCAATATATATTGTGTTTGTTTTGGTTTGTGTATTGTTATGAATTCTATTATTAAATGCAAATTTTGTGGCTGGCACTCAACATTTTAGTTTAAGTAGGAGCTGTAAATTTATAAAGGGTTCTCATATTATCTTAGAGTAAAAGGTACAATGAATGGTTAATATCAGATGTTAAGTTGTTCAATAAATAAATCATTTTGAGCTTTATTTGTTAATAACTTGATTATTTCTTTTCACACTGCGTTAAAGTTTGAAAGATATAAATTTGTAAGTAGTCTGATTCATGAAATTCAATCAATCTTCGTTTTGTAAAAAATAAATTTGCAAAATATCTATTAATTCCGACAGATCATAACAGACGAGAGTGCAGAGCCAGAGCTTTACATTGAAGACATGGACCATCACCACACAAGACTAAAATATATGATAACCACGACAACCGTTGCAGTTTGGTCATTGTTGAGGAGTCTTCCAAGCATGCTCTTCATACCCAATGCGACCATTGCCGGTGCATTGGCAGTCCTCTCTAAATACGGAAATCTATAAATAGAATCTGTATATTTCGTATATTATTTTCAAAAAATGCCGTTTTTTACTGAAAAATTTAGGTGAGAACCTAAATTTTCCTTCACTCATTTTGAAACTCCGTGACGCATTTCTGTACGTCCCAACAACCCCTTGACCATTTACTAAGTAAATGGTCAAGTAAATTATTTAGTAAACTTTACTGCCCTCTTGCATTAATGTACATCACTGAGCCGGCTGCAAAGCGTCCTTGCAAAGCTTCAGCTCGCAAAACACCGATCTAGCCGAAGCATGCAATGTAGTATGGGCTGGTTGTCACCGCCCGCGACCCAACAACTTCCAAAGTTGTTGCTGTCCGCTGTCAGTTCTGTGTATGTTTTGGTCGCGAAGGATCTTTTAAGAAGTCCTAAACGACTTGGACATTCGAAGGGCCTCCATTTTGAACCGATAATTATACGCAGCATCTCCGCCTGAACCACAAATCTAGATGGGCTGAATACCAAGGACTGGCACCGCAGGAGAAATCAAAATATTTTGATGTAGCTGTCAAGCACGCTGAAACAATTTGCCCTTATATCGAGAACAAATCTGCAGCTTCAAACTGCTTTCAGCCGTTACAACGAGCAAACCGATATCAGTGATGCTTGGAAAACCGCAGCCATTAAGGACCGATTTCCTGAGTTGATGGAGTTTTGTGGGGGGATTAATACTCCTTTTCCTAATACCGCTACTGTTGAGAGCGATTTTTCCATTTTAAAATGGAAAAAAGACATTGATCGATCCAATTTGACACCTTTTTCTCTTGAAGTGGGATTAAATTGCCGCCAGATTCGTACTCTGCTGAAGAACTAACAATGATGTCTTACCAAATCCAATAAAATGCCGTATATTCCATATTTTATTCATGCAGTGCTCCGTATTTTAAAGAAAAATGGAACATATGGAATATTCCGTACTTAGAGAGGCCTGTGCATTGGTGAGAGACTCTTCCCAAAACCAGTCATGCGTGCACGTGCCTGTAATTATATCACTTCGACTATTGAAAAATATTAAAGCTAATTATATATATAAAAAATCATCAGTTAGAAACAATTAAAGGTTCTAAACTTCTGATTGGATACTTAAGAAATGATTAATACATACATTCATTAATCAATTAACATTGATCCAAGATAAAAAAATTTCAAAGCTTAAAAAAAACATGACAGTTATTTTTCATTAAAAATTATCCAAGTATGATTCGAAATAATAACGAGATAACAGATTTATTTTTATTATAAAACTTCATAGAAGTTTAGATCTTAAAGCTTTGTTTAAAAATCGAGTGAAGTTCTAGATCACCTTCATATTTTTTCTTGATTTTAGGATAAAATTTCAATTATTATTATTAATATTTTTTTTAAATTTTATTATTTTATTTATGAATTTTATTTTAATTTTATATTTCATGAATTAATTATAAAAATTTCATACAAATTTGTTATTATTTCTCAAGATTGAATTTAATCTTTTTCCAATCTATGCCCGTATACCTTCCTTTACTTCCGCTACGCGCCTTTGGGACGGTTTGCCCGAGTTTTCAAAGATGAAGAGTTTTCATTTACTAAGACAAGGAAAGCTAAAGGGATATTTATAGAAGGAGTATTTTTTTTATTTTTTAAATTTTCAATATTTTAAAAAATGAACAAATGTACACAATTTTGTTGCATTTTTAATTTTATTGAATATAGACGTAAATTTGTATAGTTTTTTTCTTCTGAATTAAAATAAATTATTATTATAAAAAATACTAGGAAGTACAATATCTTAAATATAGAGTTCAACCAAATTGAACTATATTCTTATAACCTGCTATGAAATGTGCCATTTGTACATGTGACCAGCATGCAATATTTATGCTTATATTTCATATTCATGTGAAAATATGTATATTTATATCTGGACTATAAATTATCTTTACAATATCTAGGTTTTGGAGATATTTTGTAAAGATTGGAAAAATTAGTTTGCAAAATGATATATAAAACTTCATGAGAAAGAGATATGTCTTTTATTGTATTTAATCAGCTATATGCTTTTACACAACAAAAATGAACAGAATTTTTCTTTCAAATGTGGCTCACATTTAACCTTGAATTTTGCATTTTTACTCATATTGATCATACAAAATCCTCCTCATTTATTGCTCATTGTACAAATATGTTAATATTTTTGTTCACTTTTTATTTTCAAATTAGTGCAATATTTGATATTGTTACTTATTAGACTTCATTCAAATGAATCAATATAACTTATCTTGGCATTTAATTTCAGCAGTCTCCTTTCAAAATGTTCCGTTATATATCTTCTTCTTTCTTATTCTCTTCACTCATTGTAAAACTTAAGCTTTTCCAGTCGTGTTAAATGTAAGTGCGTTATGAATGTTTGAGTAAAACCTAAACTTATAAAGTATGTACAGGATATCAATAAGATTTAGATTTGTATACAACTCTATGTTGAGGGCAAATTGGAATCTACAATTGAATAACTTCATATTTGGATTAGTCTTAAGTTCTCAAAGGATATAATTCTTCAATAGTTTTGTAAAACAATTGTAATGGTATACGACTACTTTGTGTAGATGTGCATGACAACTTTCCTGTTGCGATATGATATGCATGTGCACAACACCAAGTCAAGTGTCTTCCGCATCAGTGATTATACTGATGATTTCCATACCGTAAAACGAGTTAATGGGTTACACTTAAACTAAATTTGTATTCCTTTAATCACTTTTGTAATTTGAGAAACGCTTTGTAACAAAGTCAGGCTTGACCTGCTGGGCACGGGCTGGAGTTGTGCATTAGTCAAAGGGAAAGCTGTGGCACAACGATAATTCCATGTCTAAACCAAAAAACAATCTACGTGGCCACAATGCACAGTTTGCAAGTAAGGACACACTTCATCGCAGCAACTCGGTCGCGGAAGAATCCGGACTCAGTTCGCCATGAACGGCATAGTCACCAAGGTTCGGTCGTATACCCAAGAATAGAATACGATGGGGAGTAAAAATAAGCCCAAGGTAGAGAATGGAAGCCATTATGCTCGTCGTCCACTTGCGTTATGTCTTCTTCTTCGAGCATGACTTTTTCCTCAGAAAAAACTGCCAAGAAGAACAAATTTGGAGGAGTATACTCTCTCCAGAGCTAGACGCGCGCGTGGGATTAGTATCTATGCCTTGGGGCTCAGGTACTAATCCAAAGGCACGCATCGTTCGACTCGTTAGGCATAACTGCATCGATGGCAGGATTACTTGAAGTAATGTGATGTACTTTTGCAAAGAAAGAGGTTGTGCTGTGATTGACATGTCTGAATGAGACATCATCTGATATGAAACACATGCTACAAGTAGAATGGTCTTTATGTAACGATATGGAGACCAAGTACAAAATGGAGACAGCTGAACATTTTGGCTGGAGTACGGGATGGCTGCACATTTGCACCCGAACCAGATGAGGAGATGAGTGCAAATCGTAAACTTGTTGACGATTGTCCTTCCATCCTGACTCTCATACCTCTGAGATTTCTCCTGCAGACTGTCGTGCTTGTCTCCTGAAATCCTGTGGATTAAGATGTCGCTCTCTCTGTGTTCCTGAAGTAGTTCTCTCTGTGTTCCTAAAGTAGCTCGGTACTCAGATTGCGATGGCCCTGGTTACCTCGAGTCTAGATACTGCAAGGGTGGATCATATTCACTCGTGTACACCTCCACCGTACAGAAAGCCCATCCTGTTTGCCGAGACACAGACAGTAAGAAGTCCTTCCCGTTCGACACCTCCAGAACACACTTAGTACTCCATGAAACCGTGGCAAAGCTCGGCAATGTGGTAGATAGTCGTGAGTCTGCACTGTATGCGTAGTCTTTGGACCCAATCGGTTTCGAAATTGAAGACCAACTTGAACGGTGCTCAATTGATAACAGAATTGACATATGGGAGACACGGCGCCCAAGACACGCTCAGTATTATAAAGGCTGTATGGCGCTGTACGATGTATCCGCTTCTGCACACATGCTGTAGATGGTGTCTTCGGAGGCAAGAACCTTCCAATAACCTACGCCCCTTACGAAATTCCGATGCCAGTGTATCTTTTCTACGTTCTCGGACACGCCTCCCGAGGGTCTCTCATTCATCTTGTTCACAGGCGTAGCCACTAATTCAGGCAGAGACAATCCGGTGCTTCCTAGTGCCCTTGCGGGAGCAGCCACATTTCCGTTACTCGACGACACCATACTGCTGACGTCTTCATGCTCTGCAGCAATTCTACTGGGAAGGGTGGCTCCAGCCATGGTGTTCAGCTGGGCTGCTTGGCTCGCTAGGGGTGAGGTAGGGGAGCCGTCTGCTGTATCTTTCCCATTGGTGCTACTATCTCTAACACAAGAGCTTCCTTCCAAATTTTGTGAAATATGAGGCAGCAAGAGGCTCAAGTCGTGACCTAGATTACTTTTGTACAAATCTACACATTCTTGCAACGACTCCTGGTTCTTTGCGTGATTGAGTTTCTGTAACAGCATGTCGAAAGCCTCCGTCCTCTTCAAGCTTTGCTTCCCTTCTTCGGTTTGTGCTTTGAAACGTTTGCTTTCCAAACGAGCAACACACACGCCTGCCGTCAGAGCACTGTCATCGTCTTCCACAATTACCTCTGATGGCTCTTGCTCTGGTTTTCTCAACCTTAATAAGGACTTATCTATCACTTGCTTTAGCTTCTGCCGGCTTGCATCCTTCCTTTTAGTATTCGATGCAAGCCTACATCTCATCGCATCCAACAAAATTGACTCATCTAATTTAGTTTCATCTTCACTACATCTCGACCCCTCCGAGCGAAGCAGCTCCCCAGCTGCCGTCAGCCCCTTCAGGGGTCCAGCCCTCAGAGCAAAAATCTCTTCGAGTAGAGAGGCGTTCGACACATAGCGGTCGAATGCTTCATCCTCTGCCATAATCTCTGAGGCTGCGTGCTCTTTGATTTTCTGGAGCCTCCAGGAGTTTGTCATGTACGCTTCCTGGCAGAATACAGCACAAAGAGAAAACGTCAATCCTCAGATCTACAATCTACAATCCCTTGCCTCCATTCAGTTCCACATGATCCACAACCACGACTACAACGACTGGCCTGCTACGAAGAGATCTTGGGGTGCACCCAAGGACGAACCTTTTGGTTGGCGATTCTGAGACTTTTCAGCCTTTGAGCTTCTTGTTGTTCCAAGATAGAACTCGCCACCCAAGCCCGGGCTCCCGATGAAGATGGGGCATAATTTTTGCCCACCGCAGAGGTGTCCACTGGCGTTGGGTGACCCATGCCAAGCCCAATCGGAGTTGGAATGTTGTAAGGTGATGGCACACTGTAGCCGGGTCTGAGGTAGCTGCTGCCCATGGACGCTTGCCTGCAAGTGCACGAGCCAGAACCAGAATCAAAACCAGTCGGCATCATCCGCCGGTGTAAGGCACATGCCTTCCATCAGGGTGGACCCATGAGCCTGAAAACCAAAAGGCACCTGCAACCACATCGCAATCGGAGCTGGTCCAGATTTCCCCTCTCTACAACAGAAACACATGAGAATCGGCAGGAGTGCACATGGCGGTTGAGATATTACAGAGTTGCGGCCAGCCACGGTTGTTCCGCATGGCCGGATGGTGGTGCATTGTAAGACGGGTGCACGATGGTTCCTTCGGGCTTGTTCTTGGTGGCGGACTTGAGAACTGGCACAACGAGAAACAACGAGCCGAGCAACGTGTTAGCGCTTCTCTTCCTGCCACTGCAGCTGCGCGGCCCACTGGCACCCCACTTGCGTCTAATCCCATCACTGTCGTTGCGGGACAAGCTGACGTACTCCAAATTCAAGGACCTAACGTTTACGTAGCTATGTTCCCCAATACGATACCAGCACAAGCCCGAGTACAAGTGTTACAAAGGTTCGCGTATTATATGATTTAGAAAAAACAGTTACGAACCAATCCCGACCCGACCCGACCCGGAGAGAACATCTAAGCGGTCAATTTGGCAGGTTGCGAGTAATACCGTGAACAGAGCAGGCGTTCCGTGCTCTCGAGCAGCAAGTCTTACATGCGCGAAAAGGGCATCTGCAGAAGTAACAGTCCACAATCAGCATGTCAATAGCGCGCCTACGTAGGTTATAGGCCCTCAAGGCCTGGAGATGACCATCGCGAGGATTGAGGTCATGTAAAATGGGACTGCCGCACTGCCTATAGGTACTCAGGAAATCTGTCTTTCACAATCGATCACGGTCTTCCTGGTCACATGTCGATACTCGTCCCGTTCGTCGGTGCCGGTTTGAGGCGCAAGGGCTCAACACCGGCCAACGTTTGTAGGGCGGGGGCGAGGGAGGAGCTCGTACAGCAGAAAAAGATTCATTCCTTCGACATCTCCAACAAGAATCTCCAAACATCAAAATCTACTCGGTGGCGCAGAGAAGCAGAGCAATCGAGGACGGGTTACCTCGCACGGGCGGTGTTCCCGCAGACTGTACACTTGCGTTTCTTCAGGCCCTTCATGTAGCGTTCTCGGAGTATTTGTTCTCTTGTCTTGGGATCTTCGGGGAGACCGGCCAAATTTGGATTAACGTGGACTCCCCGTCCGTTCGGCTCACCGGACATATTGAACGATGTCTCGGGTGTTCCTGGAGTGCCGGGAGTAGCAGGTGTTCCGAGGCTTACAGGACGAGCCATAATTCAAGCTTCCTCGTTTCGTTTCGCCTAACCTCGGCTCGGGCGTCTACGCACGCAGCTAGGACCGAGGTCAACGCTCACAACGACCAAGATCTCAAGAGTGCAGGGGCTGAATGATGAGAGAAACTATCGGCATTTCCAGGCACGTTCCTTGAGGCGGCAACCACATGCTCAAAAAAGAAGACGAGGACGAACTTTGAGAAATCCCTCGGGATCATTGACTCGGAACATTTTCTTGAAGAACAGGGTTGATCGTTACAAGCTCGGCCTCAGAGCAGTGCAATCAGGTATCAGATTTCATCCTGCATCCCCATCGTGTCTATCTCGACTCATTTTCCCCAAATCCTCCTGCCGAACCACCGGCAGAAAAGCATTACAACCCTAATGCTCGTCCCCTCGCGCTCATCAGAATCATCATACGACACGGAGTTTCGTGCACCGACGCTCTGGGCTTCTTTCTCATCGCAAGCTCGACGGCGGACTTCGGCTTGAGCTTTGGGAATTGTTAACAAACCATCGAGGGAATCGCTTCGCTCGCCGCAGACAAAATCGCTCGCACGGTGGCTGGAGAAGCAACCAGCGCGCACAATCTCTGTGTCGAGTCTCGGAGCCCGGATTACGACTTTCGCGAACGCGAACCGTCCGCACACTCTCGTCACACGGCCTCAATCGTCAGTCAGCAGCCCTGCCTTCGAACAGGATTTGGTGCTAATTGTCGTTGTCCGAATTCTTCGTACTCCTCGTTGGCGCCACGCCCCCACCTCCTTCGTTCGTTCGACCGATGCCTCCCTCCCTCCGTCCGCCTCCAACTCATTTCCCCAAATCCCCGTGAACCCGCTCTCTCCAGGCTCCATTCCCCTATTAATGTGACCTCTTTAAATGTTAGACTCCGTCTCCTCTTCCATGCTGGTTCTCTGGACGATTCTTCCGGGGTTTAGGTAGCTCCGAGGATTTGAATGTTGTGCGATTGCTACAACCGGTGCTCGACATAGAGAGCCTGTTTAAGAATGTTTGGCGGTGTGACTCTTTGTGCAGTTAATTCTCCGACTGAGAGGATTTTGTCCGCGTCTGTATTGTTCGATGGTAGTTACCAGACTGCGGTACACAAATTGTTCCAAATACTAAGTTTGGATTGTCAGTTGAGGAGTATTTACTTGCCCGTTCAGAGAGTGAGGACGTAACCTCACTCTCTGAACGGCGTATATTGGAATCGCTGAGGATGTTACATGCTTGGGTGGTAGGTAAACTCACTCAGATGGGCTTGTTCGCTTTTGAGATCGTCATGATGCGCAGTGTGGGAGGCGTGTTCCAGTCCGGTCAGTGTGTAACCGAGGGTAAGATGGTTGAAGAATATTTCCCGACAGACATTTGGATTTAGTTTACCGATAGTTTGTAGAATCTCAGAAGGAGGGGATTGGTAACTTACATAGATATGTACGGTGAAGAATTGGGTACTTCCGGTCTGGCAGGGATGAGTAAGTGTGACCAGTTTGCTAGAACTTTTGCTCAAAAATGTTTCTCATTGCAAGACTCAACAAGTTACGCGTACGGCCGTTTCACCCATGAAGTTTATACGCTCTCACATTCGGATGTTCGTTGACTGTGGAGATTGTTTACTACGAGTGGAGATTACAACAAGCGGAGATCGATTACTACGACAAATCTGCGGGGCAGTTCCGTTTACAATCATTCTTCAAATACACTACCGTCAATCCAAAGTCCGGTTTTATCGTCCGTTGGCTGTAAGATAATTCAGAATTTTGGAAAAGGTAGTCTTGCATTCAAGCTTTGTATTTCGAAAATGCCACGCTCCTGTACCCAGATGGATTATTTTCGGGTAGGTGACAACTTCTGCCGTCTAAACAGCCTTACAAATTTTCCTCCGTTAATACGATACGTCTTTCGGGTAAACGCATAGGGTTCAATAAACTGCTTCGTGTAAGCTTTTCACCTCGACAGATTTCATTGGTCCATGCTTTCGTATTAACACGTGTTCAACTACTACCTTGAATCAGGCCATTGTACTGGACCACTAGTACCTTCGCAGGTTAGCAAATACATGCACTTCACTTGTTCCATCATAATATATAATTGATTGCATTATATACAAATACATAGTTGTCTTAAACTTTTGGTACAAGATAAACTACGGTCCTCACTCCCCTGCCTACTACTCGCCACTCAAACCAACACAAACTGCATGTGAGATGAAACTCGACATCGCCTAACACACAGCGGATACGCGCCATCGGTCAATTCAGTAAAACAATGTTGTTTTGTTCATAAAGGCTCAACGTCAACATACAAATCTAAATCATAGGTTTAATTACGACTTCTGATTCACTCTATCAGATAACGCTCTCAATAGTAATAAAGTAGCAACTAAACGATCGAAGAACTGACAGCAGGAATTCCACTCACAAGCTTTTTGACTTACTCTATCCACTTTTCCTATGTGGTGGTGGAAACACGAATATGCACAAACTGCAAGACATTGACGGTAATCTATTGTAGAACAGCCGCAACTGCCTATCATGCAAACACAGTGGCAGCCGGTCATATCACGAACTATGATTCAGAATGAAAAAGCAGTCCATAACTCTTGAGAAGACCTTTCTACAGTGACGGCCCACAGATATAAATTGACTGTTCTCAACCAACCCAATGACCTAACCTTGCAGATTCTCAAAAAATGCCTAATTACACCTATCTAGAAGCCGGGTTTTTCCTAAAATCTCTATTTTTGCTCAGAACGTATCTTGATGCTGACTCCTACTCTCGCCTTTGCCAGAGGTGCATCTGTCTGCAGACTGGAGGATGAACCCATCCCGTAAATGAAGCTCGCAGCAAGCTTATTTCACATGGCAGCTTCTACAGACCCGTGCGCGAATAATGTCATTAGGATTAGGGTTAATGAATGAACGACCCTGTTTAAACTCCGTTTGAAGTCGGGCCTTTCTGTACTTGCAGCTACTTACTGACTGACGCGTTTATAAGCCTAGAAACATAGCCTTAGAGACCCTCTCGAACAATTAGGCCATCAAGCTCTACGGGCTCATATCTGTGGTTGGTTAGAAGCTACTGACCAGTTCCATGTAATCATCTACAATTAAAATACTTGTGATGTCAACGAAGCTGTTAAGATACAGCAATGGACGCCGTGGATGTAGCACTCACAGACATGGTAAGCCCACTTTGAAGGGGGGAAGTGGCACCACCTGCTTCGGTTCGATCCCTAGTGGTTGTGATACTATCTTTTAAGGCTTTTTCCTTGGTCATCTTATCTTTCGCCCTTTGAAAGTCGTCAATGGTACGAAACTCTTCTGTCAAAAGCTTTTCCAACTCTGGGTGCTTCTTCACCACCCGTCTCGACTTATCTTTCCGGTAAAAATGGAACGCCCTGAAGCCAAAGCGTACCAAACATGGTTACTAAAAACATATGCAGCTATAACGAAAATATATTCAATGATACTGCACCAGGTATAGAAAACCAGGGCTACAACAAAAAAATTTGACAGACTCTCACTTACCAGTATTTCTCAAGGCCGTAGAGGTTACCCTTTTTGTAGGTTTCAAGAGTTAGTTGCTCAAAATCGTCGTACATGTCCTGTTTGAATTTTTGCTCCAAGCCATAGCTGCGACAAAATCAAATCTCAGTCAACAGACTACCAGATAAACTGATGCATATCTCTGTCGAAACCTTCGGGTAGGAAACAGAAGACGATGAGTATTCACCTATAAAATCTGAAGAGACACTCCATTCCGTAATTGTAGTTGGTTGCAGCATCTTCCTCTGCAAGCTTTCGAAACTCGATGTACATGGATCGGTTGAAGTTGGTACGTAGGAAATACGACCAGAACCGGAAGAGAGTATTCATTTCCTAAAACAAGGCACCAATACATGAATAAATAAGTTAACCGATCAACAACTGTCACTCAATTTTCAATAACAGGTTACCAAAAAATTGCTTAATTGATTGGGTCAATATATCGTGTGAACTGAAATGAAAAACAAGGTCCCAAGAAGCCACTAAGTTACAACTTACTTCGCTACATCCAATACCGACACGTTTACGATCATTGAGACAACGCTTGTAAAACTTGTAGTATCTGCAATGCACACAACCAGGTTTAAAAACCCTTTTCGAGACACAATTCCTTCACAGTCGAAGTCGAGAAAAAAAAAATTGAGGGGTTTTTATAATATGCAACATAATGTAAGCTGCTTGCAAGCAAAGGCGTCTCACACTTCGAAGAAGCTAATACATACTTTTGCTGTTTGAAGCCATTGTCTTCAAGGAGAGCGTGGCTTGGATGTTGGAAATGAGGAAAGGACTTGGGGATGGATCCAACAGGGGGACTGGTCCCAGACAACAAGCTACCCCCTGGAGGAGTACCATATGGAGACGAGCTGAGTCTCGATGACCCAAATGATGACGAAAGTCGGTTAGCTCCACTGCTGCACATATGGTGAAGAGTAACAACACCAGATTAGAAGACTCAAGACAATGAGGGATGATGGTAACAAGACCTCTACAAAATTTGCAGGTACTTCAAGTGTGAGAAAAATATACCTGTGATTGTCCGGAGGAGTAGCACCAAAAAAGAATCCAACGGAGTCACTTGGAGGACTCTCCGCAGTAATGCTGAAGTGATGTTGCCGGCCCCTATGACCAACGTCTCGAGGGGCACTGGCAAAGAGTCGCTGATTAGGGAAGTATGGGCCACTCGGACCAGATCTGTACTGGCCTCTTGGTGGTCTGACCATGCCCGGCCCTTCTGATCCACTTCCAGCGCTCCCGGCACTGCTACCATAGCTGCCCACGGCAGACCGAGCTGTCGGTGTAGTAGTCTCAGTGCCACTGCTGGCAGTCCCATCACTGGGAGTGCGCTTCCGAGCAACTTGAGTGGTGGTGGTGCGTTTAGGTTTGCTTCTTCGCAATTCCTGTGTAGGTGCACAACAAAATTTCAGGTAATTGAGGGGATGTAGATGTAGGTCCCTGGCCTGACAATTTACAACCAATATATCAACATTCGAGATTTCACAGAGTTTCAACGGACCTGTTCGTAGAAGTAGAGACCGTCATTTATGACAGAAACAAGCTCATCTGATATGGCTTTCCTGCCATGATCTCTTCCATCTGGACCTTTGCGATCACCTTTATTGACTTTCCTACTCTGTTTCACAGAAATGGGGAAAAAAGTGTAAGAAATCGGAACACAAATTTGTACACTTACACATCTCAGGTGCTGCGCAATAGATCGCCATCTTTGGAGGGCTAAGATGATCACTAGGTCGTATAAACATATCTAGATGGAGGATAGAGGGATTCAGACCCAAGAGAGGGAGAGAATAGGCAGTCACGTTTTTACCCTCATAGACTCACTGCAAAGTGAGCTAATAAAGTGTATCATTAAGACTTACTTGCAGGCTTTTTATACTTGAACAGACCGTTCGAAACAATATCTTACCCAAACTTGGGGCATATACAACAGCATTTGGGAGGATGATTTCCCAGACAGACTAAACAAGAGCGGCATCTAATTTTAAACACCTGAACAGATATAGCAGTGAGGATCAACTTGGAACCTCATTCTTATATATTCATAGTTTGAGAGCTCACTGTGCCAGGTATGAATGAAGATACCTGAGTGACGATGATGAGGCGGTGAACATCATTGTCATTAACATCCGAGTCGTCATCGTCGTCGTCCTCAAGGCTGAGTAGGAGCATCACCGAACATTAAGCCACAGTTCCTCTTCCCTTCCCAATCACATTTCGACGAAATACATAGTTTCTGGGGGAGACTGATCTTAAACTGAAGGATGCTGCAATGAAACGAGACGACAATGAAGTTAACTTTTTCACCTTTTGCTGGCGACAGCGGAGGGATCCTTTGTAGATCTCTCAGTCTCCAGTTCTTCGTCAAATTGAAATGTGTCTTCATCTTGGCTGACAGTGGCCTCTTTGGCTGCGAATGCGGCAGAGAGCCCTCCAGTTTTGAGGTCCCCTCCCCTTGCGGTCGGCGGTTTCTTGTTGCTCACGCCCCTCCGCCTGGTACCATTCCTTGAAGAAGGTGTTAACCAGTCACCCTCATCATCGGCGACTACACCACTCTCTTCTGAATTAGGGGACAGCAAATCTCTGGCACCTTCACTTTCAGATATCGATATCCTGATACCTTGTAATCGACCCTTGCCGTGCAACGCCCTTACCGCACCACCAGCCTCGGAAACTTGAGAGCTGGATGTGAGGAAGTGTGAACTCCCTGTTGTACTCTGGTTCACGTCAGGTACACTTCCTCCCGCAAGTGAAGCAGCATCCTTCGTAGGGGAAACTCTTACAGACAGGTTGCTTTCACCAGTTAAACCCTCAACTGAACTTCTTTGAGTATCATCTGAAAACCCAGCTGTGCTTCCTGCTTGAGACTCTTGCTTGGAATTGGAGGAAGTTTCGGCGTCTTTAGAACTAGGATTCAATCTATCATTGGTTTTGGCTGATGAATCGGCATCAGAAGAGTTTAGAGGGGGATTAGTCTGGACGTTGGTCTCCGACTTGGAAGAAGCATCGGCTGTGGGCTGATGTGCAATGTCCCCGCTGCTCTTCTCCCCTTCGAGTTTTCCTTCTTCACTCTTTCCTGGCTGCTTAGGTGGAGTAACAGCAGGTGGTAAATGACTAGGAGGTAAAATCCAGTTTGCCCAATCATCCCGTTTCCGCAGCTTTTCATCCTGCCAGAAGAAGCCATTTGAGTCTCGTGTCAGACGAATTGGGAGATCTTGACGGCAACTTAGGTTGAAAGGTGCACGTCCAACTACAAACAAACGTGAATCGGATATGCAAAACACCTTTCACGATGTATGTACCAAAGAGAGAACTGACAGGCACCTGAACTTCCACCAAGCCAGAATGGCTACGAAGAGCATCCAAGATCATTGATGTGTCCGCTGTTAGCATTTTGACCTGCAGCGAATGGGTGTGTGAGAGGGATAAAAATCGGAGGAAGTAAATTTGAACAATACCCAATAAGCAAAATGTGTCTTCTTGTTTGTGACGGAAGGTTACCCTATTAAAATTTGCAATCACTGCAACTGGAATGAAGCCTTGCTCGTCCATTTTGGAGCGCAAGAATATATCTCTGCACAAATTCTCAATACTGCAGACAAATTTCTTCATTAGGAAGTTTCTACATACAGAATAATCCCCAACTTGCAGCCTTCAATGCCATATAAGATTCAACGAGAGTAAGAAGATTCTGACCTAAAGTAGTATTCAATTTGTTTCACAACGAGATGACGCAACGCAATAGCATTATCCGCAATAACACCTCCTGCGGGCGAAGTAAAATAGGCGGCGGCACGCCCAGGGGCAGTAGAACCTGCGGGCACGTAGTACATGCCTTGAGCCACACCTGCATTAAGACAAACTTCTCATGGTCACATCGCGTTGCAAGAACCATGAAAAAAGTGTATAATCGGATCCTCTGCCTCATTGCACCTCAGCAAACAGAATGAGAATCGGTGAGATATGAGCACATTCCACCTAGGAATACTTGCGATAAAAAACCCCGACTGAAACATGGAAATTCGACGAGAGTAAACCTGCTGCATTCATAAATCCTGAATGATTATTCGGCACGAAATTGTTGGCACGCCCGAAGTTCCTAGGCCCCACGCGTTGTTGTACACTAGCGGCAGAGTCTCTGGCATTATTTCCAAACGGTCTATTGTGATGCCATCCATGAGCTCCACGATTTTGGTCCCTCATGTTGTTCCTCCTCCCTGAATTGCCAACGAACCCAGCTCCACCTCGCTGGTGGAAGGGTCGCCTGGGCTCATTGCCTCCGGCATTGGTCGGATTAGTCTTCGCTGACTCCTCACCGCCACTTTTGACATTAGGTTCGGCAGCGGCGACATCAGGTACCTGCGTGGATGCTAGAGAAGGAGTGGCATTCTCCGTAGAAATTAGCGGAGCTGCTGGCGGCGGACCACTGCCATTCAAGGCTGCAGTGGTGCGATGCTTATTCGTGGATTTTTGCCTTCCACTCGGAGCCTGGGCGTGATTCCCCGTGGTGTTACTACTAGGTCCACCCGGTCTCGACCACCCTGACGACGCAGCCTGCCTCCCAAACCAACAATCGCAAGTACGAAGACAACGATTAGCAACAGAATTCCATGAAATCGTAAACCCACGCATGTGAACGAGGTGAATTGACAATCCATCTTCAGGCTGAACAAGTGCAGCTAGAGCGCACGTCCCATTCCGCAGTTTTCCTGAAGGGGAACGAGCGTGAAAAGCACGAGGTTGCCAAGCAGACCTGCTCTGATGGTCCATCCGGCGGAGCGGACGGGGCTGCCGGGGCTCCAGATTTCGGCAAATCTACGGGAGCCTTGGAGCTGCGAGCTTCAGCGAGCGCAGGCCATGAAACGGCTCCCATCACCGGCCCAACTGTAGTCACCTTACCCAAATTACTGACAGGCTTCTTCCATGCGGGTTTAGAGGTTTTAGCAGGGGCATCCGACGGGGAACTCGTGGCAGGGGCAAGAGCAGGAGCGGCTCCTCCACTCTCTACACGTTCTTCGGCACCGGCTGCTTCTACCTGCGATCCATCTTTTTTGTTCTTCGCGACGACGGCAGTGGGTGTGGAGGAGGAGGATGCAGATGGCAAAGAAGAAGATGGAGTCGAGGCGGAAACAGGGGGCGGAGTGGGTGTCGGAGCAGAACTAGTGGTGACGGGAGTCTGTTCTACGACCGCGGGCACCTGTTGCGATGAAGCAGTCGTCGTCTTGGCAGGGCGTTTGGGGGGTGCAGGGTCGGGAGTTGCAATGCTAGGGGCAGAGGTCACGATTGACGGAGAAAGACCGAGGGTTCCGTTTGCCAAACCAGCTAAACCATTATCGGGAGCAGCAGCCTGGCCCCTCACAACCTGAGACCACGCACCTTTCACCATTCGGCCACCGCTTCCAGTAATCCCACCTTTTAAGCTCCCATTCGTGCCACCTCCTCCGCCACCACTCGACGCTGCTGCGGGCTTCGTCGCGGTGGTGGGAGGGGCGCTGCTGCTACTCGGAGTCGACGACGAAGGAGCAGAGTCTGCAGCAGAAGGAGGAACAGGCAAAGGAGTGACAGCAGGTACAGAAGGCGGAGGCGCTTCGGACGACGCCATGCCGGCCGTCCTGGCAAGCTCCTGCCTCACAAGCGCCGGCTGCCCCTCCCTTGCCCTCCGCAGCAATTCATCCCCTTCTCCACCCCTGTGAGCTTATCCGCCACCGCCTCGCTCCTCTGTACCTGGCCTCGTCCCCGTGCTGCGAATTGGACCAGATGTCAATTGCTCCAACTAATTCACACACGCTCTCTCGCGCTCGCACACAAGCTCTCAGTCCGACGATGAACTCACGAAAAGGGATGCGGAACCGGGATGGATGATGGACAACGCGGCCCCCGAAGCGTTCCTCTCGTGGTGACCCGAACTCCGACCCGCGGCTCTTGCTTCGCAGCGCTAATTCACTCGCCTGAAAACTACGTAGCGGTGTCAACAAACGCAGAGGACCGACCGGATAGGGGGGGTGGGGGGTGGTGGTGGTGGGGGGTGGGGGGCAGACGAAAGGAGAGAGGGGGGAGGGGGATGGGAGGGGAGGGGACGGGAAGGGGACGAAAGGGGGAGAGAGGAGGAAGGAAGGGAGGGATGGAGGGAGGAGATGGAGAGGGAGGAAAGAAGGGGAAAAGGGTGGAAAGCCCGAATGGTGTCACAACTCAGCGGCCGAGACCGAGGCGCTGCCGGAAGAAAAGAAGAAACTGTATCCCGTGTGAAAGAGAAGTATAAGGAACCCCCGGGCCATACCAAGATCTGATTCGTGCCCGCCCCGCAGAACCTCCTCGTCCGCTCGGGCCTCGGCGCTCATGCGCAATTCCGACCGAGCGGAGGGCGACGACGACGGTGGGGCGAGGGGCGAGGTGCGGTCCAAACCCTAACATCATGCCGCTGCTGCTGCTACTGCTGCTCCTCTCTGCCCCGTCTTGCCTGCCAGTCGCAGAGAATGGGATCACACACAGTGCCCCGCCTGCTAGCGCTGCTACTCGCGCTCCGCTTCGCGACCTCGGACCCAGGGTCGGGCCAGGTCAGGTCGGGCCCGGGGAACCCGCGCTCCCCCCGGCTTCTGCTCGCTTCCCTGGCCTGGGCTGCCCCGCCCTGCCCCGGCAAACAGCGCCAACTGTGCTTTCATCCGCGAACGCGATCGCTTTCGCCGGTCCACGGCCATGGCCAACACTCCAGCCAACGGGGAGCGTCCTCTTTCCGTGTCATTGGCGCCCAGATCGCTTGGCGTATGGCCGCGCTCCGTCGGCCAGGCCCGGCCCCTCCAGGTCACGACGGACGGAGCGACTCCGACCCCGGGTTCCGCTCCATCGCGGACGTCGGATCGGGCCTTACCGGCGGAAATTAGTGCAGATTCCCGCAGATTCGCGCAGATTTCCCGACCGCTCCCTGAGTTCGCCCTCGTGATCCAGTCGTCGCCGAACCTATCTCCGTCCTGTTAAAGCCCCCATGCGAGTCCGAGATCACTTTAGGGTTTGCACACTCCCCTCGCCCATTCAGCGCCCGCCACGCGTCGCGCCATATGTCCCCTGCGCCCAGTCGGCCCCCAGAAGATTACATACAGTTCTGGATGGTGAGATATCCCTCTTATCGGAAATTGCTCTTGCTCTCTGGCATGCTCTACTGACGTAGCTAGGGTTTGTCTCCCTTCCTTCCGTTTTAGGGTTTCTCGGATCAGCCTCTCGCGAGCCTATTATTGGCCTGCGACCAACAGGATGGGCCAACCCGACCCATTCCAAGCTAGTCGCTCCGTCACCTCCCGACCTGCCGTGGCAATTATAGAGCCCCCACCCGTGCACTGCACGATGTCCCCCCGCCTTCTCCTATACGGTCCCAGGTGCGTCCATACGTACTCGATTCTGCTTGGAATCTGCGCGTATTCCTTCCGTCTTAGCGGCCCCCGATAATCGAAACATTCTCATGTGGACTCCTTGAGCCCCTCCGGTCCTTTCGGTTCTGGACTTAATGCTTAGCACAAGTGTACATAAACCTCAATGGTATTGGGCCTACCCCCATTTTTCCTCACCTGTCGTCTCTGTTCCTCTCTGACTTTCGCTAAACCTGGATTCTGATATTTTATGGGAATTCTGCGAGAGGACCTTTTACAACCATCATTTTCCACTTACACCGTTCAATTTTTCGATCACCATCGTATTAATGCGAATCTTAATTTTTCTTCCACCTCCATGTAACGGTCGTTGAAAGTCACAAATCAATCCGACAGAATGTGAAGAGGATGGCACTTTTATTGACATCTGCTCCCTTCTGCTCGTGAATTCATGCTAACATGATTTTGGCATGAGCGACAGAGCGTATAGAATCAAGTTGATACAATACACAGTACACCACATATCACAGTACTACACATGGTCCCTACTATACAACATCACTCAGTACACCAACAGTATACTTTTCAGATACGGTGTCTGCGATCGGCCCTTATCGCATATACAGTATATGCTTTTCTCATCCATTTGCAATCTGACATGCTCTATTACTCTTCTTGCTGCCCTAGTCAATCATGTGAATAGTGTGGTTCGAATACTAAAGAACTTAGAACCTGGTTTGCTATGCATTTGTTGCATCTGAACATGTGAATACAATTTGCTCATCGAGATAGAATACTGATTTTTCGGGGCTTTATCTCTTAGGTAATTTTCTCATCATTCTTCCTTATTTTTACTTTGCACTTTTCTATTCGGCCTCTTCGTTTCTCCATAAGGTTACTCATCTTCAATTATTGAATCTTACTTTTCCATCCGCGACTCCTCCCTACTGTACTCATAGGATTTCCTTCTGGATACCCCCACCATGCCTAGCAAGGAAGACAGAAAATAATCAGAACAAAGGGCTAGCCCAGATAGGATGGTTCTCTATGGTATTACCCTACGTGTTCTTTTCGGAATTTGGCTTTTTTACCCTTGGTCGCATCTAAAATTCACACAAACATCACTTGCATTTTTTAGACAGCAGAGAACCCGCCCGTGTTAAACGTGGGATTGATAATTTATTTGCAAATAAGGGAACATTATAATCTCGGTAGAAGATGCATTTTTCTCATTGCTTGTATCAAATCCTAAATACATCCAGCAATAAGCATTTTAGTTGTTTTTGCCCACGATTTTGGAAGTTCGAAAAATTTTTATTATCCAAGACTGCAAATGCTTTCATTTTGATGTGTAGTGTCAATCTATAAAGTGATTTAGTTCATTTTAACAAGCAACGAATTAGGTTCAATTTAACAATGATTAGTTTTCCACACGATTGAACCATCATGTAAATTACAGTTACTGCAACATTTGTCTCTCCAATCTATAAGATATCATTTACTTTTGATTGATGATGAATTAAATGCTCTTGTTATACGGAGACTCGTTGACGTTGATAATTATGTTCTCTTACATACACTAAGATATGTTTCATGTCGTAATGTAATTAGGACCCAGCCCCATCCTACCAGTTAGCTTAACCCATGTTTGGTTTGCTGAGATTTACATATCGTTCTTGCTACACATCTCGGCATGTTTTCCGAAGATAGTAAATGTCTAAGAATAACTACAGAATCTTTTTAAGATTCTAAATGTTCTGGAAAACTCCAAAATCTTGCAATCAGGCTTTATTCTTAATCCCAGAATTGATCATTTCAATCAACATGTGACAAACACCTTAACAAGTGGTAAGTTGTCATTTAGGTTTATCTTATAGAAGTAATTTTTTTCTAACTGGAAGTTCAGATTCAAAATGTTTTTCAAATCAGTTCAGAAGGGTCAAATAAAGTGTTAAGAATACTCAATAAAGATTTGGAAAATCTGTATTTAATTATACAGATCTGTATGTTTTAGAAAAGAAATACATATATGATAACTTATGTATGTTTCGTATATTTTCAGAACCTTGCTTTCCGGGAACATGATCAAAATATCCACACAGCTTGAAAGTACTTTTTTATCTCATTATAGATCTCCCTCCATGTATATATCTTCACTTGACCTACAGAATTATATTTTCCTACGATTGAATATGTGTACAGGTTTTGAAAATGTAAACTACTTATATTGAAAGAGAGATGGGTCGAAAATCTTACGTGTGTACGTGGGTGAAAGACTTGCACCCGATCGGATGAGTTTTCATCGAGCCATTGACTCGTTGCATGTCCCAATCTCTGCGCATGAAAGCTGACTCCGCAAAGGGGCGAAGAAATTCTAACATAAAAACCCTTTCGGGAATCTACTCCATCACCGAGAGGAATAGAAGATTCCAACAACCCTCAATGCCTCCAAAGTTGGCCCAATGGGTCCGGTTTCCTCCGTCGCCGACTTTCTATAAAATAGAAAGTCGGCAATCGCTACTTTTCGTGAAGTGTATGCAGTCCGAACGCGAACATCGTAGAAATGAACCGAATCCACTAACGTCGCTGTCAAGAGGTTAAATTCTTCGCATGGTAGGCTTTGGCGTCCCGGGGACGCAACAGGAATGCGCTAATTAAGCTACGACGCTCCGCCACAGTCGAGATGACATGTCAAGGGTCTGCGTGCATGAGAGAGAGCATGGAGTCATGGGCTGACAGAGGCAGTACGAGGTCCTGGGTTCGGGAGCTGCGTCCTTCCCAGGACAGGTGGCATCCGACGCGCGAGGTCCATGGGCCGATGCAAACCCACTTTATGGTACCTCGAGGGTGCAGTTTTCACAACACGTGGAATTTTGCGCACGACGCAGGGAAGCATCGATACACTCGGAACTGATTCCCTTGCGCCTACTGCCGACTATTAATGAAGTCTGTGTTAGTCGAAGGCCGGGTCTCATTCCGACCGCAGTCGAACTACGATGGACGATACGAGTGTCGGCCTGTACAACTACGTACGCCGTCTCGGTGAGGCCGCTCTGGAGGCGGTGTTCCGAGCCCTGACAGAGCCAAGGAGAGAATAATGTGAAGGGAGAAGGACTGTGATGCCGATGCCTGAGGAGTACTCGTGGCATGCGCACGAGTCCCCGACTGCCGTCGTACGTTCGAGTGAACTCGGAGGACACGTCGAGTTTGGCACAAGGTGCGGGCCGGGCCATGCATATTCAAACATCGGTTCCGAGAAGTCGGAGGAACGAGGACACATCCCTTTCGCTTCTCGTCCGATGACACATTTCTGCCAACGAGCCCAACGGGCTTTTTGGAGCTTTCTTCGATAAGAACGTCATCTCTGCATGCGTCTATCGAAGACAATCTTGAGGTGACGAACGTAATGGATTCACTTCTTGCACATTTTGTTCCGGAATGTTAGATTGTTGTAATTTCTTCAGTTATTTTGGAAAACTTCGAAACCAGTACAGTAATAATAATAATTGAATATATTTATTTATTTATGGCAGAGGTTGCCCTGAGCTTGTAGAGCAAACCTAGGAATCAAGTGTTATTTGTATATCTACATATGATCTGATAAATAGAAGTCAAACAATAATAGAAACGCACATATTACGTCTTTCGGTCCAGTAACTTGTGGGGAATTCAAATTCTACACTAGTGCAACATTGTATACAAATATGATTGTAATGACTCAACTTTCAGAAAATTTGAAAATCAAAGTCGATAAAGAGAGACAAAAATACCGCCGTTTAGCGTAGTTATACCAAAGTATAAACACCAGTATGCACGACAAGCTACTTGATCTCCGTTTGATGAAATACTGATTAATACATAGTGGGAACATCGAAGTTTTGAGGCACCGAATCTTGAAATTCATTCCGTAGGATAATTCTCCCCAAAGTTCATCATCATCATCATCGAGAAATTTTTTAGGACCGAAGTCAACAAGCGAGCAGCATTAGTGCGGTGAAACTAATGTGCTTCAGAAGATATTTGATGTCGCTAGTAATACGCAGCAATGGAAGAAAGCTTCGAGCAATACAACGCCACTTACATGTGGAGGTCTACCCTACAACTTCAAATTCTCAGCGATGCAACTGGATCAAAGATCAAATGCACATCACATCAGCGGTGCAGCTTTCACTGGTTAAGTAGTTGTTAGCGTAAGCAAATTTGAGGACCTTCAGGGTCACTACAAACGACGACCCAAAGGCTACGGCTTTGATGATGACAGAGTGGGAATCAAGTGTGACATTCACTCTGTAGGTCTTGCCAAAATTGTGGGTCCGCGAGTAGGTCACGGTAGCAAAGAAGTCCATTCAGCCTCGAAAGATCTTGTAGCAGTTGCTAATGCTCTAAATCTCCGGAGGGATATCGGAGCTCGTCGTCGTAACCGCGTACAAAAGATGAATGTCGTCACTGCAACCAATGGGGGACTATCGCGCACATGAACCTGTGCACGATCCGCGAAGATATTGAAGGGGTTTAAGTCCACATGTGCAGTGCCATCTGGATTCAAATCCAAGGAAAGACACAGGAAGCATTGAAATTCCATGAGAAAATGGGTACATCACACGGCCGCGCTGATGGACTCACCCATCGTCCACAACAACGACGAGTGTTGTTTATCTAGGCGCCGGCAGGGGTCAAGACTCATCGAGCTGCTCAGAGGAGATATGAGACAGCAAGAGAGAGATTACCGAATACAAGAACCAGCTGAATGGAAAGTCGTGAGATCAGAGGTTGAACCATTCGACATGGATTTTCTTGGTTGATCGTTTCTGACCAGCTATGTCAACGCCTGTCATTGGATCCAGAAGTCAGTGGGCTCGATCATCACCATTTACGAGTCGAGTGCGGAACCAAAAGTCCTCCTCGACAAGGAGAGGTCTGCACAACAAGATTCACAAGATTCCTCGTTGAACTCGAGACCTGAATTAGCAGGAACACTTCTACGTCTCAACATGTGTCCATCTGCTCGACTGCAGCTTTAAGATGAGCATCGAAGGTAGGCGATGGGGCCTGTATGTGATGAAACATACGTGACACAGGAGGCCATCACGATGGTCTGGGTGCGCCGGACATGACTAAGTTCAATAATTGCAATGATATAACAGTGACGGAGGGCTGTTATTATTGAAGCCATATCGAGTGCTGTCTGGTCCAAATCTTTAAATATTGATTGACCCCACTTGACCAATGTGTTGATTCTCAAGCTGCAGGCAGGACTTTTAGATTCAAGTGGAACGCTGTCAAGCACAGTCAAAGAGCAGGGACCAGAGAGTCAGAGTTCCTGAGTTTTCGTCGTCATAAGGCGCTAGACTGCGATCCAGAAGGCAGATCTCAAGTTGCTAATACAGTGATCGTGAAGAGTTATTTCTGGGCACGACTTAATTTATCTCTACTGGGAAAACTAAAACGATTTGGTTTGTAACACAAGGTTGCAAAGGAAGTTCATTCATACTTTGATGAACGTATAATCGAGAAGGCTACATGAAGAATCATAACCTTGAAAGACCACACCAGACCTCAATAGTTAGGGAGTCGAAAGCCACAGCTGAACAGAATGCAAGTCAGTGCCTCTAAATATTTCACTCAAACAACGTGCTTCAAAAGTGCAGCTTGGAAGTAGTATTGAATATCATGAACATGCGGCTACTAAGACTCGCAATTCATGTTCACGTGCTCTCTTCACATCCCTATAATTTTCCTGTTCTGCGTTAGTGGTTAGCTACCGAAGACGGTAATCAACAAATATCGAGAGGCGAAAATATCATGGGCAACGTGATCCTTTCGATTCTGGATGGCAATTTGGTTTCGATCATCCTCTTTCGATGTGATGGAACGATAGAACTGAACATAACATAACCGAAACGACTACAACTTAAGCGAAGCTGAAGACGCTTCATCATACGTTGCAAATGAAATGTCCTCAAGACACTTGTCTTCCCGATGGGATAACCACACATCTTCTTGTTGCGGCAATTCTATTACTGCAAGCTGAGTAGGTCGTCTATGGATGTCAATTCCAGTCCTTTGCCGTTCATTCTGAAGTGTCGGAGTAAGTTTCGTGTTCTACTTGTCAAGAGTTGACCGCTTTCGATTAAAGCTGGAGGAAACTGGAGCGTCGCGTAAATCGGTGCTCTAAAGGCTACCCTTCCATGGTATTGCTGTTTTCCTGTGTAGCTGGCCTGACACGAACAACAGAATGGAAAGCAACTAGAACAGTCAAGTTTCAAGGTATGATTCAGGAAAATCTCAGGCATGGGACATTGTCTCGCTGGAATACATGAGAGCAGTACACATCTTGAGATGATATCCGAATGAATGTGAGTACAGAGGTCTGGAGCAATGATGGAATCGAAGCTCGACGAAGATATGGATTAGGTTCCTGAAAGGATTCTCATGCTTTGTTATTAAATCACGGCTGACCAATGAAGCAGATGACAACACACAAAATTTCAATGACGCAGACTCATGATACTCGAGCTGTAGGTGCTTGTGAACCTTTTTTTCTGGGCACGAGACTTGATACAAACAAGCACACCACGATAGGGAGTTCCGAAGTTGCAGTGTGCGACAAATGAATCTGTGTATGCAGCAGTGCCTTCAACTAGGACCAGAGTCTCAATACAGTCACAACGACATGAAGCCCATCACGTTGACGACTGCGAAATTTGGAAGAACATTAAGGAGAATACAAGAGTGCAAGACACAAATTACGTAAGCAGAGTCCGCCAATTTTTTTCCAGCAGTCCAGAACGTAGACGTCTTCTGTGAGCCTGGCTAAGAAGTCGCATTTATGGACAAGCTGGGGTGAAACGGGATGACGCATGAACGAAAAGCAATCGTGGTTTACATGAAAGAGGAGGACAGAAAAGAAAAGAAGCAGCGGTTGGGACAACCACTCCATCTGCAGCTGAGTCATGAGGGTCGATGGGTCCATGTTACGAGACTTCCCAATTAATGAAGGGGTCCGTGACCCCTACCCAAAGAAGCAGCCACGGAAGAGATTCGTCCCTAAGATGCATAATTATAGGGCCAACTTTTGTTGGACTCAGGCATGAACAACGATTCTACATGGCCTACTAATTGACCGTCCCTTTTTTTAGAGGCTTCCGCCTTCTCAGAATTTACTGATTAAGTCAAGTGATTTACTGGGCAAGTGGTCAACCCGGCCTTTGAAGTTCGTTGCAGCCGCTTGCGTGCTCCAGCAAGCCCCGTGAATGTTCATCCAGACCTTCTCCTTCAGTCGGGACTAGGTTCTGGGACAGGACAAAGCTTGAAAATCTCAACAGTTTTCATATCAGGTAGACTGTGAACCAAATCTTGTACCAAAAACCTGTGTCTGGGCAGTGTGCCTTTCATGTCTTGCGGACCTAATTTGCTTTTCATGTCCCCATCGCCTGTCAGATCTGGCCAGAAGATGATTTCTTCCAACTTCTTACGGTTTGCTAAACATTGAACTCATTATCTATGAATGACACTTTTGAAACAACATACCAGAATACTGGCCGCCTCTAATAACAAGTTCAACTTCGTAATCTGTAATTTTGCAATAGTCGCAGAGAGGATTGTATGCAGTCAAATTGTTATTATCTAATTAAATTTTTTTTAGCAAGTAGGGTTGAAATTGATGTTTGATGAGCAGTGGATTGCACATTTTGGCGTCCAAACGTTCTTTCACCACGCAACTTTTGTATCATTAAGTTCGCAGCGTACGCTGAAGACATTATCAATAGCGTTGTTCAGACACTGGCGATTATACGAACACATACGATAAGCTCCACTGAAGGTCAAAGCTTTATATTACCCTGCCTTATCGATCGATACGGAGTCTAATCGATGTTTACCACTTGATATCGTTGTCTCCTGTATGATGCCTCTCAGGCATTGGCATCGACCATGCAGATCCCCTGCTCTACGGTGATGACAGTTAGTTTCTCGATAAGCTCTCATACTCATCAAAGCATTCAGTTTAGAGCAGAAGATTCAAAAATATTACACCAGATCGGAATAATGTGTGAATATGGCCTCTTGCACCAGATCGGAATCTGATGATGTTCGTAGAACAGAGCCCTGTCAAAGATGGCATATTCTTTGATGAGTTATTCGGCTCCAAGCTCAGATTTCACCAATGTGTTAACCCAGAACTACCTTGCGAACTGCAGACCTTGCAAAACCATGTATGACAATGGAAATTTCGATTGATCGGGTACATCGGGGTCTGATACTGTATGGTGCAGAACATACTCTTCATCCGTTTATTCTAAGAAAGGGGCATGATCTCGATCTCGTAATTGCATCCTCTTCATCCGATGATGTTCGTCTGCTACAAACTCCCTACGGCTGCCGCACCATGGTTAGGCTGGTAATGTTCAGGTGATGGCCCTTCGCGGCTCTAGGTTCAACCACAAACTCTTGTAACTGGAATAAGGAGAGCTGCATATTAGAAGGACGATCAAGGATGGATTTGATTGAGCCTGAATAACTCATTCTCCATCCAGGCTGGATTTGGACGGCCAGCGAAGAGCTCCATCCAGTATACAGTGCACCGCAGCTTGTCTCTTTGTGCCCAGTAGCACATGCAGCAACAACATAATTTTCGCTCGGTCCGTGCACAGATTCCAACACCGCCTTTCATTGGGGCTTTTTGGGACTCAACGCTGAGATTTCTCCGCTCATGTTCTGTGCTGCAATGATGCTACGGTCGATCTGCCGGTTTTGGAAGCATGCATTGCGTTAGATCCTTACGGGAACATAATCTTCTTTCTGTTCTAGATAGAACGTCTCCAGCAATTATAGATCAGTTTCTTTTCCAGAACAGTTTTCAGGCTGCTGGCTATTGATTGCTCTTGCTCTTGCTCTTGCAGCTTCTTTCCGTCCGCATACTAAACATCGTTGAGGTTTGCTTTCGATAGAAATAAGTGACGATTTTGTTAAGACACCTGAAACGTGAACTTTGCCAATCTTTTCGTAAGGCTGGGAGAACTTACTCCTCTTCTCAGGGACAGAACTTGAGAAGAGTTGCGGACAAAGCAATTGGCAAGAGTAATAGATGACGAGGTCGGTGATAAGATGTGGGTGGAGAACACAAACTCTTGCTTCAGAAGCTTTGGTTCTTTGAACCACGCACCAAACGTAGCTCACACATTTGAAGCTGGTAGAGCGAGAGTGGCTGCCACTGGATGCCTGCATTCTCTCCGGTAGCCTTGAAAGACCAAGACCAAGACAAAGGTCTTTCTTCGCCACAGGCAACGAGAGTTTGGCACTCCATAACTCATGGGCACACACATAGCCTAGACCTTCGTCCTCATTCACAGGAAAAGTGCTCCCCTAGCCTGTCCGAGCAAGATCGCTGCAAAGCGAAATTCATTCGGCTCATCGTGCAGCGAACTCTGCAAGACTCCCCGAGCCCTGTCGACATTGTTGCACACTTTCGAATGAGCTTTGACGTGGTCACAATCAGATCTCATTCATGTTTCGCTCGTGGTAGCATGACCATGAACTCAAGAAAGCATTTCTTCAGATATCGGAAAATGCATTCTGCTGCAAGTCTTGCCCGATTCAGCGTTTTCAGCCACATGCCTTGATGAATTTGTATAGAACCTCCCACTGATCGATGTCTACTGAGAACTATACAAGATCAGATTGACATCTATATAGCAAGTTCATCGTCATGGAAGCCAGAGAAGGTGCCTTTGAATGTAAACCAATCAATTCCAGTAGAGAGGCAGTCATGAAAATGAATAACTTAATGAGAATCAGCGTGGACCGCTCCCCTCGATATCTGTTTGGAATAATAGGTTCTTACTGCGAAGTGAAGGAGTAGGTGGAAGAACACTCTCATCATAAACCGAGCACCCTCAATTTGACACCAACAGCAAGCTGAATTCTATCAGCATCGTTCATATGTAGTGTTTTGTATGTGTCTTGGACTCGCAAAGATCAAACTCATCATAGTCATGTTTTTTCTAACTTGATATAACCAAATGAAATTGGCACAATAATGATGTCATCTACCCATACTCAAACGAGTTGTTTCCATTTCCATCTCCTTACTCTTTACAAATCAACATAGTGTAACTCGATGATCAAAGTGAAGTTACAATTACACTCCGACACCTTCACCATGACACCTTCATCATATTTGAATCCTCCTCATTCATATGTAATCATGCATAATAAATTGTAATCATCCAGATGTATATTTCACTTTATTCGCATTGATGAAATAATTTGCAAGTATGATCAGAGCCTATTTTTTGTCCTCGCCACTTTCAGATATTTTTTTCAATATTGACATAATTGAGAAAAATCTATAATCAAATGAAACTAGGTTCAATTAAAATTTTGTGGCCGTAAGTTTGGTCATAAATAATTTCTTAGATTGTCAAAATTTTTACTATCAGATCAAGAAAATCTCATTATGGTTCAAGAAGATACAAAAGACTGTATTTTTCAGTACTACTTTTTACACAATATAAAAGGAAAATTTCTTATTATTATACAAATAAATCCACTTATTTGATAGAGTTTAGAAATAAAATTTCTTTATAAGATGTTGATTAATTCATAATATAACAAGCCATGTTGTAATCAAATAAAATTATATAAACAAAATCTAGTAACACTTCACCTTTCACTTACTAAATAATATTAAATTCTCGCTAAAACACTAACACTTGCATATTTATCAATGATTTTTTATCTGATCAAATATCTCCTTATGTTTACACCTCATACTAATTTGAGTTAAAATGATGAATTTGCTTGACTTTGATATGTTGATTATATTTAATGTATACTGTTAGCAGGAAATTAAACACAAAATGTGCAGAAATTTCAAAAATATTTGTGAAATTATTACGATTGAAGATGTTAGTATTTATTAAATGTAATATTATTTGTCGTGCAAATGTGTATCGTCATATAATCTACATTGCTGGCATGTCATACTCACACACACACATATGTAACAAGAGCGTACACACACATATGTATCTTAATTATATTTAGTGTCATACTAGGTTTAGGGATCACTTCCGTTGAAGAGTATATAGTGGGGGAAACTCGAAGAAACTTTAGTTCTTCTAATCGAGACTTACGTGAGAGGGTTTAAGTTGAGTAGCTTCGTGTCCCATAAGCTTCTACGCGGATTCTCCAGTGAGTGAGTGGGTTGTACTAAATTCCGGTGTGAATGTGAAAGTCTAGCGTACTCTCACCGTGATTTTATTATTCATTCGAAGAAGTGAACGTTCTTGGAGTTTATACTCTCCGACAAGAATGACACCTAATCCTAGTACGACACCAAATATAGCCAACACGTGTGAACATGGGATATTACTAACTTAAAAAGAAATTAAATTTTAGTTAGACATTAATTAGGGTTAAAATTAGTATTCATGTCCCATAATATATATATGAGTAGACCACACCTCACTTGGACATTATTTCTAAGTTTTTCAATTAAGTGTAATGTCTATGTGGATGTAATTTAAGGTAATTTAAACCAAGTTTATTGTCGTTGTGTCTACGTACGTGGGCGTTCTACAATTTTACAATTTTTGATTTAACAATTGCTATTAGAGTCAAGTAATTAAAAAAAAATTCAAAAGTTGTTACTTTCATTTCCATATACTTTTAAAGAGAGCTTCTTTATTCATGTCAACACTACCTTGCAATTTGAAATTTATGCACTTGTGTCATGAACTCCTATACACTTGAAAAATGCATTAACATCGTGATCATAATCTTTCC